CCATTGACTCGCTGATCGTCTCAAATACCTTGTCAGCGAACGACGTGATGATGGCCCTTCGCGCCACCATCTCCTTCTCCTCAGACCAGTCTGAGATCTCCTTCTTCGGCTTCTTCAAGTAGTCCAACACTCCAGTCAATTGTGCACCAGCCTCAAACTTGTCTTTGAAGACTCGCCATTTTGCAAAGTCTCCGTTGTACTGGATCAGCTGAATGCCGCTGAATGCCTCAACGCGGTGCTCCTTGACCCGTTCTGTTGGCTCGATTGCGCGCGGTAGTGCAAGGCTCATACTACCTCTTGATTTTACTAGTCCTCTGCTAGACTAAAGGCAGCGCAGCCGCTCTACTTATGTCCTCAACCTGCCAGCGTGTCAGCTTGGGCCCCTGATCGTCGCATCATCAATGAGCTCCTGAAACAATCAACGTCTCAACACAACACTCTTCGCATCGGTAGCACCTGGGTCCACTGCCTCGACCAGTGCTCTTGTTTGCTTGGCCACCAGCGTTGCGCTTCCAACCTCCCCTGCCACCAGACGATTGCGACAAGAGTGCCTGGGCGCTGGCTTGCTTCTGTGCATCATTCGCGAGCACTGCCGCTTGTTGACGAATGTCTTGGCGGACCTGGTCCACCCTCGTGGTCTCAGTGACGCGGGCTCGGTATGCGTTCTGGAAGGCGCTCCAGGCGGTGACGGCTGGAAGCCCATCCAACAAAAAGTCAATGTGCTCAGCATTGGTTACATGATGCTCGGCACTTCGCAGCTCAGCAACTCGCCCATCCACAAAGGCAAAGTGCACCTTGATGTCGTCGCCCTCGTTTGCAACATGAGCCCAGAGGTCCCTCTTCAATTCCTTGATGCGCTGCGAGGTATTGATGACGCAGCTCACGCACAAGGCTGCGTACAGTTCATCGACTGGGGTGGTGACCATTGACTCGCTGATCGTCTCAAATACCTTGTCAGCGAACGACGTGATGATGGCCCTTCGCGCCACCATCTCCTTCTCCTCAGACCAGTCTGAGATCTCCTTCTTCGGCTTCTTCAAGTAGTCCAACACTCCAGTCAATTGTGCACCAGCCTCAAACTTGTCTTTGAAGACTCGCCATTTTGCAAAGTCTCCGTTGTACTGGATCAGCTGAATGCCGCTGAATGCCTCAACGCGGTGCTCCTTGACCCGTTCTGTTGGCTCGATTGCGCGCGGTAGTGCAAGGCTCATACTACCTCTTGAGTTTACTAGTCCTCTCCTAGACTAAAGGCAGCGCAGCCGCTCTACTTATGTCCTCAACCTGCCAGCGTGTCAGCTTGGGCCCCTGATCGTCGCATCATCAATGAGCTCCTGAAACAATCAACGTCTCAACACAACACGAGACTCGAACTTCGGATTGACTCATACACCTGTTGGACTGGGGACGACTTTCCCGCTGCACCACAAAAGCTCTCAAGCATTCGGATACAGGGTCAGTGCTCCATATACCATTGCACCTGCGCACAACATCGATGGGGAAAGTCGTCCCTAGTCCAACAGGTGCATGAGTCAATCCAAAGTTCGAGTCTCGATGGGGACAGTGAAATATCGAATGCTGCTGTCGCGAAGGCTCCGGGGTCACAGGCATGGGTCGACGATAGATCTCCATGTAGACCTCAGGAAGCTAGGCGCAGTGTTGATAGACGCAAAGCTATGATCCGAGAGGGGATATAGAATCAGGTGAAGTGTTGTGCGCAGGTGCAATGGTATATGGAGCACTGACCCTGTATCCGAATGCTTGAGAGCTTTTGTGGTGCAGCGGGAAAGTCGTCCCCAGTCCAACAGGTGCATGAGTCAATCCAAAGTTCGAGTCTCGATGGGGACAGTGAAATATCGAATGCTGCTGTCGCGAAGGCTCGGGGTCACAGGCATGGGTCAACGATAGATCTCCATGTAGACCTCAGGAAGCTAGGCGCAGTGTTGATAGACGCAAAGCTATGATCCGAGAGGGGATATAGAATCAGGTGAAATGTTGTGCGCAGGTGCAATGGTATATGGAGCACTGACCCTGTATCCGAATGCTTGAGAGCTTTTGTGGTGCAGCGGGAAAGTCGTCCCCAGTCCAACAGGTGCATGAGTCAATCCGAAGTTCGAGTCTCGATGGGGACAGTGAAATATCGAATGCTGCTGTCGCGAAGGCTCGGGGTCACAGGCATGGGTCGACGATAGATCTCCATGTAGACCTCAGGAAGCTAGGCGCAGTGTTGATAGACGCAAAGCTATGATCCGAGAGGGGATATAGAATCAGGTGAAGTGTTGTGCGCAGGTGCAATGGTATATGGAGCACTGACCCTGTATCCGAATGCTTGACAGCTTTTGTGGTGCAGCGGGAAAGTCGTCCCCAGTCCAACATATTATCACAGTTGATGAATTGAACGCAGCCTTGTGCGTGAGCTGCGTCATCAATACCTCGCAGCGCATCAAGGAATTGAAGAGAGGACTAATAAGCTCAAGATTTACGAGAGGACTAATAAGCTCAAGATTTACTAGTCCTCTGCTAGACTAAGGGCAGCGCAGCCGCTCTATTTATGTCCTCAACCTGCTTGCGTGTCAGTTTAGGCCCCTGACCGTCGCATTATCGATGAGCTCCTGAAACAATCAATGTCTCAACACAACACTCCATCTAGCTCATTGTCGTCCATGAGGCTAGCAAGTCTTGCGACGAAGGCAGAGCTTTGCCATGAACTTTTGCAATTTCTGCCGCCCTAGTGCTTTGTTTATCAGATCTGCAATCATGTCTTCAGTGGCGACGTATCCGAGTGACGTGCAAGCACGCCGTACACAGTCTCGTACAAAGCGATATCTCGTCCGTATGTGCTCGGTGCGGGTGTGGAAGCGAGCATCATTGCCAAGGCAATAGCACCTTGATTGTCACCATGGACGTGGAATGTCAAGTGCGCACCGACGGCTTTGAAGTCATGCAATAGGTGTTGCATAGTGATCTTGACCCATTCGAGCTCCTTTGTCGCGTTGGCCAGCCCGATGTACTCTGCCTCCATTGTAGACTGCGCAACGACTTCCTGCTTCCGACTGCTCCAACGAACGCAATTTGGGCCGAGCATGACGATATGCCCACTGGCTGACTGTTGTTGTCAAGGTCATTGGCATAGTCGGAATCTGATGACACATGCACATCCAAGTCGCCCTTCTAGAAGACAAGACCTACATCCTTCGTGTGCTGCACATAGCGTTGGAGTTGCTTCGCTGCCCGCCAATGTTCATAACTCGGCTTTGCCATGAAACGACTTAGGACACCCATGGAGTGTGCCAAATCTGGTTGTGTTGCGGTCGTAAGGTACATCAAGCTCCCGATGACGGCCATGTACGGCATAGTTGCCATCTCTTCTCGTTCAGCTGGTCTGGGGTCACACGTTGCTTGAGAGAGTGAAAGGCTGCTCGTCATTGGGGTGTGTGTGCCATTGCAAGACTCGAGTCCAAAGCGCTTCAAAATCTCCCTACTGTAACGTGCTTGACTCAGGGTAATACTGCCATCAGAAGCGTAGGACAGCTCCATGCCACAGAATTGTGTGGCGATACCAAGGTCTGTCATGTTCCACTTTGTTGACAATGCCTGTTTGAAATCAGCCAAGGTGCTGTCGCTCTCAGCAATCATCAACAGATCATCGACATAGAGGACAAGCCGAATATCTCCCCGCTGAGAATAAACAAGCCTTGCTCATACTCGCATCGCAGGAATCCATAGGACAATAGGAACTCCGACATAACAATGTACCATTCGCGACCAGACTGTCGGAGACCATACAGCGTGCACTTGAGGCGGCAAACAGCGCCTTTTCCACTCTCATAGCCAATTGGCTCGTGCATGAACACCTTCTCTGACAGGTAGCCATCTAGATAAGCGCCAACAACGTCCACGCGCCACACCTTCAAACCCTTGTTGACAGCAATAACTAGCAAGGTGTGAATCGTGGTGAATTTCGCAATGGGAGCAAAGGGCTCCGAGAAGTCAACATGCTCCTCTAGCTGGTCCCTGTGCGCGACAAGGCGCGCCTTGAATTTGTCGATCGAGCCATCTGGGTTCAACTTGAGCTTGTATCGGGAGCTTATTGATGATGCGACCATCAGGGGCCCAAGCTGACATGCTGGCAGGTTAAGGGCATAAATAGAGCGGCTGCGCTGCCCTTAATCTAGCAGAGGACTAGTAAATGAGCTCCTGAAACAATCAATTTCTCAACACAACTGCTCCTTCCTCAGCCAGCGAATGTCAGGTACAAGCTTGTTGCTCCAGAAGAGAGACCCTCCGACTGGACGCAAGACAACTCGGAAGGGCCAGGGTCCATTGCAATGTTGAATTTGATGTCGTGTCCGGTTTTGTTTCGAGAAGTGCACGGACAGCTCAGGAGCAGCATTTTAAGCAGGAAACGTTGAGTGGAGTTCAAGAATGTGTTCACATTATGCCTATCCCCCAAAATGACTTTTCCTACAAAGTCAGCATCGAAGTGGACGCTTGCAGAAGCTCAAACGGTGGGCTTTGACTCTGCAAACACGCAGCAGTTCGCTTTTGATGATAAGTACCTTTTCTTGGCTGGCCTCGAAGAGTCAGAGATACACACGACGGACGAAGTTGCTCGACATTTTCGACACCTTCTGCATGATCTGATTTTACCTTTCAGAGGCCCGGGCCGGAGCTCCTGGAAATCAAGCCAGGTGCGCTTCGACACCTGATGCAAATGCAACAGGCGTCTCGTGCTCAGGCCAACTCAGCAGGAAGGCTTCGAGTCCTCTTTGGCAGTATAAGCCAGCTGACCAGGCTTGCAGACAAGCCATTACAAGCAAGCAGCGAGAGTCCTGCTTCGACAAGGTCAGGCGAGTCGGAGGCGAGTCACCAGCATGAACCGTCGGCGGAAACAGTCACGCAAACTTGCGCGCACGACATCCTGCGGCTGCTTCTGGATGTCATTGAGGATCGACTAGTCGAAGTCAGCTCAAGCGTAGAGACTCCCTTTGAGATTGAGCACAGCACCAAGCTCTGGACAGAAGACCCTGCGCCAGCGGATTCGTCTAGCTTCCGGCGGTTCTTTGGCAGCGAGAACGATGGCTCAGTACAGGAGACACGGAGAAGCTTCGAACGATCAGGCACTGAGGACCGTCATCTTGAGTATCGAATGCAAAAGACGACGCGAGGGGTTTGGCATCGGCGACTTACCAAGCTTCCAGATGTGCGGTCAATCCTACGCCCAATAGCTGCTTTGGCAGTTAAGGATGCGAGAGAAATACTGACGCGCGACTGTCTGAGAGCGGGCAGCTGACCACACACTTGGTCACTTGGCAGCTCGCCAACGCTATCTTTCGCGGCATTTCTTGCACTCACACACTGATGATATCGTCTGTGTCCTCAGTCGAGGCTTCTGTGCTGCTCCACGATTTTGAGCCGTCATTTCGCTAGCACAACGCCGTCTGTACTCAGGTTGCTGCGCAGAAGGAGGCTGCGGTGTTCAGAGTTTCGTGCTGTGCTCAAACTGAAAGGGACTCTCTAAGCTTGAGCTGACTTCAACTAGTCGATCCTCAATGACATCCAGAAGCAGCCGGAAGAGATCGTGCGCACAAGTCTGCCTGACTGTCTCCGCCGACGGTTCATGCTGGTGACTCGCCTCCGACTCGCCTGACCTTATCGAAGCAGGACTCTCGCTGCCTGCTTGTAATGGCTTGTCTGCAAGCCTGGTCAGCTGGCTTATACTGTCAAGGAGGACTCGAAGCCTTCCTGCAGAGTAGGCACGAGAATGAGACGCCTGTTGCATTTGCATCAGATGTCGAAGCGCACCTGGCTTGATCTCCAGGAGCTCCGGCCCGGGGCCTCTGAAAGGCAAAACCAGGGCATGCAGAAGGTCTCGATAATGTCGAGCAATTTCGTGCGTGCTGTGCATTTCTGGCTCTTCGAGGCCGGCCGAGGAAAGGTCCTTCCTATCAAAAGCGAATTGCTGCGTGTTTGCAGAGTCAAAGCTCACGACTTGGGCTTCTGCGGCCATCCACCTCTATGCCGACTCTAAAGGAAGCGGCATTTGATGGGGAGTAGAAGGGGTTTGAACGCTTTTGTATTTTATGAGCTGCCTTTTCGCCCCTGAATGTCACATAATTTCTACACTTCTTACGATCTCCATCGACGACTTCTACTTTACCTGAAAGACTGACCTTTGGCTTTGCTGAAGACTTGACGGGCGCAGGCCAGTCTCCTGCTTGCAGCGGCACCATCTCCCGGATCAGCTGCACGCAAGAAGCGATCATGTGCACTCTCAAGGGTTGCTGGAGCAACCCAGCAGATCACGGACGCCTCTTCGCGATGAATGCAGCGAGCTCATCTGCTACTGCAACAATAGCTTAGCGTAGACTCTCCAATTGATACCACGCGCCGCAAGTGCGGCCTTGCCCATGACAGTGGAAAGGCTGAGCTTTCCAGCTACGACATGAGGTTTCTCATTCGTGACTGGCGTTTGCCAAGCTTGAAGACTGGGCATCGAAGACTGTTGTTCAATGAACAAATCAATAGTGACGAATGACAGGGAGAGACTCTCATACTTTCGTTAGCCTCGATGGTCCCGTCTGACGATATTACCTTCATATATCAGAAGACCATTCGCCTTTTGGTTTAATTTTTTTCAACGATATCATCTCGCTTTACAAGAAACTCTTCCATATCCCAGGAACAGCTTACATATTTTCCATCCATCCTTTCCTGTCTTTGTGCTGCTAGCCATACAAGAGTATTTTCTGCAAGCTGTGCCTCGTGCGGCAGCGTACGCCGGCGCGCATCAGGTATGCTTTCAATGGCTCCTTGATAGGCACAGGACGTCACAAGCCCATGATCTTGGTACCTTAGTCGTAGTGCTTCTGTCCACCTTGAAATCGCAAGCCCTGAACTTCTGTAACTTGCGCCTTCGGGACGTTCACTCAGCGCGCCAGACGATGACAAGCTGATGCACATACATGAGCCGTTGACTTCCGAACGGGATTGCAACAGCCAAAGTACACGAACACTCGTCATGTAGCACCCCGAACATAGATTGTGGAGCGGAACCGAGGATGGAATTGTATGGTCCCGTGAACGCCGCCTTTATGATGATAGCCAGCTTCTTGATCGGGAGCCTCTAGACTTCGTTAGACAACGTTCAGCACCTTTTCTGAAAGCAGTATCAACTTTACAGCACAAAATCAAAAGCTCAGATCGTTCAGCTTCTTTTGCGGCAGTCTTCTCTGTGTTCAAAACGTCCAACATAGCAAGCACGTCGGCAATGGTGACAATGGTTACTCCAGAGCGTACGAAAGCTAGGGCTGTAGAGAGGCCGATGCCGTTTTCCCAGGCCGCGACAGTGATCAAGACATTTTTGCCTGCCAGGAAAAGATGTAGAGGCGAGATATAGATGTGAGCATTCCGGCAGCAATCGAGTTTCGATCAGGCATTGTTGTCTTTCTCATGTAGAGCACACGAGCTGATGGTTCTGTTGGACTGGGACTAGGTAGTTTGTCGCAGCTGGTAACGCGCAATTGACAGCTCCCCGGATGACGACACGTGGGATCTCGATTTGCCACTGTGACCAAACACCATGTCTTTGCAGCTACCGCGTCGAGGATCCTCGAGCGATCAGGACGAGTATGATCTAAGCCGCAGGTCCTCTTGGGCCGAGGTATTTATCGATACAAGCAAGCCGAAGAGAATGTCTGTTTTACCAGAGTATGAGCACGACCGAGACCTGCTAGCAACACCGCTATTTTCACCCGTCAAGCGCGACCCTTTCAATTTTCCAGCACAGGCAGTAGGAGAAGAGAGCAGTACATGGTCAAATTGGCTTTATGGCGTACTATCCACTATGAATAAATCTGGCCAACAATTGGACAGTTATGGCAAGATGCAGGAAGACTTGCACCGTGCAGCCATTTAGACAAGGGTAAAGGTCGAGCCATTGTAGGGTCTGCTCGGCCTGTTACGCCTGAAGAGGAGCAGCCTGGGCTTTTCGATGGGTTTTTGAAGCGAGCTGAGCAGGCAATGACTGCATTGATTGATGCACAAGAGCCAGATACCCCGGCAGCCGGTCCGCCGCGGCGGTCAGCTGAGCAGACAAGTCTTGAAACGTCGGCAGGTCCCTCCTCGTCATCTGGCCGGCCTCATTAATGCGTGGTGATGAAGCGTCACTTTATGCGAAAGTGCCGACGTAAAGACGGGTAGTGACTGGTCTGTTGTTGAAAGGTCTTCTCTTTAGCCGATATCAGCTGCTGTAGCAAAGATCGGATGTTGTCTGGTCCCTAATATGGAGCTGCGCTGAGCTTTGTAGTGTATTGTATAACCAACAGTCCTTGCTGTAGAGGTGTGAAGCGCCTCATCCATTGACAGGACGAGTTAAAACCGGTAGACATTCAGGTGGCCATCAACGTTGCTCCTCAATGCGCACATATCATGGGTGGTGCAAAGTTGCTAATACTGTAGCGTCGTGCTTGTTGGCCCAAATCTGCTGTATTGTGCATCGGCTGAGATTGATAAGGTGCTGTATCCGTGGTACAATGCTGCTCAGCCTGCTCTGGTGGAGTTTGGTCAGCAAACAATGGGATGGCACAGAATCATAGTGAATACCGCGACCTCGAGACTCGAGAGCGTCATGATTTCACCAGGCACCAAGGAGCCAGGTTTGACGCGACCGTTGTCAAGTGTGGAGGCGCTTGTGAAAGCTGGGCCACCAGAGTCAGCAGCCAGCGTTCAGTATGAGGACGATGTGAAGACCCTGCAGGTCGGTGCAGCCCTGCAGGGACTTGGATTGAGTCGGCACTGACTCAGCAGATGCTCTCGCCGTCAGAGTCTCACAGAGACGGTCAGACAGTATTCATGTCCACTAGACTGAGTTTCGCCAAGAGCTCGCACGCGCATCTTGGGCAGACAAGTGACGTGTTGTGGCCCTGATGATATCTCTTCGACACTCTTGTTTGCGAGACGGTGAGCTTTCAGTGATTCGACTCTTCACTGAGCTCCATTGCTCTAGTACTACTAAAATCAGTAGTACCTGGTCCTGACCGTCCTGCACCACAACTTCCACTAATGCCAGTCGTAGCCTCGTAGGTCCAGTACAAGCGAGACTTAGTGAGTTGAGACTCGAGAGACGAACGATGACGATGCAGATGCTTGCTATCGGGTCAGTCAATACCTGGGCAATGGGCGCGCTGCATGCCTGCATCTAGCGACGCATTTTAAATATAGCACGGCAACTTCCGCATTCAGCGACTCGACCATTTCCAGCGCAGCCAAATTCATTTTGCACCAAAGCGAGAAATGCAGCAACGCAAGCGCGACGGCGATCCAAACATGTAGCGCTTACAGACTTACAGTGTGACTGTGTGACTGTGTCAGGCTGCAGGCATACAGTCGCATACTGCCGCATACATCGCTGACGCGCGGCTAATGTTGGCTATGCATGATGCATCAGCTTCATCAAGGTTGCCTGTACTGATCCTACTAGTAGTCGGCTGCTACTGATCGAGCCTCTCTCTATTACATACGAGCGTTGAGTAGAAAGCTCGCCTAATCAGAAAAACATAGCAGCTTAAGCGTCTTAGAAGCGCTAGTCAGATATGATGCAAATGCCAAGCGCTTCATCTTGTCATCAAAATATGGACTCTGAAGGCTGATCCTGCACTATTGCTTGCCGGGGGCCCTAGCCTCTAGTCGATGACCTCACAGTGCTAACAGGAGCGTGTAGACTCTGTAGAGTCGCTGTGACAGGGTGTACACTATACTAGCCTACCACAGGCTACCAGTGCCACGGCCCACAAGCCCTAATGTGTACTATCGTCTATAGTAGGTCCGTAGTAATGCATCACGATTCAGATTCGGGAAGACGGAGCCACCGAGCTCTTATCCTCGTAATCTTGCGGCCAGTGGCCCCGCAGTGGGCCGGGCAGTGGCCAGTGGCAATGGGCAGTGTCACTGACTCACTATGTCAGTGTGCCAGACTATCAGAGACTAAGCTTGCCAGACAGTACCAGACTGCCAGTGTGCCAGCCTGCCAGGGCCCAGGGCCCAAGAGTTAGGAGCCTGGACCCAGTGGCCACCCCGATTCCCGAATCCCGATGTCCTCGAACCTCGTCCACGGGCCAGGCGAGGGCAAGCCTCTTGAAAGTTGAGACGAACGGTACAGTAATAGTGGTACTACCGATAATCGTGCTCTACCATTTGTACGACAACGCATCATACGGCCGGACATGGGCTCAACGGAGTCAGCGACCCAGCGAGTCAGCGCGCTGTAGCTTGTAGCCTGTAGGCAGTAGGCACCCTAGGCCTGTACCCCAAATTCCAGACTTCAGCGGCCAGCGCTAGCCTGTATTGTGCTTGTACGAATGCCATAACGAGCTATGGCCAATTGGTGTCGACAGGGTTGTTATTTACATCCTCAAGTTATCAGTTGTAGCGACTCGTGGGTCGTGAGTGACTCGTGACTCGTGAGTGGCTTTCGAGCGGCATAGAGCAATGATAGAGGTCGTTGACGCGTTGCAGACATTGAGTTCAGACTTGCAAAGTTGCAAACTGATCGCTTGGTGCTGTAAGTTTGCATCTGCGACAGGATTCACAGGAATACACATGACTCCATGTCCTAGCGATGCCAGGCCAAGCAGTCGACTTGCTTTCTGGTCATACAGACAGGCATCTCGTCATGACTCATGAGCTCACAAGGTCACAAGTTCACAACATGTAAAGCAATGCTGTCATGCGTACCATCAAGTCAGACACAAGGCCGCAACGAGCGGTTCATTCTGCGCTCATACCGCTTGGCATCTGGCCGCGAGCAATGAGCATATTCGGCTCAATTCTCCAGTGTGCTAAATCTCAATCTCATCGGGGCCGGAATGGGCGCGTTGCCAGGAGATCTCGCCCAGGACGGCAAGTGGCGCGCCCAGGAAATTCCTCGACCATCAGCGGGCGACGACGGTCGACTCCCGCTCGCTGCCCTCAGGCGCTTATGAAAATGCATCAAAACACGCAAGACAAGTCATGACGCCGCAGCTATGTGCATCTGCACAGAGATACGAAGCATTCTTCCTTCGCTTCAGAGCTTCTTGGATATAAAGGCTCCATCCTCGCCAATACCGTCCTCCATCCACCCAGCTTCTCACCTAGCTTGACGACATGAAGGTCCAGGACTTCTTCACCACATTCGCTACCTTGGCTGCGGCCGTCTCTGGTTCTGCCCTTCCTCACGCTAGGCGGCAGAACGGTACCAACGGTATCGCGCCCATCCAGTTTGTCACAACAACAGTCACTGCGCCGAACGGTGCGACACAGACTCTTGTTGTGCCCATCAACATTAGCATCAACGGCGGTGTCGCGCCTGGCAGTGTGCCTGGCTCTGGTGCCGGTGTCGCTCCTGGCTCTGGTGCTGCGCCTGGTTCCGTTGCTGCCCCTGCACCCGCCGCTGGCGGTGTGTCGCCTGTCGGCAGCAACACGGGTCTCGTTACTGGTGTCATTCAGAACGGCGTGTGCGTATGCAATGGTGCAACCATTGTTGCCCAAGGTCTCTACGTCGGCACAGTCCAGACACAAATCATCATCGGCACTTCGACCTTTGTCACGGCCAGCCCGGTCACGACCAGCGGTGCAGTCACTGTTGTCAATGGCCAAGTCCTGCCTGCCACGCCTGTTGTGACACAAACTTACTTCCCTGTCACCAACACCAACTTGCCGCTGCCAGCTGGTCAGCAGTACCAGCAGGTCGTCCTTCCTGGGTCCATCACCATTACCATCATTGTGACGATCGGCCCAGTCGCCATCGGCGGTAATACTGGCAACAACGGCATCTCCCCTGTCGTGACGGGCCTGCTTCCTAATGGCACTGCCTTCACATCGACTGTCGCTCCTATCGCTGGCTCCCCTAGCACGAGCCCTGTAGTGACGGCTGCACCTACCACGTCTGCTGCTGCCTTGGCATCACCTATTGTCTTCACGTCTGCTCCTTCTTCAACAGGTGTGTCTGGCGCTCAACCTACGTCTCCGCCCAGCGGCGCCCCCATCGGGACATACGGCCAAAGCCCTCTTGTCAACCAGGCCAACTTCATTAATGATATGCTTGTCCAGCACAACGCCTACCGTGCACGCAACGGCGCTCCACCAATGACATGGGATCCCGTTCTCGCCAATTACGCGCTTGCTAATGCGCAGCAAAACGCTGCTACCCGCAATCTGCTCCATACCTTCCAGCAGACCCCTGGTACGACTCCTTACGCTGGCTCGCAGACGTACGGTGAGAACATTGGCTTCCAGTCTGGTGCCAATAACCCACTCAAAATCGTCTGGCTCTTCTACAACGAGGAGAGTCAATACAACCGCGCTACCCCTGGCTTCCAGACCAATGCTGGTCACTTCACACAGCTCGTGTGGGTCGGTTCGACAAGACTCGGTTGCGCTTATGTTGCCACCAACGACGCCTCACAAACTGCGTACTACCTGGCTTGCGAGTATGCACCGGCAGGCAACATCAACTCACCTGCAGAGTTTACGGCCAATGTCTTGCCAAACGACGGCTCGTCTTTCCCCACCGCCCCAGCAGACAACATCTAACTGTACATTCTATAAAGAGCCGTGTGCTTCTATAATACCATTTCTTAATCTATCGAAAGACGTTATCGACTTGTATTGTGTGAATGCTGGTTGAATGATTGCATCCTGACTTAATGCTGAGTTGCTGCTGCTATAGCCCGCAGACTACCAGCCCACCGTGCCACGTCATAATTTCTGATATAATTGACGAGTGCCTTGCGCCTTGCTTCTGGGTTTTCTGCTGCAAGCGCCGCCGCCAAGTCTTGACGTTCGTTTGATGTGAGTGATTCGACATTGAGATGCTGCCGTATGCGCTTGAGATGCGCTTCATATTGGTCGGCGGCCAGAGTTGTAGGCGTGTCATAGAGCGCCTGCAATTGTGCTTCGAGTGAGGAGCAGCATATGTCTCCCGAAGACTCCTCGCGCTTGATGAGCCTGAGGCCGTCGTTCCAATGCGTTTTGATGGGCCCTTGCTGGTGACTTTTTGCGAGTGTCATGGGAGGCAGATGCGTTGACGTCGACGCGCCAAAACGACTACAAACATTGGCGACAACCATGAGCTTGGACCGGGCGCCGAGCAAACGCTGGGTTACAGACTTGCCGCAGTATGATGAGGACGACTACGATGACTATGCAGAGACGGAAGGTCTGCCTGTGCCACAAGAGCCTGTAGTGGGGCCACCGCCCGCTGTCTCTTTGCCTGCTGTCGCAGCGTTGCCCGTCGAGTCTCGAGCTGTTTCACGAACTTCTGTGGAGTCGGACCCGGCAGTGGGTCCGAGCTGCCTGTCTACTGCTGCAGTAGTGCCCGTTATACCGCTCAACCCCGAATCATCTCCCATGGACTCAGCGCCGACGACCATCCGTACGCAGGCGCCACCTCCCTCCCAAGAGCTCGATGACTTGAGTAGCTTTGCTCATGTCATGGATTTTGCCGATGCCCCAGACTTCTCTCTGCATGATGTTGAAGAGAACGCCAAGGAAACCCGCGCCGGAGACTTGGTTGTGTCCTTCGAGGACGAGGGAGTTAAGGGAGTTAAGGAGACCAAAGAAGGAGCGATGCGCACGCCCTCGATACTGCTGGCCACCAATACTTGGGCTCAGCGGAAGCAGATGCTCAAAGATCTCAAATTGAAGCAAGAACTGAATGAGGATGCTCCAGCAAATTTTGAGACGCCTGGTGAATGGAAGGTGTATGACGAGACACCAGTGCTCAATACTTTGGTGGAGGAAGAAGAGGATGAGCGAACACCAAGTGCTGTGCGTGTATCTCCGTCCAGACGCTCCATTTCGAGAGAGGCTCCTAACTCGCGCCCACAATCTATTGCTGCTGAGGTGGCTCCCCCGCTCCTCAAGGCAGATGAAGTCTCGCAAGAGTCTGAGTCCAAGAATCTACCAAAATTGCCTCTATCGATGATCCATATGCCGACTCTGCTACCAGAATCGCCTCTATCGATGATCCATATGCCGACTCTGCCTGATGTACGCAACACGAAAGAGCACGAATTGCCAGCCCTTCCTGGCTCTTATAAAGATGCCTTACCCGACTTGCCAGAAATGCGTCAGGAGCCAGAGCCCGTCCACGATGGGCCCGTCTCAATGCCTAAGCTTGCGCTTTCTACAGATGATCTTCGGACCGAGCGGATCATGGAGCTTGATCCAGCACTCTCTGTCAACAAGCTCCGTGGAGGCCACTTGCCCGCACCCTCCCACACTGAGACAGAAGCGAGCCCAACATTGTCTGCTTCAAGCCCGGCCGAATCTCGGCAAACTGGCAAACGAAAAGCATCACGGCCAAAGTCGTTCGTGCAAGAGACGGCTTTCCGACCACTGTCGCCGGTGCAACCCATATCTCGCTTTTCAGTGGATTCGCCCGTAGACAACGACTACCGTTTCAGTATGGGCGACTTCAATCCAGCCATCATTTCCCCAGAAAGCGAAGCCTCTTCTATCGAGGTGCGAGAGAGCGATCGTCTTGCTCAGGAACTTCTCGACGAGCTGCAAATTGGATCCTCAGTGGCCGAGACGAATGAAGCATCTTTGCAAGAGCCCTCTATGCAGGAAGAGGCATTGCCACGCAACTCACGCAGCCTAGATGAGTCACCGCGCGAGATGGACGTGCCGCCGGTACAGACACTAGACAATCTGCCTCGCCGGCCCCCGTCCACCAACCGAGCACGCAGCAGCTCAGGTTCACGCTTTCTAGAGGCCCTGGAAGCCCCTGCTAGGCTCGACGTCCAGCGAGCCATGGATAGCAAGACACTCGACTTACTCGAGCCACAAAACAGAATTGTCGAGATTCGACGGCGTATACACATTCTCAGCACCGCGCCGAGTGAGCTACAAGCCTATCTACAAATCAAGTCTCGAGAGCTGGCGACACAGCATCGCGAGCTGCCGCTACCCGCAAAGCCAGCGACTCCGCCGCAGCCTCAGCGGTTTGAAAAAAGCAAAGATGCGGCGCGGTCCGTGCTGAGTAGAGCGCGACGCGCGAATTCCGTGCTAAAAAACCTCGGGCGGCGGACGGCATCAGGACTACAGCGTAATTCACAAGAGTTGTCGTAGATGGATCTAGGGCCCTTTGACTCGCATGGCTTCTTTAGCTCACTCGCCATGATCATCGTGTCTGAGCTTGGCGACAAGACCTTTCTCGTTGCGGCACTCATGGCCATGAAACACGACCGGCTCGTCGTCTTTGGCGGAGCATTCCTGGCGCTCCTCGTCATGTCTGTGCTGAGCGGGCTCGTTGGCCACTCTATGCCAGCCTTTTTGCCAGCCTACATCACCAAGCTCGCGGCGTGTGGCCTCTTTCTTGTTTTCGGCGTCAAGCTGTGCTATGAAGGCTACTACATGGACAAGGATGCGTCCGTCAAGGAGGAAATGGCAGAGGTAGAGCACGAGATTCAAGATGTCACGCTGGAAGATGGACAACCGCAGCCTGCACGCTACGAGGGAGTCGCCAACCTGGTAGGGCTCGTCTTTTCGCCAGTCTTTATCCAAACATTTACACTCACATTTCTGGGCGAGTGGGGCGACCGTAGTCAGATTGCTACGATTGCCATGGCTGCAGGCAGCGACTACTGGTGGGTCATTCTGGGGACGATTCTGGGGCACTCGCTGTGCACCTTGTTGGCGGTGGTGGGTGGTCGCATGCTCGCGAGCCAGATTTCAGTGCGCAGTGTGACATTGGGCGGGGGCATCTTGTTTCTCCTCTTTGGCCTGCTCTACCTTTACGAAGTCTTTGTATGATACGCTTGTTTTCCTCTATAGCAGCTCTACAGCTCCTTGCCCTCGCGGCCCTTGTCCTCTCCATCATCAGCGCGCCCATCACCCGCTTCAGGTTCATCATCGCGTCAACATAAACATGGCTAATCAAAACAGTAGCTTGGGCAGCGCAAACGGCGTCAAATTTGGCGTCTTTGGTTATTGCGCCAAGGCAGGATGCAGCAGTATACAGGTTGGGTATGCTACAGACGATATCCTCTCTTCGCTGTCAAGTGCACTCAAAAGGCAGCGCTTCATCTCGCCCTTCAATCTGCCTAGTACCACGCGAAATAACTTGAGCAATGTCCTGCTCGCTCATCCTGTTGCGGGTGGCTTGACGCTCGTGATGCTCTTGCTGTCCATCATTGGACATTCGAGCAAGGCGTCTGGCTCATCCCGCTATCACACGGCGCTGCTTATCCTCAGTTTCTTGACCTCCCTCGTGACGCTCCTCGCATTTCTCGTCGACATTCTCATTTTTGTGCCCAACTTGGATTGGGGCACCTATGTGACGCTTGCTGCCACTATCCTGAATGCTGGTGCGACGCTTGCTCTGTGTGTCAGTCAACGGCGACTCAAGACGCGCAATGCAATGCGCTCAAGGATTGCAGAAAACGACGACTATCAACCAGCCCAGACACAACAAGACGAGCCTGAAAAGGCAACGGCCACCTTGCCAAAGTTCGCTCAGTTTGAAGAGTCGCCACCCTACAAGCACTCGACAGAGACTGAATACGACATGCCAGGCATGGCCGTGTCGGAGCCCACGCAGCGACTGCTGCCAGCCCAAGAATCTGTGCCTCGCATTGCGTACAACGTCAGCGAACAAGTGTCACCTAATCCGACGCAAGTGGCTCCTCGGTATGGCTACATGCAGGTCGAGGAGCAGGCGAGGCAGCACCCTATGCCGACACGAGGGCCGCGGCCAGCACAAAGATACGGACCTGGACGGGTCGTGTCGGGTCCGCGGCCCATGCCTGCCATGCCTATCGAGCCTGCCTATGTTGCCAATGAACCATGGCTAGCGCAAGAGGGAGAGCAAGACTTGCGGCATGTGCAACCGCCACAGAGCCCATCGACGCTGAGCAACTCGAGTCATTTCACGTCGGTCTCGCAACGCGCGGTCAATCCAAGGTGGCAGGCAAATCGTTCGGGCATGGGCGTAGACGCACGCGGCAGCAGACCTGCCGACGCGCGCTGGCAGCGTCGACCCGAACCGCCGTCTATTTTGGCAGGCAATCCGGATTTTGAGTTGACGACAATGAAGGCGTCGAGGCTGCCACGGAGGAATATGGCGGCGATTGCAAGATAAAGAGTCATGGTTTAAGAGTCCACTAGCTTTAATAAAATAGTAAATGGAGACGCAAATGCGCAGTCGACATCAGCTTCCTTCCACAATATCCACCAGCGCAACGACATTCACGAGACTGCCTAGAGGATGGCACATTTTTTTTCTTTCCGTCTTGTTGTCTGTGGGGTCAGAACAGCCCTAGGATGTTAGTCTTTGAGACTGTCATGGTGAATCTTACCGAATGGCTTCATCGAAGACACCTTTAAGGCCCTTCTGATTCAGCGCGGAACACTCAAGATATCTGTCAGGTCAGCACGGCCGACTTCGACGAGGACGACGTACTTGACAGCACGAATCTCTTTGGCGAGCAAGAGGCCTTCAGAAAAGGTGACTGGGCTCTGTCCTCTTTGTGATAATCGGTCGATTGTTTCGCGATCGTCTCTGAGATCCATTTTTGTGCCAACAAGAATTATAGGCACGTCCGGGGCATGGTGACGCACTTCAGAAATCCATTTGCTCTTCACATTCTCGCATGATGCAGGATTTACCAAGGAAAAGCATATTAGAAAGACCTCTGTTTGCGGATAAGATAAGGGGCGGAGACGGTCATAATCTTCTTGGCCAGCAGTATCCCATAGTCCAAGATTTACTGGCGCGCCGTCCACTGTGACTGTAGCGGAATAGTTGTCAAATACCGTCGGAATGTATTCGCCAGGGAAGGCATTGGTAGTGTAACTGATGAGCAGGCAAGTCTTGCCGACAGCGCTATATGTTAGTGCTTCATCAACAGCAGACAGACTGACCCGTCGCCGACTACGACGCATTTCATCGTTCGTGGTGAGGCCATTCTATGCACTTAAGCTGCAGCCGCTGCTTGTAATTTATGAGACTGAACAGATGGAAGAGCTGAGATACAGTTGACAAGTGTCGCAGTAACAAGAGTGTCGCTCAATCGACTTTGTGTTCTGCGAGGGCGCGCCTTGACAGCTCGTACCTTGTACTTGTGTCGTTCGCAGTTTCAAAGCAGATGATAGACCGTGACGTGGGAGCGTGCGCAAATCCTTGAGCGATCGCCTGGCTGAGTCCTTGCGCAACGCCGTTGTTGAGCTCATGAACAGCGCGGGAGATGTCAAAGCATCTGCCTGGGTGAGTAGCTCAAAGCGTGAGAATGTTTCGCATCACGGCTCGGGGCGCGCGCCTAGAGGCTAGCGCTAGCGCGCCTCACAACCGCCTGGACGCAGTGAAAAGGCTCACATTTCAGGGCTGTCTGCCAACGCCTGACTCTGAGAAGCATCGAGCAAGAAGTTCATCAGGAACGTTCTGTCTACTTTGCCCATACTTGAGGTGACATAAATCACGAAACAGCCGCGTAGGTATAGCCGCCATCAATCATGACGGATGATCAGGCGATCTTCCAAAACGAACATGATAAGCAATTACTCTCGGATGTTCGTCTTTAGCTGCTGATAAGCTCTCGGCTGACAAGATAGTCTGGAACCAAACTCTTGTCCGAAAGATTGAAGCAGACAGTTGTTGCAATCAAGGTTCTCATTTGCGATATATTCATGCCCAACTAATTTGGCTAGGATTTCGCAGCTTTCCTCAGACGAAAATCTACAGTGGAAGACGAGTCTTACAAAGGTTTGCTGTCTATCCATATCTGTCGATCGCCTTGCTGACGTCAAATTTTCAGCTATGCAACGCACAACGCGACTGTATGCGGAAAGTCTGAAGTCTGACCAGTCTCGGCAAGGAGATTACGTTGCCATTGTATCGCATTCGCTCGACCTTGACGATGCTGCTACTCAAGCACATCAAACATTTGCCAAATCTTTGTTCGAAGTTGCCACTGATCTAGCGGAGACTGCTAAGGAGGTCGAGAGAAGTCGAAAAGCGTGGAAGGAGAAAGCACAGAGACAAGACAAGCACGTCTTGGATCTGGAAGCTCAACGTGAGAAGGCAATTCAAAAATACACATCGGCAACTGAGGAGTTGGAGAAACTCAAGTCAGAGGAAGGCCAAAATCGCCGCACAGGGTTCTCTTTCAAATCAAAAGCCGGCAATGTAAGCACTGCCTGCCTTCCATGACTTGCTGACTGTCCTAGCATATGGACGATTTAGTGGGTCGCGTAACTATCTTCAAAACTGATATGCAGAGTAAGCAGGAGGCCGCCCAAGCGCAGCGCTCAGAATTGATGTTGAGTTTGAGACCGCAATCCATTGCTGAAGCTCAGAAGCTCGCTCAAGAAGGCGACAGTACCCTGAAGCTGCAAATGCTTAAATTTGGTATGCCTCAACCATGGCACGAATCTCAGCTCACTCTAGCTCGTCTTTATGAAAGCTTCTTGTTGTCTCAGTGCATGGCTATCTCGCCCACTGACCAATCTCAATCGTTGCGCTCAACTCTCAACTTGATAGACGATTCGGGAAACGTCGGAGCTTCCGCCTCATCATCCCATTCATTAGTGAACAATGATCAATTGGCTAGGCCGTCGGACCGCATCTTTGGCTCTTCTCTGGCGAAAATTTTGGCTAGAGAGGACCGCGTCATTCCAGCTTGCGTCGTATACACTTCTAGCCTACGGATTTTGGCTCACCTCAGGAACAATGCATCGAGCTTATCGAAGGGCATGGATTGACTACTGAAGGTCTTTATCGGCTTTCCGGATCTCTCTCGGACATAAGTGCACTGAAAGGTGCAATCAGCACTGGTCAGTTTATGATTGCATGAGATGAGTACTGACTACAAGGTGTGCCTTTGGCTTCGCTAGATTCGCAGGTCATTCAAGACCCCCATTCCCTCTGCTCAGTGTTAAAGCTTTTCTTTCGAGAACTCTCGGAGCCGTTAATCCCAAACCAGCGCTACAACGAATTTGTTGAGGCTTCAAGTAAGTCCCGGCTTGTCATTCCTGTCTGATCATTAGGAATACCAGACGAACCAAGACGTCGGATACGACTTCATCAGGCGGTCAATGAGCTGCCGGTAAGTGAGCTAACAAGCCACTATAATCTCTAACTTCAAGGATGAAAGCTACGCACTTTTGCGATACCTCTTCCTTCATCTTCATCGGTACGGTCGAACCCCGCATTGCACCTTTCATGCTGACCTCAGAATACATCAAAATCGTTCGCTAAATCTGATGAGTGCAGCTAATCTTGCAATCGTTTGGGGCCCAACGCTGCTCGGTGATCATTCCGTGGAAGATATGCGTAAGCGCTTAGTCCTTGCACAGGAAGCTAGCTAATCGAAAGCTCTCCAATCCATTGTCGTCGAGACAATCATACTCAATTGTCTGCTTATCTTCGAAGAGGATACAGAGCCTGTTGCGCTGCGCGATGACCACTTCTGATCGAGGATTTGCATGGCAACTGCACATGTGAGAGTCACGATGTCTTACTGCGAGAAGTTACTGTCTAAAATTGGATGTGTCCATGCTGATGCTTTGAGCTTGCGCGTCAATACACCTATGAGGCCTAGTTCTCATCGCACCCTGCACGCGGCTTTCGTCAATTGAAGGAGATTTGTATATTTTGACGACCTGTAGCATCACAAATGCGAATAGAGGCTCGGCTTCCTATCCTGGATCAAAAGTGGAGTGCGTAGGGCGCCCTTCGACTGCAGGCAACAGTATGCGGAGATTTGAATGTATCAGATGATGTTGTGACTCGTGAGCCATCTGATGGGCCCTGGTCGATTTGTAGCACGTGGCATACAACAACGACAACCCAACTACAGCAACTCCGTTTGTAGCTGACTATACTACTCTGCTACATCTCAAGGAGGACGCCATGTTTCGCTCTTCGATGCTTCGATCTCCGGTTCAGCCACTGCAAATCCTAAAGCAGAGGTCTCAATCTACCTTTGCTCGCGAGCGAGATGCAGTGAAGCACCACGCTACGGAGACATCGTATCAGCCTGCATGGAATTCTGTTCGTCATTAACACTAGTGACCTTTGGCGCAAGATCTCGATCTATGTCTGTATTCCAGCGCTGCTGATCGCTGGTGTGAATGCCTACAACTTGTACTCGGCTCATCAAGAGCACGTAGCGTGAGTTTGCTTCTGCCCAGTCAATGATACTCACATCCAGTCATCTAGCCGAGCACCCCGAGGAGGATCATCCCGAGTACCCTTACCAAAACATCAGGACGAAGAACGTAAATGCACCCTTCTATGTGAAAGCAACGCTAATAGTAGTTTCCCTGGGCAAGTCGCATCCTAGCGCCTTGTTGTCTACTAATAATTTAGGGAGACGGCGACAAAACGTTGTTCTGGAATGATGCTGTGAATCAGCACAAGGAATCTTAAACGGAAGCTGAAGGTAGATTATTAGGGACGTCACACAAAATAAACTAGCTTTTTCTTCCCTTGCTCCTCCGCCATTGTTCTTAAGGATCGAAGTTGTAGGCCTCTTGAAAGACCATTAATGAATGGAGACTTGGTCTACCATGAGCGCATTGCTACGGTGTAAGCTGTTAGCCAAGATGTGAGATGTCGTACAAATGGCAAATGGCAATAACCGAGCGCGTGGACGAGGTTTTCCATTTGTTGATGATCAAGTTCGTCATTGAACATGATTGCGGAGCGACACGACCTACTCTGAATGGCTTCAAACAAAAAGGTTGGCATGTGTCTCAGAAGTGAAGGCCAGTGCTCAAGCTGGTCACTGCTGCTGTTGCGCGGGGATCGTTTGAGACCGTATGCGAGCTCCGAGAGATACTCGTTGAGCGCTTCAATGATACCAGATTCTCTGCGTTCCTCATAATAAGCTTGTAGGATGCATGGCAAAGCACAAACGAACCCAGCAACCAAGTGAAATCCCCAAACAGAGAGAGCACGAAGTTCAGTCTCATGCAGCCGTCTAGCACCCGCGAGCATGAAGGGCTTGACCTGAATGCAACCAATTCGTAGTTCACAGAGGCAAGCTTCGAATCTGATGCGCATCTAGATGAGCCAGACTGCAGGTCTAAAAGTATGTCATACCTCGGAAGCTGCGTGTTGATCGATCAGGACCAACTGGTCGCGAGTCTCATGCGATCGGCAAATGACGAGAATGAACTTCTTGTCTACTTGTCCGATAATCTTCGCGCGGAGCAGACTGACCTTGTCAATTCTGCGATTGTAAAGAGCTTGTTCTGCTGACAACGAACGAGTGTGCTGGACGACTTGCGCGGATCCTGATTTGTCATTCTTGTTCAGCGGATGTGCAGAACATGGAAGCACAGGGTTGCTGTGAAGGAGTGGGGCCGGGAAGTCATGTGTCTCTAGAGACGCATCCCAGAGTCTACGCCTCTTCGTAGTCTTCGCCTGAGGATGCATTTTGGCGGCTAGTCGACAGATTCATCCAGTCCTCAAGGTGTCCTTTTTCCAAAGACCTGCTCCGGAAGTCGCGATCAGTCCAGCCCGCGCATTTCCCCGGCCATATCTATTGGTCTGGTGAATGGTCGCGGACCCGCGGTGTCGTGGATCGGCCAACTTCGAACTCGAGCTACCAAGGCTGCGGTTGAAAGTCGAAGCTCAGCTCAATCTGGCACTGCAGGTGAGACGGTCTGGATTCTGCACGCTAAGAGCCGGCCATTTTGGAAGGCAGGACTCAGGAGACTCTGAGGACTTAGTGAGAAGAGCCGCCCCTCAGACTCAGTGTATCTTACGAGAGCATAGCGACTTTGTTCTCTCGCCGTTAATTCGGGGCTGGACAATCGAGCAATCATCTCACATTAGCTTCGATGGTATCTGGGCATGCAAGAGAAAAGCTATCTACATACGACTCGACTCGATGACACGTGGAACCGCAGCTGGTCCTGCATCAGACCACATTGTTTCGAAACATCAATGATGAATCAGCGTATGGATCCAAAGAATCAGTGGTTGGTGACAACGAAGGGAAAATGCATTCATAGTATAGCGGGACAGAACCCCTTTCATTGAGTACTCCTGGATCCATGTCGTCGAACGGATACTGAGCCGTCACCCATGATAGACCAGGGGTAGCATTCGTGCGCACCATGGAACTGCCGAAGTCAACAAACTCATCTGTGCAGCATAGGGTTCCGAATTTCGAACGAACAACGAACACAGGTCTCGGGTCGCGTTCGTTCGTGAGCCTCGAACACGGAACCTTGGCAGTTCGAGTTCGTTCGACCCCCAAGACAATGTGTTCGTGTTCGACTCGAACAAGGCGATCTTAGCAGTCACATACTGTAAGTCAGCTCGAAGAACATCTCAAGCTGAATAGAGTGTAAGAAAAGGTATTGATGCTTAGCAATGGAGAAAAAAAGGTCTATAATGGCCTCAGCCAATCAGCGCTGTGCTCTACTTTGTCTCTCGCGCTGCTTGAGCCAACTGCTCATACACATGAGTGCATTGACACTTTTTGCTTGCATGCGATTTCGCGTGTGAGGCAGAAGCAGTCGGCCTGCCGAGAAAGCACGCTCTGCAGATGCGCTTGTAGCTTGAATAGCCAGATAGCTAAAAGCCAGCTCGGCAAGCTTCGGAAAGCGCTTGTTGCCATGGTCGCGCCACCATTGCAATGGATCAGATTCGAAAGGAGCAAGTGGTTCGTCACAATACATCTTGATCAGCGATTCAGCGGATTGATCTGGCGATGGGTGCTCCACAGGGAGGTCTGTTTTCAAGAAGGCTCTCAGATAGCTTGAAGCAGCCGGAGCAGAGACCGTGGACTGCGAGTCTGGACGCCCGCCTGACGAGGCTGGTGCTGCTTGCCCCTCCTCGTCATTTTCCGGAGAAGAAATAAGCAGCTCGAGAAGTTGTGCGAGAATATCAGCCTTGTCAAATAGCGCAGGCAGTTTCTGCAGCTTGAAGCGGGGATCCAGGACAAGCGCAACACCCAAGCATGTCTTCTCTTGGAATATCATCGCGTACTTGTGCAACTTGGCCGCGATGACATCAAATGCGTCATCAAGGATGCCAGCCGGGTCTTTGGCTAATTGCTCCAGTTTCACTATGTCCGGCAAACTTGTGAAGAACATAATCGCCGTAGAGGCACTGACAGATTGAGACTGACACACCATGCGTGTCACTTCATCGAACGGTCCGATAAGTGCTGCAAAAGCTTCCAACATGTCCCATTCATCATCGTCGATTGAAGGGAGCCTTTGAGCCTTTTCAGTCAACCTCAAACGCAAGTAATGAAAAATCTGTCGTTTCTCCAGGGCTTCGACGATCATACTGAATGTGCTATTCCATCTGGTTGGCGAGTCCAGTGGAATCAATTTGTCAGACAGCGAGAAGGTAGTGCAGCCTTCAACATAGTTTTGCCGAACAGCGGGACTGTAATGAATCATGGTTACACCCTTGCGTAGACGAAGCAGCACATTATTCATCTTTGCGCGACGCGCTGGGTTGCCCACGTCCGCTGCAGCTGTCATCATTAGCTTTGTCACAACTGCTCAGTTGATGCTTACGCATAGATGGAAGCACTGACTCCGTTTCAATGGCATCATTGGCGACAGCCGGTCCAAGCTCATCCAAAGCAGACAAAGGCCCCAATCTAGCATCTCTTGATAACAACTTTCCAGCCCGGGCTCCAGATTCGGACCGATATCCTCGAGGCTGTGTTCAGCAAGAATCTCCAGTGTGCTGACGATCTCTGGTCGAGGGCAAGCATGACCAGCGACTCGTAAAGCATGCTGAACAGCCAGATTCAGAATATGAGCCAAGCACGGCAGATGCTGAGCACGGTCGAAAGAAGGACGGCTCGCACTGGTCAGAAGCAGACCGAACTCCTTGACGAGGGTCGTATTGTTGGATGCATTGTCTGTTGTGAGACAAAGCACCTTTGCGGTAATCTCGTAGTCTTCCAGAATTTCAAGTAGCGCCTTGGCCATATTGAGACCGCTGTGTGGATCAGGAAGCATACGAGCACTAAACAGAACGTCCATCATCTGCCAATCGCGACTGATCCAATGACCAGTGACACCAAAGATCGGCAACTGATTTGGAGCAGTCCAGCAATCTAAAGTGATTGATATTTTTCCAGGAGCGTCTGCCAGCAGCTTTTTGATACGCAATTGCTCCGTCTCAAACCTGTCGAGAAGTCTAGAGCGGATAGTATCGGCAGAACAAAACTTCATTGGTTCTTGTCTCGTGAGCAAGAAGAGCTTTCTTACATACGACGACTCGATGAGAGTGAACGGAAGCTTTTCGTTGACAAGCATATCGCAGAATGCATCGTACCATGCATTCACATTGAAGCCAGTGAAAGCTATCTGCTCTGACGAAGGATTTGACAAAGGCACATCAGCAATACCGCGTTGCCCTTGCTCCAAGCACAACCTCTTTTTCGGTGGCTGTGATGAGCCGGGAATCAGTTCTGGATGACGCTTTTGCAAGTGTCGTAAGCGGGTGGTGGTGCCTCTCAATTTCGTGTCGCCCTTGCACGCCTTAATCGAGTTGTGGACATTTCGGGGGCACACTTTGCATAGCCAATGTTGCGCCGATACCATACCACCCTGACGATTTCGCATTGTAAGAGTCAACCACTCGGTCTCGAAGTATTGTGTGTAAGGTATTTGCGAAGCACGCGATGATCCTGGTAGACTTGATTCGTCATCAGACTCGTCCGAGCTGGCCGGCATGGAATTCGCAGCTTCAGCTCGCTCCATACGTACTGAGTATACTGACGCTTGAGTGTAATGAAAGGCGTCGAAAGCATGCCAACAAGAAACTTGCCAGCTCAGCAAGATGCCCACTGTGGCCTTGCCCAGCGGCAGCGGGCCAGCGCAGCCACAGCGGCAGGCTGCAGCGGCAGGCTGCAGCGTGGCAACTTGACAAGGTGACAGTGAAGCACGACACCGAGCGACTGTCAGCTTGAGTCAGGCACACTTATCGCCACTCTCCTTGGTCTCTCGGTCACTCCGCTCAGTCTCCTGTGAGTCTGTGGCTCATCAATCATGCAGGTGGAGTTTCATGCCTAAATTTCAGTAGTAATTGTCCTTGTGGCCGGAGACTGCAGTCATAATATCATAGTCACTCATTGCAATTCGCAAATCCATTGCACCTGCTTCAAGGGTCAAAAGTCGAACGAACACGATCGAACCAAGGGGCCTTGTTCGTGTTCGACGCGAACAGACTTGGCTCTGTTCGTGTTCGTTCGAGGCCATTTTCGAACGAACAAACACCGAACTCGAACGAACGACCCGAATTTTTCGGAACCCTAGTGCAGCACCGCTCGGAAGCGCTGACAGGCGGATTCAGTAAAGAGCTTTCCACCAGAGAATCCTCTTCTTGGTCGACAATGACTACACTCTGTTCCAGCAGCTTGAATTCGAAACGTGCAGCGGCGGCCATTTGCTCGTAAGGGAGCTGCTCTTCTGGCGACATTCGATTCCATTCCTCGACGAAGAGTTCGACGATACGGTACTCCTGGCGTTGCATCCCAGCAAACCTGTCCTTGTTCTTGGCGCAGGTCCGAAACTGAAAGAAGGGTTGCTATAGCGCTCAATCCCGAATCATCTCGCACGGACTCAGCGCCGACAACCATCCATCCGCAGGCGTAACCTCCCTCCTCCCAAGAGCTCGATGACTTGAGTAGCTTTGCTCATGTCATGGATTTCGCCGATGCCCCAGACTTGTCTCTGCATGATGTTGAAGAGAACGTCAAGGAAACCCGTGCCGGAGACTTGGTTGTGTCCTTCGAGGACGAGGGAGTTAAGGGAGTTAAGGAGACCAAAGAAGGAGCGATGCGCACGCCTCGATACTGCTGGCCACCAATACTTGGGCTCAGCGGAAGCAGATGCTCAAGGATCTCAAATTGAAGCAAGAACTGAATGAGGATGCTCCAGCAAATTTTGAGACGCCTGGTGAATGGAAGGTGTATGACGAGACGCCAGTGCTCAATACTTTGGTGGAGGAAGAAGAGGATGAGCGAACACCAAGTGATGTGCGTGTATCTCCGTCCAGACGCTTCATTTCGAGAGGCTCCCGATTCACGCCCACAATCTATTGCTGCTGAGGTGGCTCCCCCGCTCCTCAAGGCAGATGGAGTCTCGCAAGAGTCTGAGTCCAAGAGTCTACCAGAATTGCCTCTATCGATGATCCATATGCCGACTCTGCCTGATGTACGCAACACGAAAGAGCACGAATTGCCAGCCCTTCCTGGCTCTTATAAAGATGCCTTACCCGACTTGCCAGAAATGCGTCAGGAGCCAGAGCCCGTCCACGATGGGCCCGTCTCAATGCCTAAGCTTGCGCTTTCTACAGATGATCTTCGGACCGAGCGGATCATGGAGCTTGATCCAGCACTCTCTGTCAACAAGCTCCGTGGAGGCCACTTCCCGCACCCTCCCACACTGAGACAGAAGCGAGCCCAACATTGTCTGCTTCAAGCCCGGCCGAATCTCGGCAAACTGGCAAACGAAAAGCATCACGGCCAAAGTCGTTCGTGCAAGAGACGGCTTTCCGACCACTGTCGCCAGTGCAACCCATATCTCGCTTTTCGGTGGATTCGCCTGTAGACAACGACTACCGTTTCAGTATGGGCGACTTCAATCCAGCCATCATTTCCCCCAGAAAGTGAAGCCTCTTCTATCGAGGTGCGAGAGAGCGATCGTCTTGCTCAGGAACTTCTCGACGAGCTGCAAACTGGAACCTCAGTGGCCGAGACGAATGAAGCATCTTTGCAAGAGCCCTCCATGCAGGAAGGGGCATTGCCACGCAACTCACGCAGCCTAGATGAGTCACCGCGCGAGATGACCGTGCCGCTGGCACAGACACTAGACAATGTGCCTCGCCGGCCCCCGTCCACCAACCGAGCACGCAGCAGCTCAGGTTCACGCTTTCTAGAGGCCCTGGAAGCACCTGCTAGGCTCGATGTCCAGCGAGCCATGGATAGCAAGACACTCGACTTACTCGAGCCACAAAACAGAATTGTCGAGATTCAACGGCGTATACACATTCTCAGCACCCTGCCGAGTGAGCTACAAGCCTATCTACAAATCAAGTCTTGAGAGCTAGCGACACAGCATCGCGAGCTGCCGCTACCCGCAAAGCCAGCGACTCCGCCGCAGCCTCAGCGGTTTGAAAAAAGCAAAGATGCGGCGCGGTCCGTGCTGAGTAGAGCGCGACGCGCGAATTCCGTGCTAAAAAACCTCGGGCGGCGGACGGCATCAGGACTACAGCGTAATTCACAAGAGTTGTCGTAGATGGATCTAGGGCCCTTTGACTCGCATGGCTTCTTTAGCTCACTCGCCATGATCATCGTGTCTGAGCTTGGCGACAAGACCTTTCTCGTTGCGGCACTCATGGCCATGAAACACGACCGGCTCGTCGTCTTTGGCGGAGCATTCCTGGCGCTCCTCGTCATGTCTGTGCTGAGCGGGCTCGTTGGCCGTTCTATGCCAGCCTTTTTGCCAGCCTACATCACCAAGCTCGCGGCGTGTGGCCTCTTTCTTGTTTTCGGCGTCAAGCTGTGCTATGAAGGCTACTACATGGACAAGGATGCGTCCGTCAAGGAGGAAATGGCAGAGGTAGAGCACGAGATTCAAGATGTCACGCTGGAAGATGGACAACCGCAGCCTGCACGCTACGAGGGAGTCGCCAATTTAGTAGGGCTCGTCTTTTCGCCAGTCTTTATCCAAACATTTACACTCACATTTCTGGGCGAGTGGGGCGACCGTAGTCAGATTGCTACGATTGCCATGGCTGCAGGCAGCGACTACTGGTGGGTCATTCTGGGGACGATTCTGGGGCACTCGCTGTGCACCTTGTTGGCGGTGGTGGGTGGTCGCATGCTCGCGAGCCAGATTTCAGTGCGCAGTGTGACATTGGGCGGGCGCATCTTGTTTCTCCTCTTCGGCCTGCTCTACCTATACGAAGTCTTTGTATGATACGCTTGTTTTCCTCTATAGCAGCTCTACAGCTCCTTGCCCTCGCGGCCCTTGTCCTCTCCATCATCAGCGCGCCCATCACCCGCTTCAGGTTCATCATCGCGTCAACATAAACATGGCTAATCAAAACAGTAGCTTGGGCAGCGCAAACGGCGTCAAATTTGGCGTCTTTGGATATTGCGCCAAGGCAGGATGCAGCAGTATACAGATTGAGTATGCTACAGACGATATCCTTTCTTCGCTGTCAAGTGCACTCAAAAGGCAGCGCTTCACCTCGCCCTTCAATCTGCCTAGTACCACGCGAAATAACTTGAGCAATGTCCTGCTCGCTCATCCTGTTGCAGGTGGCTTGACGCTCGTGATGCTCTTGCTGTCCATCATTGGACATTCGAGCAAGGCGTCTGGCTCATCCCGCTATCACACGGCGCTGCTTATCCTCAGTTTCTTGACCTCCCTCGTGACGCTCCTCGCATTTCTCGTCGACATTCTCATTTTTGTGCCCAACTTGGATTGGGGCACCTATGTGACGCTTGCTGCCACTATCCTGAATGCTGGTGCGACGCTTGCTCTGTGTGTCAGTCAACGGCGACTCAAGACGCGCAATGCAATGCGTTCAAGGATTGCAGAAAACGACGACGATCAGCCAGCCCAGACACAACAGGACGAGCCGGGAAAGGCGACGGCCACCTTGCCAAAGTTTGCTCAGTTTGAAGAGTCGCCACCTTACAAGCACTCGACAGAGACTGAACACGACATGCCAGGCTTGGCCGTGTCGGAGCCCACGCAGCGACTGCTGCCAGCCCAAGAATTTGTGCCTCGCTTTGCGTACAACGTCACCGAACAAGTGTCACCTAATCCGACGCAAGTGGCTCCTCGGTATGGCTACATGCAGGTCGAGAAGCAGGCGAGGCAGCACCCTATGCCGACACGAGGGCCGCGGCCAGCACAAAGATACGGACCTGGACGGGTCGTGTCGGGTCCGCGGCCCATGCCTGCCATGCCTATCGAGCCTGCCTATGTTGCCAATGAACCATGGCCAGCGCAAGAGGGAGAGCAAGACTTGCGGCATGTGCAACCGCCACAGAGCCCATCGACGCTGAGCAACTCGAGTCATTTCACATCGGTCTCGCAACGCGCAGTCAACGCAAGGTGGCAGGCAAAACGCTCGGGCATGCGCGCAGACGCACGCGGCAGCAGACCTGCCGACGCACGCTGGCAGCGTCGACCTGGACCGCCGTCCGTCTTGGCAGGCAATCCGGACTTTGAGCTGATGACAATGAAGGCGTCGAGGCTGCCACGGAGGATTTCGGCGGCGATTGCAAGGTAGCCTGCCAAGGACTTCACGGCAGCTTCAACATATGGACCGAGAATCAGGCTGAACATTTTGTACATCGATGCGCTTCGCTAATTACCGGAATTGTCTGTCAGAGGCTGCTCTGCCTGCGTTTGTACATGAACACGACGATGGACTTGAAGTTCCAGTCTGGAAATCGTTCTTGACCTTGGGACGCTTAGGACAGTACTTGTAATCGGGATAGAGGGCCTTGTGCTGTGTCTTCAAACCCTCTGCCAATGACTGGTAGAACTGTTTGTAAGCTGATGACAGTCTTCATCGATCAATTACCTGCTTAGTTTGCTCGTCCTCCTTCTTCCACATCTGCCCGAGGCTCCTGGAGACCTCATTATTAGAGATACCGGGATACAAGGCGATGAGCTCAGCTTGTTTTGCCTTGCGATACAATATGAAAGAGTTCGCTGGGCGTCGGGGAGGCCTTGGTTTGCCGGCTGGTATTGGATGCTCAAGACCCTGAGTGATGCCCGTAACAACAAGTGAGGGAAGCCGACAATCCTCTAAACTTGTCGGCATGACTAGATAAGATGAGAGGCGTCGCATGCCGTCGCAGACCTCTTCTGCGAAATCTTCTTCAGCGACAAGGACTGGAAGAAAGCCGTTCGGAATGAAGCAAGCCCAGCCCTCCGAGTGATTGATCATGCTCAACGCTTCTGCCATTGAAAAGTGCTCTATTGAGCCAAGCGGCATACTGGTCGCCATTTGCTGCTGCAAGATTGTGGTGCTGTCGGCCTCACTCGCAAAGGAAGTGGAGGTGGGCCTCTTCGAAGGGGACAAGGGACTTGTTATAGTTGGCAAGTGAGTCCAGGAGGCAATTTAATGTCGAATGATCCGTGCTTTCACTAGCCCAGATCGCCGTGAGATGACAAGGCACACTTACTCTACAATATAGCGTGAGCCTCTCATGCGACTGATGTGCACACTTTTCTGGTGTAAGATGCTGCCAGTGCTAGACAAAGAAATCTTGTAACAGCCAATCAAATTGCTTGAGTGTTGGTTTTTGCGGTTCGCATGTTGAAGAAACCCGTCAATAAGCACGATTGCAGCAAGAGCCCATGGTCAGTCAGAGATGCATGACGACTGGCTCCCTCCGACTTTCCGACTGCACGAGGCTCGCACTTTAGAGTCTAGAGACTATTGCGGATGTGCCAGTGTCAACATATCTCTGGGCAGTGGCAGTGGGCACCGTAGTCTGTAGATATGGCTGCAGCATCATTCGGAACCATCTGAATAAATTTTGAGCTTGAACAGCAACCCATATGCATCAGTCGGTTCCGACACCCCACTTCTCCTGTAGCTGCCTGGACTGGCGTTCACGCTGAAGCTTGCAAGTGCTTCGATTATCGTAGAAAAACAGCCCTCTTTAGCTAGATCTGTCGATGGCTTCCTGCTGAGTGCAAGCTGAGCTAGCGGTTTCAGCACGTTGGGACTTCCAAAGATAACACAGGCCAGATCTCTGGCAGATTGAAAATATCTTTGACGTCTCTCTAGCCTGTATACACTGTCTGGGCAAACCTCTGACAAACGAGCGAGTTGTTGCAAAGTCGCCGCATAATCACATCCTCGCGAGTGCAAAGCGAGAGCTTGATACGCTTACAAATAAGCCTCTTTACAGCTTCCATGAGCGCATTCTTCAGCGAATATGTTCCAAGTATGTCTTCGGCGCAAGGCGATATCCTTATTAGTGTTGCCAGCGCAATACAACCTCAAAATAGGGCACAAGTATGTTATTTTACATTTGACCATCAAATGCGCTGATCTAACGTCTAGGATGATTTCAAACTTGCAGGACAGAGCGAATGGAGCGAGATACAATACACAAACATGTATTCTCTTCTTTTCAAAGCGCAAGAGTGCGATAAGGAGCCAGCACTTCTCTCTCAAATAAAGGTTCCTCCATGGATTCAATTCGCAGAATGGAAGAATGTGGAATACTTCAAAGACTTGAGAAATCCAGCAATACAATTGAGACATCTGGCCAGGGCATTGCCTGCCTTTGGGGAGAGATCTTTCGAGGGCGCGTTACGGTGTTGTATCTCACATGGTGTTCCCATGAACCGGGTAGAGTGGCTACTACGATGTCTGTTCCTGAACAAACTTCGTAGGACGTCATCTCAGACGAGGTCTGACGATCTGGCTCAGATGCTTTTCCCAAACTTGGAACAAATCAAAGCTTCTCTCCGACAATCGGTAGAGTTTCTCGGGCAGCAATACTTGTTATGTGCCAACATGTGCACAAGGTCAGTTGGTCTCAACACATGTCATGACTAATGGTAGTATACGTATGCACTGGCTCATGTCCGAGAATCTGGTCAGAAATTCCGAAAGCTATGCTGTAGATGCTCAACGCGCAATCTCGTGGGAACCAAATATCGTGGAGGGACTTCCTGACAGCTTAAGCAGAGTGTGTTCTCTCGGATGCCTACAGAAAGTATTCATCGACGCGATCTGCTTCGCTGGTTTTGAATTTGACCGGCTGCTCTCTGTTGTGGTACAATTCGAATCTGTAATAGATTTGAACCTGTGGCTCCACATGGGTCAGCAAGTTGCTGCACAGAATAGGGAAACCTTTTTATTCTTCCTCGACTCACTTGTCACACTCGTTCACGATGGTTTGGTACTCCCACTGGCTCTCGTTGAAGCCTGGAGCTTCAGATTTCCGGTAATTTTCCTTTCCGGAGATGGAATACTGACTGAAGCATTCGCAGGGCTGTCTGGCGGTACTTACTGCCCTCGATGATGGATCCAGGGAGTACGCTCATCATCTTCAACGCTACACTGAGACCATCAATGCGGCGACTACTACTCTTGTGCGAGATGCTCATACAGAACGTTTGGCTGACACAACACACTCTCCAGATGGCATGATCATACGTAAGATGTGGGTCAGTACGAGCGACCTTGTAAGCTTATGTACAGAGAGAGGGCTTCCAAGGCTGATCTCTTGTGCTGCATCTCAGTTATCACAGCCAGCCAGTCTTATCAACATGTCGACTGACAGAGCCCTACGGCTGTTGTTGATTCTACTTCAATGCAAGCAGTTCAATCTGTTGATTCGGGTAAGGCTGAGCGAATCCTCATGCTGTATTCTCTCTCACAATTAGTTCAGCGAGACTTTATCAAAAGGCCTTTTGACCGCAGTGCTTGCAGCCATGATTCAGGTACGACCCCTTGGAAGAATAGACCTTATCTAATTCATTGAGGCTGAGAGCACTGTCAATGAAGACAATGAGTTGTTTGGCCTAATGAAAGCAGAACAAACACTTCCACTGTTGCGACTGATCCTGAAAACCGGTATCTCAAGTTCCTACTCCACGCGTCTGTCTATGCTCAATTCTGTGCAACAGCATCGCAAACGATTGTTAGAGCAACTTGCGAAACCATTAGAAAGTTTGCTAGGTATGGATCAATCTGATTCGCCGGCAGGTTCTAAGCCTTCTAGCTTGCTGAGTGATCATGAAAACGGCCTTGTCCAAACTCCTGGCGAATGCCATTACGACGAGGCTTTTGTTCAGAAAGCCGCTAAGATACTGACTGGCACCGCTGCCCATGATAAAATTCGAATTTTGACCGAATGCTCCGAGCTGGAAGCAACACACAATGTCGCTTCAAGGAAGCATAACTACTGGCAACCCCTCCGCGCCAAATGCGCTCAACGGAGGACGGACTTTCGCGGCAGGATATAAATCAATGACTTAACGGAACTTTTCCTACTTTGTTTGGCATTCGTATATTGTCGCACTCGCAGCTGGTAGCACGGGACAAGCAAAGGAAGCCACTCGCTTGCTCTTCTGAGTGTGATCCTCAGTCAGATGTCCACGTCAGACCCCATGTACAAATTTTGTGAGTTTATAGCTATCGAGTCTACAAGTAGCTGGCTCAAGGAAAGAATACCTGACATCAGGTGTCTCCGCCTCCATGAGCCGCAGCGAAGCAAAGAGCCCATGTTGATGTCTGGCCATCATCGAGCAAGCCGTACTTGAATTTGTTCACATTGCCCTTGCTGAAGAAGCCCCAGGAAGCTTGTGCATCGCTGATAGCCAAGTTTAGTACAAGATGCCTGCCCAATTATCCCTTAGATCAGCAGCAATAGGAGCAAGCACGTCATTCCATTCGTTTCCGACGAAAGATGCCTTCCTCACATAAGCTGACATCGGCGTAAGCGGTAGCGGTGATGACCAAATGTATGCCGTGAACATATTGCGTTTGGCCGCCGAAGAATATGATGTGCGCCATCTTGTTGGCGAAATGAATTCCCGACACGTAATTTGGGTTATACATACTCGGCTGGACGATATTGTCTGGGCCCAAGAGCATGTATGACTGAACGCTCCGGGCTTTTACAGCGCCCATCAGAGCTCCAAGCGCCTGCAGCTGAGCATTCTGTGTCGCTTTACCATAGAGCTGAATGGCGTATGCCAAGTTGTAATCCTCGGAAGAGGATTCCTCACTTGTTAGTTGGCACTCTCACTTGGGGATATATCTCACCTCGTCTTTTCCGTCCGCGAAATCCGTAGCAACACCATGTGCAATAGAATGACCAACATACCAGTCCATGCTGCGGAATTGAGGGAAAATTTGATCTTCTTCAGAAGGATTCGCACAACCCCGAATCAAATTTTCAGTTAAGGCCGAGAGCCTTGTCAAGCCAGCCCAAGTTGGATCTAGATGAGTCAGGACTGCTGCAGCGTAGATAATGTAGCCATAGTGAAAATCTAGCTGTCAGCAAGGTGCAGGCCTCAAAAAAAGCTCGTACGATGATCGTTATAATCAGTGCCGCCGAAATCAGCGCCTGATGTTGTGTACCCAGCGTCTGCCACGATGCCTTTCCAATTTGGATCGTAATCAAATGTCGTGTAATGGGCGTTGTCAGCAAAGACGTCCATGACCGCCTCCAACTGAGCTATGCAATTGTTGAAAAGATCTTCATCTTGCACGACATCTCTCGCGACCAAGCACAATCGTGCTGACTTCGCGAGGCACTTCCCGTTGAAGTATGTGGAGTACGTATTGCAGCCGAGGAAGTCCGATCTCAGGATGTCCGGCGTGACAGCTTTCTTGATGGCGAACAAATTGACATTATTCCAGATGGCTCGATCATCGTCGACAAGAAAGCCAATATCTGAGGGTAACGAAGGCTCAATCAACTTCAAAACATAAGACTGATACCCGCTCGCCACGCCATGCATTCCAGAATGCAGTTTAATGCCTGCAGACTGTATTCCTGGCGCGAGTGACGCAACGTGATGTGGCAGGGCGAAGATCAGTGGGGCCAGGGCCTGATTGCCACCATTTTCATATTTCAGAGAGTACGTGCCGATTTGGGAGCTTACCTCTGCCACGAGAGTGATGCTCGTGATCCAGTTTCCGATGAAACTATCGTATAGGCCATCACCGAGCGAGTCCTTAGGCAATTTACCAGCTTGTGTTGTGCCAGACCACTGAGATTGAGAAATGAGGCACACATTGGCAAATGAGAGACCAGGCAAGATTCCATTTGACAAGACATGAACGGCCCATTTAGAACCGTCTTGTAGGGCGAGAACCCACTTTTCAGAGAGCACATACACCATTGGTCATGTACCTAGAGCCGAAAAGACCATCTTCGAGTGCGCTTACATTCTGAAAGCAGCCAATTGGGCCGACGGGCGAGCCGGCCGGAATGGTCTCGTAGTTCGGATCCAGTCTCACTATAGAGATCGCCCCATTGCCACCACAAATCTCGTTGCTCCCGGAGCATTTGTAATTGCAATCTTGCGACTTCGATGCCCGAGGAGAGACTGTGTCTCCGCAGAAGCATTCTGAGCTGTATTCTGTCCCTGCCCATTGATAACCCTGTAGTTGGCAAAATCTGACGCAGCTAGCAACCGAATTAGAAGCGGAATTGTAGTAAGCCCCAATCAAAGTCCGATCGGCTATAGTATCACTCAAGCATTGCTCTGAGCCGGGTAGGTAGGCTGGGCTACTTGACGTGGACACCTGAGACTGTGAACGGCTTCTCGTGGGTATATCGGTCTGGCTCGGTCGGTTTGATACAACAGGTAGAGTGGCCGTAGGAGTTGCAGTGCTGCTGAGTTTGCTCGACGAGGTGAGTATGGCTGTCAAAGATTGAGATAGCACGAGTTGGGCTGAGCTTTTGATCCTGGAGCTATATCTGAGTATTAGCCATGTATTTGAACATCCCCTTTGTCTATACCCTGTCAGAACATTTGACATACTAGAAAACCCATCGATAGAGCTAGATACCGTGCTTTTGTCTGCAAACGCCGGTCGTCCACCTGTACTCCGCTCTGTGCTGGTCGTAGCAGAGGAGGACTTCAGCGACTTACTACTCTGAAAGGAGGACCGACCGAGGGCACTCAAGCCTGAAACGAAGATTCCGCCAGTTGCGATTATCGAATGGGATGAGATAGATCGTGTAGAAACCACCACAATTGTTCTCGAAGCAAAGTCTGGCCGGACAATCTCGATGCTTGTTGTTCTAGGGACTGCAAAAGTCGGGCGCGCTGCCAAAGCTGTTGCACAGTTGCAAAGGATAGAGAAAAGTAGTAACATCGACCACTGTACCAAAGACCTACGCCGAAGATTCTGAGCATTGTGGACCTTGACCTCCATCATTCTCAAGTCGCGTCGCGAGGGTACGAAAGTAGCCTTGGCAATCAATGGCCTGGCAGACCTAGCACTACTGCTTCGATGGAGGCATCATTGTTTTATCCTCGCAAAAGAGGAAGATTGCATGTGAGCCTGTTTCTCAAAGCGGTCTCAAGGACCAGCCTTTGGAAATTTCAATCGCGATCCCAGCTGATCAGAGCCCGTTCAGGGTATTCTGGCGGAAGTCCTGCCAAGTTTCTTGTCCAATCTGGGGCACATTTGCAGTGCCGACTGTAGCTGGACTGGCTCTTCAAGGATTTGTGGTTGTGTGTTTAGCTTAATTGAGGTATTGAACATCGCCCGATATGGCAAGGCTTTTTTTTGGAAAACCTTGCCTGCATACTCTGTGCACAGCCCGAGGTTGCAAGCAGCGCAGCAATACCCAACTAGTCAAGGCAGTCACCGTGAGGATTGCATACACTTTTGTCTAGTAGTCTCCAGTATCATCAAGCTGGTATGTTTACGCAGAGTCGTAGACAATGGCGGCCTAGGTAAGATATCGCGCGCTTTGTAAAGCGCCAGGGTGGGAACTTGGGCACGTGTTTAGGTTGCTCTCGAGATGGGGTTATCTGACATCCTGCTGGCCTTCTTGTCGATCGTGCGCTCGTAGTCTTCTCATCATTAGACCTCTCAAACGATGCTAGATCTTGGTTAGGGAGCGATACTGTGGAGTTGTCAGGGGAACATCTGTTGCTTCAGCAGACTAAGAACGATCTATTCGATCACACGCAAGAATATCGGACGTACAAGGAAGTCGTGGTCATCTAGTGTTGTGTATGGGAATTGACGATCATAATTTCTACAGGGCACAAGCTTGAGGCACTGAATGGTGCGAGGGCTGCCTGCCAACTTGCATAGAGACACGAGGCAAGCTCAAAATCAAAACATCTGGAGTTTTCATTCTTAAAGATCCATTCACAATGGCTGCGATGCCAAGGAAAGTCGTTGAACTAAAGCATAGGACTAAAGCAAATGAAAGTAAGCTTACAGGATGCACAATCTCGCAACACGCTAAGCAATGTGGACGTCTGCTCGAAGTAAGGCAGCATTGAGCAAGACAAGGATGTCCAACAACTCGCTTCGGCTGCGGCTGTTGCAAAGTACACCCTGGTGTCGAGGCCAACGCTACTCGTCGTAGCCAAGATTTGGCCCAGTCTGTGTGAGTGGTTCGATGATAGTGTATATCGGTTGTTTCAATATGGCAACAGAGAAACCAGAGATGCAGATACTCCTTCTCTCATGAAGCGATCGCCATTGGTGCCTGAGCGACGGCGAGCATTGGTGAACCACATGCTGATTTGTTTGATTGTCAGACCAGTCAACGAAGCCAATCGTTGTTTGTCAGCTTCATTTGGATATGGATGCTGCAGGTGCTCGAGATACCAGGCCTTCAATATCTTCTGCACAGCGCGTCGATGCGGTCTATTTTGTTGCACATTAGCCGTGCTCCCATTCCGGTGTTGAGCGCACAAGTCAACAATAGTAAGCGCTTTCGCTTTGATGGTGTCGAGCACAGCGGCGTCTAATGGCAGCCGCTGCAGCTCTTTTTTGATATACCGAAATCGATCAATTGCTGTGCTGACTTCTACAGAGCGCATTCTGAGGTCCGTCTCAACCTCATCGATCATTGTTATGATGTCCATAGCGGTTTAGACTGTAGATGCCTGAACAATCTGTCTCGTAAGATGATATGGAAGTCAGCTGTTTGGGCGAGAGTTCGAAGGCCCCAGGCGGAGAATATGTTGCTTCGATCACTCTGCTGATGCCGCCGGTCACCGGTGCGTTCAGCAGTTAAGTAGTTCCTGACGTCGAATGTCGTGTATGAGATATGGGCGCTCTCGGCTTTGCAATCGTGCCTTTGTGGGCCGGACTCGCACTTTTTGTTTGGAGTACAACTTGTGCACAGTTGCTCACAACAAAGCACTTCCACCACCCTTTCGCCCCAAGCTCCATGATGCAGTCCACGCCAGACCAGCTCGTCAATGAGCAGCAGCACTACAAAGAACTCTTCCAAAAGCTAAAAGTCAGCTACATTGAGGAAGAAACACGCGAGCGCTATTTGCGCATGCTTGCAGAAGACGACGTGTCTGCCGATACGGCTGCTCGCACACAGCTCGGTAAGCTCCTGTGCAGGCCTTGTTACTAGGACTCACGTCAGAACAACACAACGCCGAGGCCAAGGCGACGCTGCAGCAGCAAAAGGCTGCAGTGCAGGCATGCCAGGCGCAAATCACAGCACTCTCTCAGAGCGTTCCTGCACGTAAGTATTCTTTCCCTCACGCATGCTCACAGCAGAGAAACGACGCGTTGATGGTGCTCTGGAGGGTATGCGGACGCTCGAGACAGAGTCGGCCAGCTTGCGTGCATCCCTGCACGAGCTGGAACAGCTTCGCCAGCAACGTCCTCAGGTAAGTTATTTCTCTTCTTGACATTGTACTTATCCCAAGCCCGTCATGTCACTCAAGGCACTGCAGTCAAAGCAGCAAACATTGGGCGTGTCTCTGTCGCAAGCACAAGCAGACACCAACATGCGCAAGGCTCGCGTGGAAGCGTTGGTGCTTCAGAAACAGACTTTGCAAGCACAAGCTGCGCGTATGGCAGAAACACACGCGACATTGACGGAGCAAGCAGCGCGCGGCCCTGCAGCTGGTGTTCAGCACGAGATTGGTCAAATGTTGGTGTCGTTGACGCAGATTGCGAGGCAGATTGAAGCGTAGCTTGTGTTTTCTATATCCCTACTCAGAAACTGTCGTTAGCCATGATCATGCTGTACAGCTGCGTACCCGTGAATCTTGATGTTCTTCTTTGGAATCGGGAGCTCAGAGGTGAGAAACTCAGACACCTTGAGACGCTGGTCGCCCTGCAGCTGGATGACTTCGCCCATTTCTGCGTCCTTGACGATGGTGCCGTTGCAAGCAAAATCCTTCTTGAGTGCTTTGAGGATACGCTTCTGATCAAACTCGACGGGCAATCCCTGCACGGTCGTCAAGGTCTTGCGTCCATTTCGCTGCTGGATACGAATGTCTGCGGGTCAGAGGAGGAAAAGAGGCAAAGACCGTACGAATGTAGTTTTTAGGCTGAGTCTCATCGTCGCCCGTGTCTGCAAAGGGATCTGCTGTTAGCATGTACCGGACAGGATGAGCGACATGCCGACAGTGTTGAAGTTCTCGATGTTGCTCATTCACTAGTCTGCTCTGGTCTTTGCGCTGGTGGTTCTGGTCGAGGATGTCGCTGTTGGTCCACTACCAAACACAACCCGGCACGACACTCCTCATAAGCTCAACGTGAGACGCTTGCACGAGCCTGGCAGAGCTTCTTTGAGTCTAGAAACATACCATGGCATTTTCTGCCCCCGACAGTCCAGAGAGCTCGAGGATCGACCAAGACTTCGCCAGCACACTCAATACGCTCTTGATATTCCTCAGCATGTTCCTTAGAAGCAAGATCCTCGCATGGACTGGCATCGTCGTTGCCCTCAGCTTCTGGATGAACCAACGACCCAAGGCCAAGGGTACACTGCTCACTATTGGGTATGCTTCATGCTCTATGCCTATGCTCATATTTAGTATCGCCAGCTCGGCGCTAATCGTCAACTACATCCTCTAAAAAGTCCCAGAGACCACGCTTGTGCGCGAGTGCCAGGAGCAAGACGCCCGGCAGATACACAAGGCTGGCAAAGAAGAGCTTTTTGGCGCTTCCTGTGCGCTCCCGTTCGCTGCCTCTTTGCCGCCAAAAGTCATAGGCTCGATAGCTGAGGTAGAGATTGAGCAGGCTGCTGTCGAGCATAAAGTACGCATCACATACATTCGCATACACGAGCCCAAAGCAGATTGGAAAAGTGAGGAGCGAGTAGCGCAGGGAAACACGCGCATTCATACCGGGATGAAGGATACTCGTCATGACATAGCCTGCACGCGCATACTCTTCGCGAATATACCACGACAGACTGTTGAAGTGTGGAAATTGCCAGGCATACAGCAGCGCCGCTAGGTAGAGGCAGCCCATGTTCTCTTGCGAGAGGAAGGGATACGGTGAGAGGGCAAACCAGCCCATGGCTGGCGGTATCGCGCCAACAACAGCGCCGACCCAGGTATTGATAATGTGCTGTCTCTTGAGCGGTGTATAGACGCCTGCATACAAGCCAATGTTGGCAAGACCGAGCAGGGCACAGGTAGGATTGACGCCCCAAGCAAGCAGGCCGACGCCAGCGAGGCCAGTCAGGCTGCCCATGCGAAAGGCATCGTCTGGATGCAGCGAGCCCTTGACGAGGGGTCTATTCCGCGTCCGCGCCATTTGACTATCGAACGGCGGCTCGAGCCACATGTTGTAGGTATTGGCACTCGCAGAGCAGAGCGTTGTACCGACCGTCAAGCAGACCAGAGTCGGTAGATTCGACTCGAATGGGCACAGCGCATAGGAGGACATGGTAGAAAGCACGACGAGCGTGGTGAGCCTGGGCTTGGCAAGTGCAAGGTAGGCATTGTAGCCTGGTTTCTGCAGCAGCCTCGCCTCTGCCGCCTTGCCCGCGAGCTGCGCCGTTGCGAGGCCTCTTCTGAGCATGTGTCGTCGCAGCACACCCAGCACCCAAACAACAAACATGGAACGCGTCCGGGCTACAAAGCTGCAGGAGATTCTCGATACAACAGTCAGCGCGACCTTACGTGCCTGCTCCTACGATAAACTGGCAAGCTGCTTCCCGACCCTGGCGCAAAACGACGCGCCCTCCCTCGAGCATGCTCAGCAGCAGGTCTACGACTTTTTACAAACAACCATGGCGCAAGAGTTTGGCAAGATTCTAGCGGAGCGGGAGGCAGTACAGAGGCTGGATGAACTCGATCTGCTCATCAAGCAGGCAAGAGAGCGCAAAGAGCGCGGCGAAGCACGGACAGAGCACATGGATCTCCCGCCCGAGGTCATCTTGCAGGCACACCTCATCCCCGTCAAGCGCCGGGAGCTCGAGGGGATGCGGCTAGCACTGGACCAGCTGCAGGCGGAGAACGGGCAAGCGCTCGCTGCGATGGAGACGACGCGGGTGCAGCTCGAGCAAGAGGCTGCAAATTTACAAGCGCTGCTGCAGACACCACAACCATGAGCATGTTGCGCACAGGCAGGCGGCAGGCGTCGACACTCTCGGCGGCCATTGCCAAGGAGGATTTCGGCGTCCTTGACTACTACAGGCCTCCCAGGCGGGTCCTCTTCAAGCCTGGGCAGTGGTTCAAGTATATACTGCACCGCGGCATCATGACGCGGCTTGCCCTGTTTAGCTTTAAGCGCTCCATCAAGCCACAGACTCTAAGTGTAGCGAGTCTCAAACAGCATGCCGTTGAACTGCGCGATGCAACGCTGCTAGCACACAGCAAGGGTGACATCAAAACCATCCGCAACCTCTGCGGCCAGCAAGTCCAGTCGCGGCTCATTCGCGAAATCAAAGACCGGGGACACAAAGAGGTGCCCGTACAGCGCGAGCCCGTCTCTTCAACGGCCCTCCTCAACTTTTCACGGCAGCCACTCGATGCAGAGTAAGTTTCTTTTCTATCTACATCTCTAACAATAGTCGCACGAACCATATCATCCAGGCAGCGTTTCGCCTGCAGACACGCACCTCGGAGGAAGACGTCGTCCTTGCAGCAAAGTCCTGGATCCGGCCCGTCAAGTTTACCGTGCAGCAACTTACAACTTTGTCTTTGCCTCAGAGCCCTCCTCGATCGTAAACCAGGCCATTTCCGCCAGCAAGGGAAAGGCCTTGGCGTGGTGCTTGGCCTTCAGGGAAGAAGCCTGCTTCCGTGCAACGCGTGCAGCGATACCTTGCAGAATGAAAGCCAGACGCAGATGCGCAAAGGCGCTCGCAAACAAAAAGTCGTCTGCAGGGTTCCAGCCAGCAGTGGCTGCGTACTCGGCGTGAGCCTCTTGAATAGTTGGAACACCTCCAAGATCTTCCTTGCCCATGAATCCGCTGAGTGATCCGTCTCCGTTGCCAGAAGGCAGACTGTGTGGCTGCAAGAGGTTGGCCAAGTCACTGAGTGGGTGTCCAATCGTACTCAGCTCCCAATCGAGAATACCAATTACGCGAGGCTCCGTCGCATGAAACACGCAATTGTCAATCTTGTAGTCGCCGTGCACGATCGATGTCCGGTCGGGCGGCATATGGCCGGCAAACCAGGTCTGCAAGTCTTGCCAGTGCGGCATCTGGCCAACAATTTCGCCAGTGTCGAGATCCTTTGCTGCAGACTGCGCCTGCGTCACCTTTTCAATGGTAGCGAGTTGACGCTTGTAGAAGCCTGTTGGACGGCCATACTTTTCAAGGCCCACCTGCTTGGGGTCAATCTTGTGCAGCTTGGCCAGAGTCTGCAAGACGGAGTTCCATGCAGCACGCTTCTCCTCGCGCGGAAGCATGGGCATACCGGGGTCGGTAAAGATGCGACCCTGGAAGAACTCCATGATGTAAAAGGGCGTACCCACTACAGATGTGTCCTCGCACAAGCAATAGGTCTTTGGGACGGGCACGTTTGTGCCTTGCAGGGCAGAAATGACTTGGTATTCGCGCTCTACCGCGTGTGCCGTCTTGGAGAGCAGCTCTCCGCGAGGCTTCTTGCGCAAGACGTACATGTCGCCATTCTTGTCGTTGATGAGCAGGGTCGGGTTGGACTGTCCGTGCATGAATTGCTGCAATGTGATGGGCAATGCGATGCCGGGTGCGGCATTCTTGAGGTAGGCCTCGAGCCGAGGAACATCAATGTCTTCACGCAGGGCGCCGATGTTGGCCGTTGTCTTAAACATGTCAGTAGTAGGTACAAGAGTATAGACACTGTTAGACACCGTTAGAGAGGTCTTGGTCGATGCTGCCTCGGATGCGGGGACAGGCCGAGGAAGTGTTCAGATGCCACACATCTACAGCCTACAGATCCAGCTCCTGGTGATAGGTCGTCTTGCGCATCGCCCCCAGACGCAGACGCGCAGTGGCAAGCTCCTGCTCCAGCTTCAGACACAGCACCTGCTGCTCCATCTCCTTGACCTTGAATTCATGCGCACCCAACGCCTCAAAGTCCTCCTGGTCCGTCCTCTTTGCTGTTTGCATACCTTGCACCAGTCGCACAATAGCCCTGCATGCGACATTCACACGCTTCGATGCATCCTCCAGTCTACCTTGCGTCTTGGACATGAACGCCTGCTTCACTCGCGATGCAGCCACCAGTTGCGCTGTTGCTGCAGCCACTTGATTACTCGCGACTACCATGTGTTCAGGCGACTTGGTGCCGCTAATCACTCCATCCGCAGACTCAATCAAAGTATTGGTTGCATTGGCAACGGCCTTGGCTGCAGAAATCAAGCCTTCTGTCCAGCGATTGTTCTTTTTGTAGAAGGCTGTGCGTGAACTATTGCCGCGACCTTGATTGACGATTTCCTTTTGCGATTCTGTTGCAGCCTTGAGCAGCTCGGCAATGGCATTGGTGATGGCGATAGCAGCTTCCAATAAGCTCTCGTGGATAGACAACTCAAAGTCTTGTTTTGAAAAGATGGCCTGCAACTTGGCAGCCGCCGCATCAATAGCACGCGCTGCACCGCCAAGCTCTCGGTCCACCAGATCGCCAATATCCTCATTCGCCTTGGCCACAATGTCAAAGGCATTGCGTGGAACAAGTGTCTCGACAATTTTCGATACTTTGATGATTTGCTGTTGCTGGTCAACGTTGTAGTTGATAACGGCGTCCGTCTTTTGATCAGCATCCTCAGGAAGCTTCGAGGATACAACGCCTAGGAAGAAGCTGCTGGCCAGAGTTCCCAATGTCTTTGCTTCCTTGACGAGCTGATCCGCCATTTCTTCGCTGCCAGTCAACGGCAGTGCACCTTTGAGATTGTACAAGCTTGAGAAGACGCTGGACGCATAGGCATCGGTTGCTGTAATCATCTCTGCCTGATCAGCATTAGGCCCATCAGCCAGAAAGTTGTTGATGGCCGTGGCAAACTCGTTGGCAGCGGCGGCACCATTCTCAAGCACAGACAACAGGTACTCTGGTGTGGTGTTGGCATTACCTGCTTGCATCGGGTCGTCCAGCTCGAAGACCGTATTGTTGACACGCGCTGCAGCAGAGGTCAGCACAGCATCAATAATCTCATTGAGCTTGTCAATTTGCGACAAGATCAATTGGTCAATCTGCTCATCCATTGCATCGTTATCGCCATTCATTTGCATCGCATTCATCTTGAGCAGCGTATCATCCATGCCCATCTTGTAAATCTCTAGCTCCTCGTCCTTGTCGCGGATAATGTTCTCAATCTCGCGCATCTTGTCGGCAAGCTTTTGCGTGGCATCATCCAACTGACGTTGCTTTGTACGCAAGAGTTCTTCCAGATTTGCAATCTCGCGATTGTTGCGGTTGACAATCGAAGAGAGCTCAGAGCCAGAGGTGCGCTCCATATTGTTAATTTTGTCCAATGCTTCTCGCAATTCGCGTTCCTTGGCCTCCACTTGATCCTGACCAGAATGCTTGAGTCGATCAAGCTCGAGTCGAGCACGGTCTCGTTCCCGAATCATGTCTGCCAAGTCAAGATTCTTGGCCTTGAGATCACGCTCGGCCTTTTCCTTACGATCGATGGCTTCTTGTGCAGACGACGCTTTGAGCTGTGCATTTTTATACTTGGCCAGCAGATCCATGTGCTCTTGTCGCAATTGCGTATAGAGCTTGGCGAGCGCCTCGTATTTTTGTTTCCATGCGGCAAGCTGCTCTTGAAGGGAGCGAATCAATTCATCCTTTGCCTGTGATTGCATGCCAGTATTCTGATTGATTTGCTGCAACTCCGTCTCGAGCATCTTGACACGCCGATCATATTGCTCGAGCATAAGCTGATCATTATTGTACTGACCTTGCATAGCCAGCAGCTGCTGTTCGAGCTCAGCGAGTCTACCGTGAGTCTGCATTTGATATTGCTGCTGCTGCAGGTTCTCTTGTGCTTGACGCTGCTGCTCCTGCTGTAATTGTTGCTGCCGCTCAAATTCAGCTTGTTGTTGCATAGCCAGCTCTTGTTGACGTCGCATTTCCGCATCTTGATCTGCTTGTAGACGACGCTGTTGAGCTTCATACTCAGCCTGTCGGCGCTGCGCTTCGTCCTCCTCGTGTGTATCTACTGGCTCGGGATCTTTCGGTCTGCTGGGCAAAGCGGGAATTTCCTCATTGTCGCTGAGATTGGGTGCATCCTGTGGTAGCTTAGGAATCGCAATCAAGTTGGTCAGGTAGCGTAGGTTGGAGCATTCGTAGTAAAACTTGAGCAGCCGATAATGCTGCGCGCCATACCTCGTCCTGAGTGGCTCCAATGCATCTTCCGATGTTGCATGATGCATTGCCCGGACCATACTCGTAATGAACTTGTAGATGCCATACGACTCGTGCACAAGCGGCACAAGCGCAGAGATGCGACATTCATTAATGCTGCCGCCTTTAAAGTGGGCAAAGATGAGCTTTTGAAAGGAGTCAATTTGGTCTTGCAAATTCATCAGCTCCATGATTGTTTCATAGCCCTCGTTCGGATCGTGCAGGCTTTTGAGTGTAACGTACTCTTCATACTCAAATGTGCCATTAAACTCCGAATGGTAGCGGTGAAACAAGAGCTTCGCCGTCAGGTACTCGACGTAGGCCTTGATAAGCGGACCGTATCCTTTTACTGTGCTGCTGAACGAGCGAGCACACGTCTCTAGCCAGCCAGTCTGCTTCTGTGCCTCCACCAGCGTGACGGGTGCTCCCTCTTGAATCACTTTGTGCACGACAATGAGCGCCTTGAATGTCTGTACCTCGTCGGACAAGATTGGCTGCAGCTTCATTCCCTGCCAGAATGTCTGGCTCGATTGATGATCCCTGCAGTCAGCCTCAATTCACTATAGCGGACCCATACCAGGTGTAGACGATGCATGCACGGACATGCTTGCGTTTTGGGGCCGTCTCTTCGGGCGAGGTGGCCTTTTTGATGTTCGTACTCAGCTCCGACTCTTGCTTGCCGACATCGACGTTGCGACTGGGCCCGTCGCGGAACTGGTTGTTGGTGGCATACATGGTGGGTGTCGCAAGGGGAGGATGACGCTCTTGTGCGTTTTGAAACATTGACAGCAGGACAACGCGCACCAAAGGCGACGCACACCGACAGCTAGTCTGGCAGGACAGAGGGCACGCGCTGACGCATGTCGAAGAGGCAAAAGAAGCAAGAGATGACGCTGCGCCATGTTACGCCCATCGAACTGGCTCCGCGTGAAACTGGCTTCCAGGAGATTGAGAAGCCAAACGCGCAACGTGGCCTGTCGCTCAAGGACAAGCAGGCCCTTGCGCTCCTCATTGTGCTGTATGCGCTACAGGGGGTGCCTTTAGGACTGACAATGGGCTCCTTGCCGTATCTACTGCAACCACATCTGGACTATGCCTCTCTGGGCACCTTTTCGCTCGCTGGCTACCCCTATAGTCTCAAGCTGCTGTGGAGCCCCATTGTCGATGCTCTGTACGTGACAAGCATCGGCAGACGCAAGAGTTGGATTCTGCCTGTGCAAGCAGCAGTGGGCGTCTGTCTCTTGTATATCGGGAGGTTTGCAGATGAATGGGTCGACAATGCTGGTGCCTCTCTCAAGACACTTACATGCTTCTTCTTCTTCCTTGTCTTGCTGTGTGCAACGCAAGACATTGCTGTGGATGGCTGGGCACTGACGCTGCTCTCTGAAGAAAATCTAAGCTATGCATCGACGGCACAGACTATTGGCCTCAATACCGGCTACTTCTTGTCCTTCACCGTCTTTCTGGCCTTTCAGTCGCCCGAGTTTGCAAACACTTACTGGCGAAATGCTGCAAATCAGTCGTCACTGGGTCTCATCACGCTATCTGGCTACATTACTGCTTGCGGTTGGATCTTTCTTGTCGTCACTGCCTTTCTGCTGCTCATCAAGCGCGAAGCCAAAGAGACAAACGTTACTGAAAGCGTCAGGGAGGTCTATGAATCCATTTGGACCGTCACCAAGCTTCCTCAGGTGCGCACCTTTATGCTGATTCATCTCATCGCCAAGATTGGCTTCGTCACAAACGATAGTGTCACAAATCTCAAGCTCCTTGAAAAAGGCCTCAAAAAGGAAGACTTGTCGCTTGCAGTGTTGATTGATTTCCCGCTCGAAATTCTGTTTGGTTTCCTGGCTGCCAAGTGGTCGACTGGGCCACGTCCACTACGGCCCTGGCTGCTCGCCTTTCAGGGCAGGCTCGTGGCTGCAGTCCTTGGCATGCTACTCGTTTACTACATGCCAAAAGAAGTCGGCTGGTTCTACTTTACGCTCATTGTACTCGAGCACATCATCAGTTCATTTATGAGCACCGTACAGTTTGTCAGCGCTAGTGCCTTCCACACACAGATTGCCGACCCTTTGATTGGAGGCACCTACATGACGCTCCTCAACACAATCTCCAACCTTGGGGGCACCTGGCCAAAGTACTTTGTACTTGAAGGTGTAGAGTACTTTACACGCAAACGATGCACCTCCAAAGAGGCAGCTTTTGCAATTCTTGGCAAAATAGATCAAGAAAGGTGCGAAGCAGCCGGAGGCAAGGTCAGCTTCACTGTCGATGGCTACTATGTCATCAACATTCTGTGCCTCATTGTTGGTGCGATATCATTCTGGGCCTTCATCAAGCCCAAGACGCTGCATCTACAGAGTCTGGGACCGCGGAGTTGGCGCATCTCCAAGAGCTAGAGATAACTCCTGCCACGCTTGGTTATTCTCAGCGCACGCCCGACAGCGCATCTCAGTACTTCTATTCTAGATGACCCAACAAGGTCATGCATTAGCACGGGCCAGGCGATAACGCCTCCCTCCTTGAAAGCATCGTAGCGCGTCTGCAAATCCTTCTCTAATGCAATTCCCCTTTTAAGATGTTGCAACATCCAGCGACGAGCGGCGCGTAAAGCAGACGTGTAGATGCCTAGATTGGGCACAGAAAGCTGTAAGCCACCGTCTTTACGAATAAGAAAGCCCTGGGCGGCATAGCTGCGAACCTCGTCTTCCGTCAAGCGGTCCAGTGTATGCAGGGCTTCTGGCAAATTCATGTCTTCTTTGCGCATGAGAGCTACCTCATCCCCTTGAAGAGGCCATTGCACTACTTTGCCTTGAGCGACGAGTGTCTGCATTTCGCGCTCAAGCCCAGGAACGTTTGGAAAAAGTGATGCAACCTGGTGCATCAAGACGATCGGAGGTCTGTCACGTCGACGACAGAGCAGAGCAGTCAATTGCGCGCGCGGCAGCTTGGCAGGTTTATTTGGTAGCTGTTTCTTGAGATAGTCAATAGCGCTGAGACAGTCGAGGCCTTCATATGGAGATGACACAGCTGGCAGTCCAGTCTCGAGAATTTGAGCTTCAGTCACTTTGGCAGGCGCTGTTGCAGCCTTCTTTTTTGGAGATGTATCAGAGAGCGGCGTCTTGGCAGTGCGACTGCTGCGTATGACGCGCGAGGTCGGCACATTGCGTCCTTGCACATACATGCAGAGTTGTTGAAGAGTAGCACAAACTTGAACTGCTATGTCGAACCTAAACCTGACTATGAAGCAACACCTCCAAGTCTACTGCGGGCTCACTACGAATCCGCTTATAATAGACAGGGCAGTCTTTCGAGACGCAAGCTACCTCTGCATATACTGGCTGCCGACAACATGACGCACAGATGGTCAAAAAATCGCGGTGCACGCGCTCACTCTCCCTCGCTGCCATCGTCAAGTCGAATTGCGTCGAATCAGGCTTGGCAAGGCATGTAGCACAAATACCAGGCCTGTTTTGATCTTGCCGGCAGACTGGACAATGCGATGAACTCAGGAATTGAGCCAACATTCCCGTCTGCTTGCCTCGTTCAATCTTACTGCGCGGCATCTCATCGTACCACGATCGCACTTGCACGCCCATGATGCTAAACAAGCGTTCCAAGGGAGGGACGATGTTCTTGGTGATGTAGTAATCCACATCCAACCGCAAGTCTGGATTGTTGAGCAGCTCTTCCGGTGCGACACAACGATCAGTCAAGCGAGAACGAGCCGGACCAGAAATGACGAGATAAGGGACTCGCTCGCCATACTGTGGCTCAGAACGCGGATCTCGCGCAATACTGCGCGCGGAAATGACGGCGCCAGGGGGTGGAACGCCCTTGGTAGAGTAATGACCGAGCTTGACTTCCTTTGCAAAACAAAAGTCATGGAGAGAGCACTTGCCTGTCATGATTTTCCAGCACTCTTCCTGAAAGTAGCGCTTCACTTGGGAAATGTCACCAGTCGTAAACAAGATGCGAAGGGCCTTTTCCTCAATCTTTTGCTCTGCCGGTGTGCCATCTCGTCGTACCGTCTCGATGCCCTTTGCTTCAAAGACCGGCTCATCCGTTGGCGACTCGTACTTGAAGCCGACATAGCGCTTCTTGGCCAGCAGAATACAAGGCAGATACACCTTTTCAAACTTGAGGCTGACAGGGCTGGGACTCAGCCGGGTGATATCCTTGGCCATTGCCTGGCCCAGCGCATAAGCCTCCTCCTTTGTTCTGCCTGGTAGCTTGATGAAGAGCGAGTCAGTATCGCCATAGACCACCTCGGCATTCCAGTCAGGGTGAGCATAAATGTGCTCGATCGCCATCTCGAGGGATTCACGACCAGTCTGAACGATACTGTCGGCAATGTCGCTACAGGGCATTCGACCAGAGAACGAAGCAGAGGTGTAGCCATAAGTGACATTAGCAATGAGCTTGAGAGCCAGTTGTCGATTGTGCATCAACTTGAGCAGTCGCTTATCCTTCGTGAGTTTCATCCCTTGCTTGACCATGGCGCGCGTCTCCAACAAGTCTGTCAACATTTTAGCAAGCAGTGACTTGCGTGTGCTGGCCTTTGCATAGACGACGCCGTTTGGTGCAATCTCCACATCATCTCCAAGTGCCTGCCGCATAACTCCTTCAGCGTTATAATAAGTAACGCCGAGCTTCGGCTCTACGCCGCCATACCCCAACTTGCCAAGGCAGGTCGAGTAACAGTAATTGTAGGCAATCACAATAGATGGGTAGAGCGAGGTAAAGTCCAGGACCACAACCGGATCATGGTAGAAATGTGATTGCGGTTCCATGACAAGAGGCAGACACTCTAGTGCATTTTGCTGTGCGACTTGTTTGCGACTCGGCGAAAGGAGCATATAGCACTCTGGCTTAGCAATGCGAAACATGAGTGATTCCACCTTGAATTGCGAACCTCGAGAGAAGACTGAGTAAAAGTCAATGCCAAGCAGTCGTGCTTGTTCACTGACACGAGAGAGCAAACCTTGCACTTGACAAATCTCGAGATTGAGGCGCGTGCGTTGAGTGTAGTAGCGATACACGCGCTGCTGACATGCGACACTATCGCTGGAAAGCCAGATTTGCAATTTGGGTACCTCGTACTTTGGCAGTCGACGCTTGAGTAAATGAAAGCACACATTCTCCAGGGTGTACTGCAACAAGTTCATTTCGCCACGCATGACACGCCACAAATTGAGTACATGCCGTCCAGCAATCTTGACGGACGTTGCCGTTGTCTCGCCCCATCGATCATGGAAAACTTGCCGAGTCTTTTCAGAGGGCACGAACCGACCAAGCTCTTCACACAAGTCAAAGGAGAAGGCGAGATGTGCTCGTTCATGCAAATAGCCAACAGAACTGTTTTGCATCTCAAAGCTCATGACAATGTCTGGGTCGAGTTCTCTAACAAGCTCAACCAAAGCATTGAGCAAGTCGAGCTCCGACTCTAGCACTTGGATACCACGCGCCGCTGCATGCATTGGTAGCTCTTGCGTACTCAATAGACAGCCTTGCCTGATTGGACCACCGAGCCCTAGATCTTCAAAAGCCCAATAAATGGCGAGGACTGGGTCATTTGTTGGATTCGGGAGTAGACCTCCACGAGACTGAGCGTGCATTTCGATACTCAATACGCTGAGAGGGACGTCTGCCTGACTGACAGACGTCGCAGGCGTGCCAGTGAGATGCTGTGTCGGTGCCATCACTTGACTTGCCTGCTGCAAGCGCCTTTTGACTGGGCGCCAGGTGTCTTTGAGCTGAGCAGTCGTCGGAGCACTTTTGCTATATGACCAAGACTTACACCGTGCCTGACCGGTTCTTGGTAGAAAGGATGAAATGTGAGCTGGATGATCTGATCGAGGTGTGACGCCATGGAAGTCTTTGGTGATGGCTGGAAAATCTGCTGGGTCGCCATAATGCGGTGCTGGAAACGCACTGCTCAAGTGTTGCAGGCTGTTTTGTGCAAGATCCGCTGGTGAAGGCGGTGGATGATAGTTGAAGCGACCGCCTCCACGAAGGCGTTGTACCAGGAAATGTCGCGCCACGCTTGATGGTTGTATCGTTCGGGCCAAGTCAGTCATTGTTGCAGATTGGAACTGGGCGCGACCCGGAGTTGGTGGCGGTCCACTACGCTGACTTGACATGAAGAGCTGTCGTTCTTCATCAATTTTGCGAATGGAAGCAATGCGATCTTGCGATAAGCCGGTATGTGGCAATGTGCCCTTATTGAGACTCACCAAGAGTGCTTGTCGTTGAGCGAAGACCTCAATCGCCTCGAATGAAGTAGGTATTGTATCAGAATCGGGCAGATCAGGATGTTGACTCTGGTCTGCTTGCAAGACTTGTTCATACCGTTTCTTGAGATCGTCTTCATTGGTCCAGAAAGTCGATCGAGCCCGCGACTCTGTACTAATGTAGCCACGCATATCAAAGGACATTCCCATCGACTCTCGACGCGCAGCTTCTTCATGCCAGAGCTCCTGCAATGAGGGCAAGGTTGTCCCACCGGTCCAGTGCTCGGCTTGCAGATTCTTGTGGAGGATGCGCTGCTTGAGTACAAGACGATTGAGGATTTGACTTGTTGCAATGTCCACCTCGAGCGTCGTATGTGACTGACGCGGGAAATGCTCTGGATCCAGCTGATGCTGTTTTGGGATATTGCCAGTATGCAGCGTTTCAGAGCCGTGCAGCGTATGCTGCGATTGTCCCGTATTGCCAAGAGATGAGAAGGTATTGGACAACGGCTCGGGCAATGGATGTCGAAAGGCTACGTGAGCACAGCGTACGGGTGCACACCCATAGAGGTTGTAGTCAATCATGAATTGAATGAGGTAGGGCAGCTGAGATTCGTACGGCTGGCAGGGACCGCCAAAGATGGATCCCTGTCTCAGCAAGTCAGCGAGACGTGTCATGTGCTTGGGACTGAGCAGAGAGATCTTGAAGTAGTAGCGCCACCCTGCGTGCATGCCATAGAAGGGTGTTGCTTTGCAAACAGTAATATCTGCGACAAAGGTGCTCGTATCATCATGCGGGTTGCGTCTGTAGGTGGTGGCAAGGGTGACATTGATGCTTTCATGCAGCTTGAGGCAATTGAGGTTGATGCTGTGGGAGTCTAGCTTTCCCTTGTACTCGATAAACATGTAGGGGTATGCGCCGTGTATGAGGGCGCAGACATGCTGTCCTGCATCTGTACGGCCAAAGATGCGGATGACGGGGACACTTTGGAAGTGTGCATCGTTGCTGTCAAAGGCATTGCGCTGCTGGTCTAGGGGAGTGGGTGGGTAGAGTTCGTAGTCTATGTAGTTGAGGGAGAACTGGAGAGAGAATGCGTGTGGTGTGTCAAGTGAAGTCATGCATCATACGTTGTGCAGTAGCAATGTCAGTAGCAATGCAGCGGTGGTAGTAGTAGCAGTTAATAGTAGATAGAGTAGCAGAGTAGTAGCAGTAGTAGCAGTAGTAGCAGTCAATAGTAGCAGAGTAGTAGAGTAGAGAGAGTGGCGACGAGATGGACAGATCCAGGGTTAGGCAGCAACCACCCCTCAATGCACAGTCACAGGCAAATAAACCGCACCAAGAAATAATTCTGAATTCAGGCGAGGAAGCAGCAGAGAAGCAGCGAGTGAAGTGAGCGAGTGAGCAGCAGCAGAGCAGCAGAAGCACAGAAGCGACAGCAGCAACACACAACAACCAGCAACCATGCCGATCGCACCAAGGGCATGCTCCAAGACCGCAAAGACGCCTGCAAGGCCCTTCACCGCATCCCGTCTCGACTACGAACTCAAGCTCGTCGGTGAATATGGTCTCCGAAACAAGCGTGAAATTTGGCGGTAGGTTCCCATGAATTGGGAGAGGGAGGAGAGGCTGCCTGGGCCTTGGTCTGTGTCTGCATGTCGTTGGCTTTCCTTGCCTTACATGCATCACACTACCACTGTTCGGCATCTTCTCCTCAACCCCCAAAAACTTGAGTTGCACTGGGCATGAAGACTGACTTAGATTCAGGGTTCTGCTTACTCTCTCAAAGATCCGACGTGCTGCGCGAGAGCTGCTCACGCTCGACGACAAAGACCCCAAGCGTCTTTTCGAGGGTAACGCCCTTATTCGCCGACTCGTTCGCGTCGGTGTTCTCGATGAGACACGCATGAAGCTCGATTACGTGCTTGCCCTCCGTGTCGAGGACTTTTTGGAGCGTCGTCTCCAGACGCAAGTCTTCAAGCTCGGACTTGCCAAGTCTATCCACCACGCCCGTGTTCTCATCCGTCAGCGTCACATCCGTGTCGGCAAGCAGATTGTCAACGTGCCTTCCTTCATTGTGCGTCTCGACTCGCAGAAGCACATTGACTTTGCCCTCACCTCGCCCTTTGGCGGTGGTCGTGCTGGCCGTGTCAAGAGAAAGCGAGCTGCCGCTGCTGCCTCTGGCGGCGACGAGGCGTAAGTATCTTCAATTGCTTTTGCTCTATACTAACAGATCCAGTGCTGAGGACGACGAGTAAATGCATTAGGCTTATCCTCACCTTACTTACCGGAGCGCTTGCTCTTGCCCATTTTCATAAAGAATCAAGCCTTTCCCATTGACCTTCTTTTGCTCTTCTTTATCGTGACCTCATGCCAATCTGCAACGACAAAAAATAGTTGAGTCGCAAGTTTGCAGTCGACGACTAAGAGCTACAGCCGCCAAGAACAAGCTACGAGGGGATGGCCTCACTCGGCAGGCCCGAGGCAGAGAACATACGGGACAAGCATATACATGCGACGGTCGTTCCAGCCACAACGACCCCCATCACAGCACTCCCCGTGCGTAATATCCCACCGGGTGTCCATTTCGTCGCAGGGGCTGTTGCTGGTTTTGCTGGTGCGCTAGTGACCTCACCACTGGATGTCATCAAGACACGCCTTCAATCAGATTACTATGCCAATCGCATACGTCCTACCAATGTGGTTGTTCCACGCACTGTCGTTGGTAAAGGACTACACCACTTTGCCGATACATTTCGCATGATTGGAGAAATCAGCCGGACAGAAGGCACAAAGGCGCTCTTCCGTGGACTCGGTCCAAACTTGCTCGGTATTGTTCCTGCACGGAGCATCAACTTCTTTAGCTACGGTACCGGCAAGCGTCTCTTGTCGGATGCCTTTTACGACGGCAAGGAGAATAGTATGGTGCATCTATCAGCTGCTGCGATAGCTGGTATCATCACATCAACGGCAACTAATCCAATATGGCTCGTCAAGACACGACTGCAGCTCGACAAGGCGCACGATGTAACACAACGGCAGTACAGCAACAGTTTCGACTGTTTGAAGAAAGTACTCAAGCAAGAGGGTCTTCGAGGCTTGTATAAAGGTCTCACAGCATCATACCTGGGTGTTTCAGAATCCATCATTCAATGGACCACCTATGAATACTTCAAAGGAATGATTGCACGACGCACAATTCGAAGGAAGCAGCAAGGTCTACCAGATAATACCACCCTTGAGAATGCCATTGAATGGGCAGGCAAGCTCGGTGCGGCAGCAGGAGCAAAACTCGTTGCTGCTGGATTTGCTTACCCGCACGAAGTCATCCGTACACGTCTTCGACAATTACCACCTGATGGCCGGCCGAAATATACCGGTCTTGTGCAGTGCTTCAAACTGGTCCTCAAGGAAGAAGGCGCGAGTGCGTTATATGGCGGCATGACGGCCCATCTCCTCAGAGTCGTACCCAGCGCCGCCATCTTGTTTGGCACCTATGAACTCGTTGTTGAGTTGCTCGCTTAATGTCTCAGCGAGCATGTGTACGATAGACTGCATCTAAACCGTCTCCAACGTATTTGTGATGGATTTGAACATGCCCCATGCTTGCTTGTAGTCGCGGATGAGTGCATGATCCAGGCAATGCTTGAGCGCCTGCACTGCAGGAATCAGCGCTCGTTCAGGCTCGCTACTCGCCAGCCATACTTTGCATTCAAGCTGGAGAACCAGTGACTTGATGCGTGGTGTCTGCTTGACAGTTTTCAGCGTCTTCAACGACGGCCATGCGCTTTGTAGTTCCTGACGCTTCAATGCACGATGGATTCGCGGTGCCACAGCTGTTGGGTCGTGCTTGATGGCCATGTCCTCCAGGCACACCTCTTCCTGTGAGAGTGGCAGCTCCATAGCGTCCTTGTCCTCTATACTGAACAGTGCCTCCTGAACAGTCAACAGCCTGTGGTACGTATGTTGCTTTGAGGCAGAGTGTTCTGGTTGTAGCCATTGGACCGCTTCCTCTTGCCTTCCGAGGATTCGCAGTCTTCGTGCCATGGCACACAGTAGCTGCGCATGCACAGCAGAATCATCCGGAGCATGCATAGAGCACGCCAACGACAGGAATAAATCACAGAGAGGCAAACAATCCATCGACTGCCATAACGTCGACATGGCCAAAAATTGGTCCATGCCAAGACTATCGTCCGAGTCGAGGATGGCTCGTTGGCTTTTCAAGAGATTGATATAGCTATCACCGCCACTACTCGCTTGACTTCGCGCGAGATATGCAGCAGCTTCAATCTTTGGGAGGTGATTTTTGTGGGCTCGGCGAATGACATGGTTATCTGCCTTGAGGGCCTGCAAGCCTGGTTCATCCTTGAGTGCACCAGTATCGGATAGGCTCGATAGCCATGAAAGCGCAAAATTGAGGCAGATGTCGTCCTTTGCATCACGAGCGGCATCAATCGTTTCGTGAATAGCCCACAATGCTTCCTTGATGCAACCAAAATCAGCTTGTAGTAAAGCAAGATTTAGCAGTGCATATTGGTAGGAAGAACGACCTGCGTCTCCGAGAGCATAGTCAAAGTAGCGAGATAGACTTTCGATGGATGTGCTATAGTCGCCTCGTTTCCAAGCGGCAAGGAATTGCGTGTAGCTTTGCTCCACGTCCGAGGCTGCCTCCTCACCGTGTCGTTCGAGTGCCCTGTCGATGCCAGGATGCGGCATTCCATATAGTTTCGCTACGCGCTGGGCGTGGAAGCCATGCAGGCTCTTGAGATCTTGTGTGCCACTTTGTACATCGCTACGTGTCTCGAGATTTTGCAGCCAGTTTCGGAAGCGGTCTGTCGTGCTTGCAAGCTGGTGAAAGGCGAGCTCCTTGAAATGAAGATGAAGCTTGCGCATAAATGTACCGAGATAAGATGCTGGTGTCAGAGGAATGAGTGGCGTGTAGTCATTTTGTATGACAAAAAAATAGGTCATCATGTAGTGCAGGCCATCTTCATCGTCGCATGTTTTCAGCTGAGGTGAGTTGTGTCAATGCAGCAGAGGACGAACCTCGTTTTGGAAGGCAGTGTAGAGAGTCTTGATGTCTTCTCTTGAGCAATGTTCGGTGGCGCTACGAAGCCTGTCCATGAAATTGTGGAAGCTCAGGCTGCCTGTTTTTGTCTAGAGGTCAGATGGCGCTGCCGAACAGCACACGTACCTCGAGTATGGTGAAACAAAAGTCTAGCACGGCAAACCTGAGAGCTCGGGGCAGAGCGTCTGCTTCTACACGACTGCGTATGAGACATGCCAGAGCTATCTCGTGACATGGAACAGTCTCGAGCGGCACGGCCATATGAGAAGCGAGCTGTGCGTCAATGTCTTGCAGGAGCTGTTGTATATCTAGGAGTGTGGGGCTAAGCAGCCAATCTTGGCCTTGAGGGAGGACAGTGCTATGCTAGACAAATGGATGCAGTGCAGTCATAGCGCGTCGCGTCTCTGGGTGTCTCGGATGATCAGATGACACAAGCACGTGACTGAAACCTCCATCTGAAAGAAGCTTCTGCGGGAGTGGGTCAGCAGGTGAGTAAGCAGTCTCTCCTGGCATTAATCCCTGTCTGCAATCAGTGAGATACTAGGGAGTCGAGACTCAAGAGGATTTGAGCAACAACAGCACAAGTCCGCCTGTCGCTGCTTGAGTCTTGTGACTGCAACTTGATCTGCTTTCTGGTAGACGATGACGCAGTGCGCCACCATACGCGGGCTTGGTGCTGTGATTGGGCAGGTAGACGAGAGGGTGACGGCAGGGCGCAGGGGCTCGGGATAGATGCGGCGGTCTACAGCGCACAGAACACCCAGGCGCACAGGCATCCAGGCTTCTTCCAGGCTCGAGCAAGTGCAGCAAGGAAAGCGCATCATCGTCAGTGCGGGAGGGAGGGAATATTTGATCTCGAGAGTGTAGCGGCCATCTTCCCTCTGCAACAAACCCCATCCACTACCCTCATCTGATCAGCAGCACAGCTACTCTATACCCTACAGCCCTGCAGCATTCAGCATGGACAGCAGCGCACAACCACTCACTCACATGGGCCTCGAGCACTTCTACCCGGCCAGTCTTGCCACGAGTCCCATCGCACCACCGCAACAGAAGCGACGCAGCAGCAGTTGCCAGCCAAAACCAAGTACAAAGGAACACTTGAAGGGCGTACCATCGCCCAAGCCTGTCATGGATGCAGAGGGCAATATCGTCTACCGTCGCGAACGCAGGGCCTTCACTGCAGATGAAGATATCCGCCTCATCAAGGGCTTTGAGCGAGTATGCGCAACCTTATCCTTATTCCCTGACTAACAAACAGCATGGACCATCCTGGACAAAGATCCAGCGCGATCCAGAGCTAGACTTTGGTACAAGACGCTCAACAGACCTGCGAGACCGTTTCAGGAACGCCTTCCCAGCACAGTACGCAGCAGCAGGCTTCAAGGCGCGGCCTCCAAAGTCGACAAGCAAGCGCTCACGCACGACATCACAAGGATCAACAAGCTCACTGCCATCTCCTGTCCAGCAGCCTGCAGCGCTGGCTTCTGATGTGCCTGTTCACTGGGCGCCTATCTCTTATCAGTCCAGCAGCTCCAATGCCTCCAGCACAGATATGAATCCAATTGTGAAAGACCGTCGAGCAGCATCACAAGCTCAACGCAGCATGTCACTTGATAGCGGCTTTTACTCGGGTGCAAGTGGTTCCAATACACATCTCGAGACTTGGCCAGAATACTATGGTGGGTATGCGATGCCAGCACCGCAACAGCTGCCACTCCCGTCACTCATGCCACAGAGTTCATTGCCGCTGCTCAACAACTATGCTAATCCCCTCTTTGACCCAGCGCAACCCATGGCGCCCATTATCCAAGATGATGATGGAATGAGTCAATTTTGGCAAGCAGGAGCATTGACGAATCCTTACCAAGTGGATGACTTGAGTCTACGCTATGCAGGCATGCACCCATACCTACAGTAAGCGGCTGACCCCTGATGCCATTTGAGGCAAAACACACCGACGTTGATGTTCCCAACTTCCCAGGTATTGGACGGCATGACGTCGCCATGGTGGCGTTTTCGCTCCCGGTGACCTGGCATTTGGCAGGCGAGCGATTCAGATGACACGACCTATGAGACACGAACAGACAATTGAACTAGGATAGCGCGCATGGCAGCAGGTTGACATTGATAGCAATCAATCTTTGGTTCTTGTGATTTTCCCATTGTTAAAGAGTTGAGAATTCAGGCTGGGCCAATGAGTCAGGATATCGTCCATGAATCATAGATATACGCTGGCCACCGAGAGCGGCGAGAATCTTGCCATCAATCCATCAGAGCACTTCTTACTTCCCATATGTGTCTATGTATATATGTGTACAGACTCCGGAAGTGTCAACCCCATACAAACAGCCGAGTGCATCCCAGGTTCATTCATTTTCTGGATGCAGTTGTTACTCCTCGTCCAACTCTAATCGGCCGATTCTTGCATTCCTTTGGTATCCTTGACCACAAAATCGGGCCTTTTTCAAGTTGTTGAGCTCTTGATCTCTGCAGAGCGGTTACAACTGTTAGGATGTTGATTTTGAAACGTTGGATAAAAATATTTTCCTAACACAAATCTGCCCCTGAAAATCTTACCATGTAATATACCAGCTTAGCTACGTGTCTTGAGCGACATTGTCGAGCTCAAGAAATCTGTAGCTTTTCTAGACTCCATTTCATTGACGTTCACCAAAAAGAAGAAGTGTAACTCTGAAAGTGCTGAAGGACAGGACATTGATGGACTTCTACAGCATCGTCATGAAACGGGAGCGAGCTGTTACGCTAAAGATATCAAGAAAGAGGTCTCCGGTGCATAGATAGTTGAATTTAGTGTTACGCCCTTCTCGGTAGTGTGGAAACGGGCTGCATGATGCGTATGAAGGATGAGAGCACATGAGGATTACAGTCCCTCAACGAAAGTCAAATAGAAGGAGACACTTGCGTACACCGTGCACTTCTTCGCCAAGTAGTGAGATTCAGTAATTGAAGCGCGGCTGAAGAGTCACAGGCAGTGAAGGACTCCTCATCTCGCTAGTTGTGAAGTCGTCTACAGACTGGAAGCCGTTCATGCCTCATCAGCCTCAACAAGGCAACCAATCTTGTTCTGAGCAACCTGGCTTCCCAAGAATTCAAATCTCGAGTAAAGAATTCCCATGCATCTACAACTACATATACCCTTACAGTTGGCAAACCAGCGCATGCGCCGTACCTGTTACGGAAACTTGTCAAGCCCGGACACTAGATGAGTCTGCTTTGAGACAACAACGCCAAGCATTGACGAGACGCGTCTCAAAGATGACTGATTGCCTCATTCATCTCGTCAAGACAAACTGAGATCTAGACATTTGCTCCGGTAACATACTCGCCAGTCTCGTCATTGCCCCATCAGAGTCAACCTAGAAGAGCACGTAGCTGCAAGTTAGTACCACAATGAACATTCGAAGGAAACATACGCCAGACAGAGGAAACCCGGTCCACAAAACAATCCGAACCAAAAGAAGACATTGCCTACCACTGGATGCCTTTTGAGAATCGGCAACCGACTGAGCGCCACAAGTGGAAGCTGTAGCATTTGGCTGCAGAGCAGGTACATTCGAATTTTCTTCGTCATACACGCCATGACTGCTTCGTGGACGAGGGAGGAGAGCAAAAATGTAATGAGCGTCGCGTGGTTCTTGCTCACCTTGAGCGTGGATATACTCGAGTGGTAGACATGTCGCAACAGAAATCTGTGGACCGGCTTGTTCCAATTGCGAGCAAACTGATCCCATGAGATGGAGTTCCACCAGTCGTCGTAAAAGTTGCGATCAGCAAAGCGAGTCATCTCTGCGAACCACTGGCACACACATTCAAAGATGATATAGAAGGTGAGCAGGTACAGCGAGATGAAGGGGAACACCATGTCGAGCATGAGCCATGGCAGCTCCCTGAGCTTGTCGGTCGTCGTCATGGTTGCAAGGTTGACAGGAATGACTGGCAAAACGTAGTGCTCGACAATCATGGTCATGAGGAAGAACGTGCCGAGTGTGGCGAGAGTCTTCTCTGCCACATAGCTCCAGCGAATCTTCTCTGTTCGCGGGAAGGAAATGTCGTAGATGAGAGATGGAACCAACAGATAGTCGACGTAATTACCCAGGGTCAGATTCTCTGGGTATGTGACGCCGTCAAGCGTCAGTTCGTCAGACAACTCGGCAATTTCGCTCGCCAGGTTAGTCTCTTCACACTCATCTGCCAAAGTAGAGGTAGAGTCGACCGAATCCCCACTCTCCGAGTTTTTGCGCTCCGCCTTGGCTCTCGACGGGGCTTTGCTGGGCTTTGTCTCCTTGCGCATCTGCAACAATTGTCTCTCAAGCTTGTTTCTGCGTTTGTACACTTCCGAGAGGTATCCGTTGTACATGGCATAAGAGTGCATCTTCATGAGCATGACGATAGCATGCAGTACAATGAATACACTCTGGATCCATTCCCAATTGCGCGTGTAGGATCGGTGCATGACATAGCCAAGGTAAAATGTCTGCCAGATGTGCTGGACGACCCAACCGACTTTATTCCAAGAAACGCCATAAAGCATGAGGAGTTGCAGCGGCAAGATGACGACACTGCTACAGACCATCATGGCATCTGTCGCTGCCAAGTCGCCCGCATTGAGCTTGTACAATGTGAGCAACTTGCCGGGTGTCCAATACCCGGTCGCGCGCCAATGCTGAAGGTACGTCTTGACCACAAGAAAGGCGAAGCCAAGCCAAAACAAGGCAAAGAAGCCATGGAAGGAGCCGCCAGATCTCGGATTGAATGTATCAAAGGCTGTTGTCTGCGGCGTGAATTTGACATCGCGAAACTGCTTGTGCTCTTTCTTTTGCGAGCCCTTGACGCTGATGCCATATTTTGACGCAACGAGCTTGGCAGCCTCCTTGTCGGCACCTGCAGGCGATTGGCGCTCGCCAGAGACTTCGACTTGTTCATATGAATAGTCCTGTGGGTCCTTTGTCGGCTTGCGTGATATGAATGGTCGCCTTTGCGACATCTGTTGAATAGCTGCAGCACTGGTCAATCTATGCGTTTGAGAGGATCAAGCATTTGACGCAGGTGTGGGCCTTTGTCAGTTCAAGTAGCATACTGTCAGGGTCAGCTGAGAAAGCAGTCGGGCCGGCTTAAGCAAGCATTTTGCCCTGGTCGGAGCATTGTAGATGGAGCACTGAGCAGTGAGCACTCGTCGGGTAGATTGCGCGCTTAATAATGAAGAGACGTCATCCACGGCAGTGTCGCTGTCAGGCGCAGGACGGGCACGCGACAGGCCGACGACTCGATGAGTCAACGGCAAGTTGGCAACAGCAGACCAGGTGGGTCAAGGATGGGCCGGGATGCTATTGTTGAGCATGGCAGGCAAGTCGGGCCGAGCAACGCTGACAGAGTCTATCGCATGTCGCCTTGTAGCCTGCTGCTAGTCGCCAGTCCAAATTTCACCTCTCTTTTATCGATGGTTGGAAGGTGTATAGGTGCTTTTAAGGCCTCTTAGATACTGTCCCTCCGAGCAGCTTTGATGAAGCAGATCTCTGTAGAATCTCAAATCGCATGACGGCTTGCTTAGGTAACATCGGACCCCCACACGGGTGAATTCTTGAGTGCAACGACCGGCGACTCCCCTCTGGCCTTGACCTTGCGCTGACTGCAGCAGTATCTTCCTCGCAAGGCCCTATGTCGGAACCGCTTCGCATCGAGTTTGACGATGATCTTGTTTCTGAAGACGGAGAACCCCTTGGCGTCCCTGCCACGTCTCGTGGGCAAGCATACTCCGCTGCTGAGGCAAATGACGCAGAGATGGATGTGATTGATGCAGAGGTCGAAGGCGACGAGACGATGGTTGAGTTCCTCCAGCGTACCGGGTATTTCGACGAAGAGGACGACGATGAGGAGGAGTTTATCTCACTGGATGGTGATGAGGAGTATGAAATTGATTTAGATGATGAGGATGAAGATGGTGAGGAGGATGACGAAGAGGACGACGATGATGATGAGGAAATTGTCATGAACCAAATCGCAACAGATCCAGATGATCCGCGCGGCCTCGTCTTCATGTCTCCCTGGGGCGGCATGTTTCGCCTACCACCCGATTTCCGCCTCAATAACCTGCGCGAGCTCCTGCGCAACCAGGAAGAGTCCAGTAACGGCGGTGCTGCTGCTCGAGCAGCGCGTCCTCCGCCGAAGAAACGGTACTTTCCAGAACTAGCCATTGAGCCAGAAGAGGCCGGCGTGCAGCTCCTCAATAGTGGCGAATTTGGGTGTCCCTCACCACCGCATACGCTCACCTCATCACGCCGCTACCCGACCTCTGTCCGTACAAAACTCATGGCGCGCGAGATCGGTGCTGTCAAAAGACCACGGTATGATCTAGGTCGTCACGTTTTGCCGAACTGTCATGGACGACCTGCAGTGCGCCTTGCAAGCCGTGCGTATTGTGGTCAATTCAGCGAAGATGGCAGTTTCTTCTATACTTGCTCGCAAGACTTTCAGGTACGCTTATTTGATACAACTGATCCAACCAGCTGGCAGCACTACAAGACTATTCATGGATCGTCTGGCCGGTGGACGATTACCGATGCGACTTTATCCCCTGATAACAGCAAAATTGCGTATTCCAGCATCACATCCACCGTACACCTAGCGTCGACGACACCAGACGATGCAGGAACACATGATGCGCTTGACTTTGGGTCACGCATGAGTGGGTATGGTGGATTTGGGATCTGGTCACTACGGTTCTCTGGTGATGGTCATGAGATTTGCGCCGGTGCAACAGGTGGCGCTATCTATGTCTATGATATTGAAGCTCGCAAGACTGTTCTTGGGGTAACAGGCCATCGCGACGATGTGAATGCTGTGTGTTGGGCAGATGAATCGACGAATGTCTTGTTTAGTGGCAGCGACGACAGTGTCATTCGTGTTTGGGATCGACGGAGTATGGTGGATGGTCGTGCAAGTGGTGTCCTTGCAGGACATCTCGAAGGCATCACCTTCATCTCACCCAAGAAGGACGGTCGGTATGTCTTATCGAATGGCAAGGACCAAACAACCAAGCTCTGGGATATTCGCAAGTTGATTAGCGAGGAGCAATGGGATCACACAGCCAGAGTCGACTATACAGATGCGCAGTACGATTACCGCGAAGCATACTACCGTGGTTCGCTGTATGAGAAGCATCCGAACGACGTTAGTGTCATGAGCTATGCGGGACACGCCATTGTCTCGACCCTGATTCGTTGTGGCTTTTCAGCACCGGCAACAACAGGCCAGCAGTACGTGTATTCTGGTTCCCACTGTGGTCGTTTGTTCATCTGGAACCTAGATGGAACGCTGGCCAAGACATTGAACTTGGATAAAGCACAAGGTCGTCGTCCCAACGTCCGAAAGATCGATACAGATGAGGTGTCACGCACAGGGAGGTATCGAGGCCGCGAGAATGATGATGGGAGTTGTATTCGTGATGCTGCGTGGCATCCATCGTTGCCAGTCATTGCAACGACGAGCTGGCATTCAACGGGCGGAGCTATCTATGTGCATGAATTCATGGAAGATCACTCGGCACTGGCCTCGCAACCACCTGTTGTCAAGAGTTTCCTCAGAGAGAGGCGTCGATGAGCACAGACGGAAATATCAGGGAAGCAAGTAAGCAAATGTAGCGTAAGTCGCGGGGACATGTTAGAAAGCAGCACAGGACATGAAACATTTTTTCTTAGATCTCATTGATGCAAAAGGGAATGAGGATACATGTGTGTGCGACTAGATGTATGTCTCGTAAGCAACGGCGTGCAGGGTCTCGACGGGGTTCTCTGCGGTTTGGATGGTGCGTGCCTCACGGGGCGCAAGTGGCAGACGCTTGAGCTGAACAGTCTCGCCATTCTTCTTGGCCTCCCTTTGCTTTTGCGCATTCTCCTTGACACGACGGAGGAAGTCATCACGGCACTTTGAGTGCTTGACGTGCTCGACGCGGACGTTGACGCGCTTCTCGAGGTACCGGTTACCGACGACCTTGTAGAAGATGACACCGACGGATGACTTTGTGACGTTGTAGACGATACCGGTCTTTCCGTGGTAGTACTTGTGCGGCATACCCTTCTGGACTGCACCGTTGACTGCGACATCGACGATATCTCCGACCTTGTAGATTTTGAGGTATGTCGAGAGTCGGATCATACCCTTCTCCCTGAAGGAGCGGGCAAATGCATGCCTGGTTCGTGCGCGGATACCGAATGAGTGAGCTTGGAGTTAGTGATTGTGCTATAGTGATAGTGATAAGGGCCATACGCATTGTAGCTGTGTTGTCTGTCCCTTTGCTGTAGTGAGGCCTTGTCCTGTCGCTGTGAGTCGAGTGCGCAATTTGTGTCCCAGGGCGATGTTTGCGTGGAGGCAGTCACAGGAAATTTATTCCTTCACTACTCATCAGATAGAATAGTACAATACAGTTTGACTACAGCCTACCGCCGTCTGTTCGAATTGATGTTCCTCTTGCCGTGACCAACCTTGATCCCATGTCCTCCCGTGTCCCGCCGGCCAGACACAATCGACGGCAAGTAGTCATCATCCAGCAAGTCCACCTCCTTCCGATACCTATTCGCCTTCTCAATCTTCTCTACCTCACGCTGGTCAGCCCGTAGAATCATATTCTCCCGCCCCTTCATATTGGCCGTACCATGCTGCTGTGCTGGAATCGCATACACCGTACCACGATTGTTCCACTGCATGTTGCGCTTCAGGTGGATCTGCCGCTTGCCACTCGCATCCACAGACGTACTTGTCCGCATGAGTGTCGCACCACCGCACGACGGACAGAAGCGTAGCGACATTTTGCGTGTAATGTGGAAACACGCATGGCAACGCAGCACATAAGTCTTGACCTGTCGAATGCGACTGCCATTGCCAGACACCAAGTTCAAGCCAATCTGAAGCAGCACATTCTGCAGTGCGAAATCATGCGAGGCACAAGCGACTTTCATCGGGCGTGTCTCTTCTGTTGTATCGGCAGCGGCATCCTGAGCTTGTACTTTTTTGATGTTGCTAGGGGTGATCCAGCCATCATCATCGTCGTCTGCTTCTGCTTCTGCTTCTGCTTCTGCTTCTGCTTCTGCTTCTGCTTCTGCTTCTGCTTCTGCTTCTGCTTCTGCTTCTGCTTCTGCTTCTGCTTCTGCTTCTGCTTCTGCTTCAGTGTTCTGAGAGGCTGCAGCATCCTCCTCCTGCGCGACAAGAGTAGCAGGCGCATCGTTCTTACTGCCCGCCACAGACGTATCCTCAGCCATGATCGCCGCAGACTGACTCTCCTCTAGAGCCTCCTTGACAGGCGGCTTGCCATTGATCCTTGCTTGACCAGGCTCCCTCCTTAACCGCCAATCGCCTCTATTCAGCTCGCACTCCATCTCATACGCCAAGGCAATCACACCCATATCAGGCACCGACAAGACTTCTGCATCGCCCGTCTTTTGCGCAAACTGCCGAACAAAGGCTAGCGATGTAGCGCTTGGCTGGCGCTGCTCAAGACGGCCTTCCGTCAAGCTGAGTAGACGCAAACGAGCAGCTTCATCCTTGAGCTCACCAAAGACATGGGGCGTTGTCAGGTAGCGAATTGCTTTTGGTAGCGTTGTGTTGCTGATGATGGGACCTGCATCGAGGATGAGTGTACCAATGAGGTTCTTGTCTGTCTCCATCACTAGCTTGTCAATGTTGAAGCTTGGTCTCTGTACCGTATTTATTGCTGAGTTTGTCGCCAACTTTTTGATCTCGTCGCACGGGAAGCAAGCGACAGCAACGACAAGGACTCCAGTCACTCCACGTCTTCTTCTACATACTGCAGCACTGCTTCAGGAATAGTCCAAGAGATTGTTTGACGTCTAGGTAAATACGCTAGGTGCTACGCTGTATAGACAAGGCTAAGATGCTGGAAAAGAAGTGCAAGAAAACAAGACAAGACATGAAGCACATTATACCGCCTGGATGGCCGGCGCAATGACCCCCGCAAGCTTGGCTTTCGCCTCTTTTGCCTTTTGCATCTTTGCCAAGTGTTGAAAGAATTTGGAGTTTTCATGCAATCCACATTCCGTCTTTTCACGACCCTTCCAACGACCTGCACGCTCATCTTCACCTTCCGCTACAGGGACGGTGGAGTGCCAGTCGCCCACTGACCGGTATCCGCGGTCAAGCAAGACATTGTAAGGGACACTGTGCTGCTTGATGTAGGCTTGCACATCGCCAAACGACCAATTCGCAAGGGGATTCACTTTAATCAAGCCCGTCTCATCCACCTCAATGATGGGTGTGGTATTCCGAGCACCACCCTGTGACCGCCTACGACCAGTCAAGACAGCCTTGACGCCAAGCTCCTGGTATGCGCGTCTCGCAGGTTCAACTTTAACGAGGTAATCATACAGCTTCTCATTTGTTTCCCACAGCTTTGGCCCATGGACTGCTTCAAATTCTGCGGCTGTAGATGCATCTCTGGGTGTGTACACGGCAAACTGCGCGCCGCTGTACTTTTGCCGGATACGTTCCGCGAGGTCCAGTGTTTCCTGGAAGTGGTACAGGGTATCGATGAACATGAGCGGCACCTGGTGACTGCCATCAGGGGACATTTTTGAGATGATATCAAGGGAGACCATGCCCGTCAATCCCATGGCTGTGGTCTGCCAAAGCCCAGGGAGGGTGGTGATGGCCCATTTGAGGATTTCCTGGGCGGAGAGCTTGCTGAGCTGCTGATTGAGGAAGTGCAGGTGGCTCGGAGTGAAGGTGATGTCTGGGAGGACCTGGCTGCTGGCTGATCCGTAGTCTGAGTCTTCTGTGTCACTTGTGTGGTTGCTCATGTCTGAAGGCTGTTTTGCAGAGAGCAGGCCGATGGAAGGCATGGTGTATATGGATGGTCTGTATCCCAGGTAGTGACTGTAGCTGAGACTAAGTATCTCTGCTGCTTCATTTTGCTTTGAAATGGCCAGAAAGTGAGCAGATGGCGACATCAAGCACGCAATACACCACCGCACATTGACAGCTCACCGGGCTATGCATGAATGTTCTCTGAGAGCATCTTATACGATCCAGTAAGGTCTATCATACCACGTCCGGTTCTTTTTAGCCTGCCAACAGGTCTATCTGCACGGCATCTACATTAGATCTTGCCCGCTTATGTCAACATCTACACGTGACTCAGGATGACGACAGAGCCAGTGACAAATAGAAGCAGCAACAGCATTAGCAATACTGCATGCACCAAGACTCAAGAGGGCCTGAAGTCTATGTCAGGCTCGATGACTGAGTGCTTGCCACTGCTTGGCTGACAGGCGAGGGACATACCTTGGTTTCATCAGGCACATGATGAGTTCCCGCATATGGCACAACAACTCAATAGACCACAGTGGATGCCTCGAACGAGCCCCATCATGACATGCAGCAAGCAATGCACAGAGCAGGAGAGGCAGCCATATCCAAGATTTACCATAGTCCAACTGCAAGGCTTCAATTGTGGCCATCACCTGAAAATACCGACCCGTTGAAGCACTGCCAAATCTGATGCCTACCGGAGATGTGACCATGTCTTTGGCCTTTGAACATACCACGCATACGCCGTAGTCCTTTGAGCCTTGAACATCTCTCCATTTCAGGGGCCGAATAACACGTGTGCTGCGACGACAACCATTGCAGACATCGCCCACCCGCCTTCACCAAGCCTCGATAGATCAACTCAATGCTTAATTTCTTACTCTAGACTTTGCTGCTCATCGAAATGCTCAGACGGAAGACGGCCGTCAAAGAGGACGGGCCTACTTGGATCTTTGATCCCTACAAGCGCTACACCTTGGAAGATCTAGGCCTTCGCTACGATGCAGTGACCGACCGCATCACGCTCCTGGATAATCCAGAAGAGCCTTACAAGTACAAAATGAAACAAAGCGATGAGGATTACAACGATCAGCTGTGGTTTGCACTGTCTCGCCTATTAGATGATATGACGCAAGAACGCATGACTAAGATTGGTATGCGTCTCTTACGCTTGCCCTTGGGGGCAGCAGAAACCGACAAGCATACAAGAATCTACGTCTCTGAAGATTTCGACAAGAAGCAAGAGCTGACTCTTGTCTTTCCAGATGGTGCGATGAAGAAAGATTGTCGAATGCCAACTAACGCTAGGCGGTGAAATGGGAAGCTGGTACGGCCGACTCATCACAGACAAAACAATTGCCAATGGGTCCTTTGAAGACTTTGTCAAGACATTCACCAAGCCGGAGCGAGGTATCGTGATTGCCTCGCCAACGGTCTGCGTATGGAACAAGGAGCTTGGTCGTGCCATTGTATGCTTCATGAATTGCAGACTCTGCTAACTATAGACTCATCGCGAATCCATGATTGCGTCTAAAAAGAGTCCACTAGGCAAGATCCAAGGCAGCGAAACACAACAAGCGCATATCGAGTACGTGCTCGACTATGTGGCCAGACCATCAGCAGCGGAACAAATCAACCTTGTTGCCGTTGGATACTCAGCATGGGCAGCCATTCACTATATCCATGCATGTTGGCCAACTTGGAGGGACAGACTCACTGCTATTGCATGCTTTTGCACAAATCACTCAGTCAATGAATTCACACTACCAGACTTCCTCGATTTTCTCTCTGCCAATTGCATCAATTTTGCAGCATCAGACAAGCCACTCAAGACAATTGTCGAAGATCGGCGCTTTGGGTGCATGACTGTGAGTGGTGGAAGTTCTATCGGATGGGAACTACCACATACATGCCTTGCAGCAAGCTTGGAATTCATCGAAGCGATTCAGCAAGGCGGAGCAGTGGAATACACGCAAATAGTGGAGGAGGAACTCGCAGATGAAGAAGTCAACACAGAAGGAGGACAGCCGACAGATTGGCAGGATCTTGTTGAGGAAGAGGAGGTGGATGTTGGAGAAAGCGTTGAAGTGCATATGCAGACAGACTAGGCGTGCTCAGGCACAGGCGTCAGCAATTTGCCAGACTCGAGGGCCGACTCTATATTAGCCAATACCAGCACTTCAAGCGCTTCTTGTGTTTCCTGAGAGACTGTACCGATATGTGGCAGCAGGCACACTCGAGAGGACTTGAGGAGTTCCAGGTGAATCTTGGGCTCCTCTTCATATACATCAAGACCCGCTCCAGCCAACTTGCCAGATTCGAGTGCCTCCACCAGTGCAGCTTCATCTAGGACAGGGCCTCTGGCGGTATTGACGAGGACTGCACCCGTCTTCATTTGCGCAATCTCCTTGTGAGAGATGAAATGCCGTGTCTTGGCATTGAGTGGTAGATTGAGACTAACGACATCCGATGAAGCAAGAAGCTCTGAAAGACTCGAAACGTAGCGTGCACCATCTTCCTTCTCTGCCGACAGCTGCGTGCGGTTGTGGTACTGGACCTGCATTCCAAAGGCACGACATCGGTGTGCCAGCTGACGTCCGATACCACCCATACCAATGATACCAACAATTTGGCCATGTGGATCACGACCCATCTGTCGACCAGTCGCTAGACCAGCGCGCCAGTTGCCTTCATGGCAAGATCTCAAGGGGGCAGCAAATTGCCGCACCGCACCGAGCATGAGGAACATGGCAGTATCTGCAGTAGCACGACTGACTACCTCGGGTGTATTGCTCACCTTGATGCCGCGTTCTCCTGCAGCATAAACATCAATCTGGTCATAGCCAGCACCATTGTGAGCAACAAATTTGACACTTTGCGGTAGAGCTTTGAGCAAGTCAGAATCAAACTTGCCAATCGTTGCAGTTGTATCAAGTGGACGGTAGATTGCAGCGGGTTTCAGCTGATGGCAAGCTTCCAAGAATGCTGCACGCGTGGTCATAGGATGAAGCGTGACGGAGGCTTTCGTCTGTAAGTCTTTGAGCTGCTTGCTAGCAAATTTGATATCGCCACATACAAGGACCTGACCGAGCTTGCTTGCTGCTTTAGCAATCATATCGAGAGCTCAGTGGAATAGCAACCTCTTGGCTCTGAGTATCAGACGAGCGTGGTTTCGCGGGGTTATCGAGATCGCACGCTCGCAATGCCGAGATGGTCACGGTTGCACAATTGACTATCTTTCTAGTTCTTTTAGTGATATCCTGTTCTTGTTTGTCTGCATCAGAGCCCATAGCATGAGTAAACAGCCGAGTCTCTGATGCATCATTCATGGGAGTCATCCTCTACTCATTAAAGTATCGAACACAGAGAGCAGCAGATGCCATGCCGGGCAGGTTAAGTTCCAGACTTGGTAAATTGACTTAGTGAGAACGCTTCCGACAAAACATGTATTGGGCAATGTAATCTACCGAGGCGCATCGGATCCGATAATGTCCATCCATAAACCTCTCGAAAGTTGCCAAAGTCGTAACATTGTCGTTGCCAACCGAAGGCAAGTCAGTGGCGAACGGTAGAGAATCATTTCTAGGTCACAGCTGAACCTTCATCGCATCCAGGCGAAAGCCTTGTTGTTGCTTGGCATGTCCATTTCAAATACACGCTTGAAGCCATATTGAGCAGCAACCTTGTCGACCTCAACAGGGTCACGCAAGCCGAAAGCAGGATCACGAGAGCGAAGACTAGCGTCAAACTTTTCATCTCCCTCAGAAGTGAACTTTCCATCACGTAGGTATGCACCGTACAGGAACACCCATCCTGATTCCGTGAGGAGCTTGGCAGCATATTTGAAGAGTGCGTCTGTTGCCGACCACGGACTGATGTGAATAAGATTGGAGCAGTAGATTGCACCGTAGGGCGGTAAATCTTCCAGTGACTCCCAGTGTCGCTCGTCCAGGACATTGAGCTTACGAGGCATTAAGAGGCTCTGTTCAATGTTTGACAACGCCTCTAGGGCAGCCAGACATTCGTCTTGCGCCTCAGTCGTCTGCACTTCAGTCTCAGACCATGATGAGGTGATGATTGAAGCATGATGACCAAAACCAGAAGCAATTTCGAGCATGCGCTTTGGGCGACTGAGCTGTTGTTGCTCCAGGAACACCTCGAGTGCTATGAGCGTTGACGCACCGGTGCGCTGTGCCGAGCCTACTGGCGCATGTGTATTGGGCTGAGGTTGCCAGACCCCATCAGTTAGATTCTCTGGCTCGCTCATTACAGCTTAATTCTATAGCTTGCTCATGTTCGAACCTTGTCTGCAGGTGAGGCTCATGGTCAGATTCTTGGTCGTCGTCATCTGGCGCAAGAAAAAAGATCGCAAGTTTCGCAACAAGCAACAAGCATCTACACACTTTCCAATGGAGACAGTAGCGACAGGCAGCTCAGAGGGCTCGGCTTCAGCCTTCATCAGCGTCGTCGATCTCCATACAGGCACTCACCTGGCTTCCCTGCGTGAATCTGCTACAGCTGCGCATGGCGTGACATCTATTCAACGAGGTGCGCTTCTCCTTGCTGCTCAAAACGACAAGAGCCTGGTGCACGTCTATAGGCCCCTTGTCAAGGAAGGTATCGATCAAAAGTTGATTGTGCCAGAGAAGCTGGATGTCTTGACGGCGAGTCCGTGCGGGACATGGTTGCTTGGCGGTGCTGCAAGCGGAAAGCTTTACCTATGGGAGCTGGCATCAGGTCTGCTGCTCTTTGTCAAGGATGCGCATTACCAAGGCATTACCAAGCTGCTCTTCACAAGTGACTCTAAGCTGTTCATCAGCGCATCGGCTGATGCGACGGTGCAAATATGGAGCGTAGCACAAGTTCTAGACCGTGACGAGCAGCAAGACCTTGCGCGGCCTGCGAGAACTTTGAAGTTGCATACTCTTGGCATCACAGATATGTACATTGGCATTGGTACGTCAACAACAGCCAGGCTCTACACAGCATCCCTCGATGCGACCGTCCGGATATGGGATCTAGTGACGGGCGAGTTACTGACGACCCTGCTCTTCATAAGCCCTGTACAGTGTCTGGCGGTAGACAAGACGGAGCATCAAGTCTACGTCGGCCTCGAGTCGGGCTCTGTCCAATGCGTCAAGTTGGTCGTTGAATCAGACCGCACGCACCGAGCCATTGGTGGCATGTCCAGCATTGTGACAGCCGGTACGCATTCATCATCGCTGTTCACAGGCCACGAGGCTGCAGTCTCTGCGTTATCTCTCAACTTTGATGGCAGCTTGCTCGTCTCTGGCGACGCCTCAGGCAATGTCTTTGTCTGGGACGCTGCTCGTCGCCAGCTGGTACGACGACTCAAGGCGCATGGCTCGCGCATCTCCTTTATTAGGACTGAAGTGCGCCCATCAGTGCCTGTTTCAGAAGGCAAGTCAACACTGGTGTTGCCTCCGCTCAAGCGCGTTCAAGCGGAGCGGGATCTTGATGAGCACCAGATATGGCTCAAGCTGGCGTCTCGTTCGCAGAGCTCCTTCAAGCCGATGGCAGATGCAGATGCCGTTCTTGTTGGTCTCCAGCAACTCAACGAACCCGCTGTCGGTGCAGATAATGCCGAAGAGCTCTTTGCACTTCAGGAGACATTAAAGAAGACACAGGCATCCTATCAAGAACTTTGGCAGCAACATGAAGCGCTCAATAAGAAGTACATTGCTTCTCAGTTCTAATTTATCAGCATAGCGTCGCATAGCATCCATCATTTACTCTTGAGCAGTTGTAGTCTGCAAAGCCTTGTCGACGTATTCGCCAAACTGCCAGGCACGCATGTCTCGAGTCTTCTCCACCATCAATTGAACAAACTTTTTGGCACGATCAGATCCTGTCCCGACAAACGAAGCAAAGATTTTACCGACCTTCTTCTCCAACGCCGCGCTCTGCTTTCTCTGCTCGGGCTTTATTTTGAGACCCTTTTCGGGCTTCTTCGTTGCCACAAGGACTTTGAGGTCATCTGCGACTTGTAGAAGGTGCCAACAAGCCATGCATCCAGTGAGAAGGATGTACGAGGAGACTGGATCTTCCATTCTTCCCCGCTGCGATGCAAGGGGTTGCCAAGATGCTAGTCGTTGAACGAACCATGTCAGATGCAGCTCAGCTTCTGTAATGCTAGCAGCTGGATCGTCTAGTAATGATTCGCCTGCTGCACACAAAGAAGGCGGCTGAAGAAGGCAATGTTTGAGCAATGAAGTAACGGTATCGCGAAGGGACAAAGAGACTGGGCAATTGAGCGGAAATTGTTCATCATGCAATTCTCGCCTGGAATCTTGATGGAGAAGACAGAAGGGGCCTTCTTGTGTAAGTCGCAGCGCCGAGACAGCTCCAATCTGAAGATGCGACAAGTGCCATGCATCCCAAAATGCTTGCTGAGTGGCTGCAGGGTCTTGCGTACGCATCAAGTCGCCCATCTCTTCGATACGCTCTTTGAAGCGGTGACACAGCTTGGCATAGTAATCAGATTCGAACGCGTCATCAATTGAAGAATTGTCACACTCATGGGTGCGCTGGACTCGAAACCTTGTAGCAAGAGCGCTAAAATCGTAAATTTCTTTCCTCATACGATGTACGAGGAATAAGCCTCGAAAGCCCAGCAGTGCAGGCGGTCCCTGGCATGTGTCAATTGGTCTGTGTAAAGGCTCCACCATGAGCTTTGCTGTGGTCCAACCATCTGTCGAGATTTTGGCTGTTGTATCCCATGCTTCCGCTGTCGGCGCATCCCACTGGACTTCAGGACAAGGCATGTCCTTTGGCAATTCGTGAATCATCAAGAGCGAGGGTGTGCCGAAAATTGTGTTGATTTGCATATCAAGCAGCTGCATACCAAACAAGAGTCGCAGACGCGTCTCTCGCGCTAGAAAAGTTTGCCAATTTTCATCTACCGTAGCTTGCTCATCCATGGCAGATACAGGACCTTCCTTGAAGCCGAGACGACGTTGCTGAAAGATGCGGGAAGCATGCAATTCCAGTGCGGCAGTATGAGTTTGTTCATCACCAAAGAAGATGCCGAAGTAGCAAAGCAAGAGCGCTGCAAGTGACAATGCGATGGGATCCGTGCGCGAGTCTTCCAGATCATATGATTTGATGATGCTAACGAGGTTCATCCACACGCTCAGTGCCTTTTTCTGATAGCTCAAATCTTGTGTGTAGAGGGCGCCGATACATGCAACAGGCAGTAACAGCCAAGGCGTCTCCTCAAAATGCTTGGCAAATGTTGGTTGATGCAGAACTGGAAATGCGGCGTGAAAGTGTTGAAAGTAGAGGGCCGTGAATTCTTCAAGCTGCTGCTCAGTGAATGGCATCTCTGGCAGTCGATCAAGCAGATCATTACTGCTTGGCTGCATGATTGTAGGTACAAATCCATGCAAATTATTGATGAGCATGTTGTGTTCGTGTTGCAGTTGAAGCGCCGGGTCAACAGGAGCCGGCATGGCCAAAGACGTCAGCGTTTGCGCTGCATCAGTCGTCGCAAACTGCTCTTGAGGGGCCATAGGCACACCCGGCACGGGCTTTGGATACAGTCTCTCCATCTCTTGTGGATGGAATTTTTTGACATGGCGTTTAAGGAGATCTGGGCGCTTGCACTTGACTTTACAGCAGGGGCACTGTTCAACAGACGTAGCATCATGATTCCGCTTATGTCTCTTCAAGTTTTCGAAACGCGTGAAGCGTTCGCCGCATATTTCACAGCCAAACAGGTGTCGTCCGTCGTCGGCCAGCTTGCGGCGTTTATCAGGCCACGCGCCTTCGTCGTGCTGCTGCTGTGGCTGGACTTGATCCAGTACGTCTGATGAGTGGACATGCGGCAGCTGGTGGAGGGCATGACTTGCCTCTCCTAGGCCGTGGCCGAGTGCATCCATCGTTTGAGGCTGCGTTGGTGTCTTTTGTGGTGGAGAGGAGCTCACCAGACAACCACCAGTACTCTACTCTACAAAATTGACAATGCTCTAGTATTCTGCTGTTGAATGTTCTCGCTTCCTATACCCCTCAGAGGGCTCATATGTCTCAGCTGCGTCTTGCTCTTACTCACTTTCCAAGTCTTCGAGTGGACCATCCGCTCACCTGCACAGCTTCCTTCTTCAGGGGATGAACCTTCCCATGCGTATCACCTCGTGGAAGATTACAGCGGCTCTAGCTTCTTTGACGGCTTCAACTATGAAGATGCGCCAGATCCAACACACGGCCATGTTCTCTATCAGTCTCGCAAATCTGCACAGGCGATGAACTTGACGTATATCGGAAATGACGGTATCGCATATCTTCATACAGAAAGCTATGCACAAGCTCCGCAAGGTCGACCCTCTATTCGCATCAGCACAAAGAGGACATTCACGAGAGGCTTGTTTGTGTTGGATTTGTTGCATATGCCTGTTGGTTGCGGCACTTGGCCTGCATTTTGGACAACAGCCGTCAATGGATGGCCGAGGAAAGGTGAGATCGATATCCTTGAAGGAGTGAACCTCGAGGTAGACAATGCAATGACCTTGCATACAGGCGCTGGCTGTCGACAGCCAAAAGAACGACAGATGCGAGGGACGGCAGAGACGATGAATTGTGATGTCAAAGCGGCAGATCAGTGGCCGAATCAAGGATGTGGTGTCAAGACGCAGCGTTCCTTTGGACATGCACTCAATGAACGCGGTGGTGCAGTGATTGTGACGGAGTGGACGTCAAAGACCATCAAGATTTGGCAATTCTTTGACCGTGCTGCCCTTCCTGCTGACTTGGCAAGCACCAGTCCTGACCCGAGTACTTGGGATGTCTTGCCCGATGCCCTCTTTCAGGATTTTGAATGTCCGATTGACAAGATCTTCAGGGATCACGTTGTCCTCATCAATACAAGCTTGTGTGGGGATTGGGCTGGCAATACGTACGGCACCTCGACCTGTCCAGGAACAAGCTGCAATGCCTATGTGAGTGGCAACCCACAGGCCTTCAAGGATGCCTACTGGGCCATTCGCAGTCTTCGCGTCTACCAGAGATGACACGAACTACAGCAATAGCAAATGCAGAAAGGGTTGAATACTAATACATGGCGTTCTTTGGGTATTCCGTTGAAATGTTCATCATACTATATATATTGGCTCTTTCACATCACAACACATCGACGCTCCTTGCTTTGCTTTGCAAGTTTCTCCTCTTGCTCCGATACACCACCGACTGGTTTCGCTTGCAATGCCGTCCGCGCCGCTTCTGTGAATGCCTCATTGACACCTCTATTGTGACGCGCAGAGGTCTCTAGGTATCTGACTGCTTTGATGCGTTTTGCAACGGCGAGTCCCTCTTCATAAGAAATCACCTGCTGCTCCGTCTCTCTCAAATCACACTTGAGTGCCACCAGTACGAGCTTGACACCTTCGCAGTGTTCAGCAATCTCACCAACCCATTTACTCTGTACATTCTCCAAGGAATCCGGTGAATCCACGGCAAAACAAACCATAATAACATGCGTGTCTGAGTAACTCAGACTGCGCAAACGATCAAATTCCTCTTGACCCGCCGTATCCCATAGACTGAGCTCGACCTGTTGGCCATCAATAAAGATATCGTGAATGTAGTTTTCAAAGACAGTGGGTTCGTAGACTGCTGGGAAGAATCCACGGGTGAAGACGTTGAGGAGGGATGTTTTGCCGGCTGCGCCATCACCGAGGATGACGATTTTGCGGTAGATGGAGCGGCGTTGTTGTTTTGATGAGAAGCAGTTCATGGTTTCCCCGGCGGTTGTGTGATGGGGCTATAGACAGGAGAGGAGGAAGGCGCTTGCGATGGAGGTGATGAAGCAGAGTACGGAAGGAAGCGAGAGAGAGCGCTTGTTGTGTGTGGGTGTTGGTTGTGTTGCGCTGCTTTGTGTCATGGAGCATCAGGTAAAAATGTGATGGACTATGTTCTACTCTATGCGTGACGGGCCATGGCCTGGCACTGCTTCAACTGCTCGAGGTAGTAAGAGCATGCAGACATGTCACCCTGAGTCTGCTCGAGGCACTGCGTAAACTGCTTCGCATCACCCTCGCACGAAATACCTTGCTGCTGCTGCTGGCCATTGTACTGGTCATAGGCAGACATACCTTGCTGTTCATAGCCCATTGGCTGCTGTCCCTGCTGCTGCGGCTGGGCTTCAGGCTGCTGTTGCTGGTTGCTAGAACCACCAAAGAGCATACTACTGAGTCCATGACCAATCGTGCTACCGATTCCCACACCGGCAGCCGTACTCATCACTGCCTGGTTAGCATCTATTCCACATAGTATAAAACAAAAGACGTACTATTGCCAAACATGCCGGGCCCAGAGGACTGCTGAGCAGCGACGGCAGGTGGTGGGACTTGACGGGTGGCGGGGGCATTGCGCGAAGACGTGGATGCTTGCCGCGATTGAGCTGGTGCAGGTGCTGGTGTATGCCTGCTGGGTGCTGCTCTGCCTCGAGATTGACGGGGCATGGTTGTGAGGTAGGTGGAGGGAAGGTACTTGGTGAAGGGTTGGGTGTCTGTTGAGTGTCTGTTGCTTACGTGCGCTCGCTGCAGGGATTTCCACCAGACCTGCAACTACACCTCGCTACTGCTACTATCACCTGTTTGCTTGAACGAGAGCTGCTGTAGAGACACTCAAGGGCTCGATCAAGAGACACACAAGCTAGAGCCACTGTACCTTGCCGTCTGACATGGAATTAGACACAGCAGCAGTGCATGATCAGCTGCTTGACCTACAAGATGCCCTGCGCCTAGTCCAAAGCACATTGACGCCGCTCAACTTGGCGAGACCTCATGAAGAAGCCTCACAGAAGAGTTCAAAGCTTGTTCACTACTGCAAAGAGACAGACCTCCCACCTCTAGACAGAGCCAAGCTGCTCGTGGCTATGGGGTATGCTGTGGATTCGCTCTTGTTTTGTGCACTCAAGGTACAAGGGACCAATACAGAGACACATATCATCATGCGCGAGTTGGAGCGCATCAAGCAGTATGTTGGCAAAATCAAGGACGCAGCTGCTCGTCAAAAACATGAGGAAGCTGCTGCTGATGCCAGTAGTTCAAAAGGAGGAGTGGATCAAGAGGCAGCTGGGAGGACAGTCAAGCATGCACTGAGTGGAAATACAGCCCATGACAGAGATCGTGCACTGCGTGTGGCAAGACAGAATGCCATGCTCCAGGAGAAGCTCAGGACTGCGGCTGCTAGTGCTAGTGCTACTGCTAGTGCTGGTAGTGGTGAGAGTCAAGAGGTCGAGGCTCTACCTAGTATCGGCAAGCATACACGGTTTGCAAACAGCCAGCTAAATCGACCTGGGCTTGATGAAGCAACTGTTGAGGACGAAGAGGAAGAGACCTTGGCAATCCATGACGAACCTTCTACTGCTACTGGGGAAGAGAGCAAGGAGGAGAGCAGAGTACGGGTGAGGAAGGAGCGGCGGAGTGCAAAGAAGGAGCGGATACGGCGGCAGAAGGAGAAGAAGCAGGGGATGTAGTACTCATACACTATACTTCTATTCCACTAGTCTACTATATATTCTCAATATTCTGTGGCGTGACTGCTTCCCACTCGAAAAGAAAAATAAGCAGCTAGGGTTAGGGCAAGGATCACGGCGACAGAGAACAGAAGCAAGAGACAAGCTACAAGGGACTCAACACACAGATACACTCCCAGCCATGACCAAGGGAACGCAATCCTTCGGTAAACGACGTACGTACACTCCATCTACCAATCTACATCACAGGCATCTGACAATTCAGACGGAAAGAGTCACGGTCTCTGCCGTCGATGCGGTAACCGCTCATACCACCTGCAAAAGGCAACCTGCGCATCATGTGGATACCCAGCTGCCAAGACTCGCAAGTACGAGTGGTCTGAGAAGGCAAAGCGACGCAAGACAACCGGCACCGGCCGTATGTCACACCTCACAAAAGTCCACCGACGATTCGCCCATGGATTCCGTACAGGTGTTGCTGTACGCAAGACGGCGGCTGCTTCTGCTTAGACATTTGATGCTGAATGCTGAATAGAGCGTATTCTACGGCTGAATGACAGACCGTTTTCTTGCATTCTACACATCTCTGTAGAGTCGCTCACACCTACATTGCTAGCTAGCAATAAACACATGCATGCGACTTGACTCTTCTCAATGATTCTTCTATGCTTTATCTATATTATAGCCTCAACTCAACCCGACTTGAACAGTCCCTCGGCGTCGAGCGTCAAGATGATCTTGTGCACAATACTCTGCACAGTCTCCTTTGAGATATCCACCTTGAGAGACGCCTCTGCAGGTTCCTCATACGGCGCATCCACGCCCGTGAAACCCTTGATTTCACCACTGCGAGCACGCTTGAAATTCCCCTTGCGATCCGTCTTTTCACAGTACTCAAGCGGTGTAGCAACATGCACCAAAAAGCACGACCCAACCTGCTCAATCGCTTGCTTTGCCAACTTGCGAGACGCATCATACGGTGCAATCGGTGCAGCAATGACAGCTGCACCGGCACGTGTCAGTTCTGCACTGACAAAAGCAATGCGTGCCACATTCTTGTCACGGTCTTCCTTGCTGAAGCCCAATTCGGAGGATAGCTCGGAACGAACTGTTTCACCGAGCAACAGGGAGACGCTACGTCCACCTTGTTGGTTGAGCGTGACTTGCAGAGCACGTGCAATCGTGTCCTTACCACTGTTGTAGTGACCTGTCAGGAACACGGTGAAACCTTGCTTGTGTCGGGGTGGGTAAGATTCACGCAACACCTTGACAACGGCCGGGTAGGAGAACCATTCTGGGATGGGAGCACCGGTTCGCAGACGATTGCGGACTTCAGTGCCGGACAGATCGAGTGTTTGTGTACCTTCCTTGACTTGATCTTTGGGCATATACTCATCTGTGCCTGGCAAGTAACTCATTTGAGCAAAAGGAACCACCTCAATGCCGACCTCCGACTCATACTTTGCAACAAGCGTCTGTGCATCATACGGACCATAGAAGTCTTGACCATCCTTGTTCTTACCAGGGCCAGCATGATCCCTTCCAATGCAAAACGCACACGCACCAAAGTTCTTTCGAATAATGGCATGCCAGAGTGCTTCACGCGGTCCACCCATACGCATAGCAAGGGGCAGTAGAGCAAGCATAGCCATACCTTTTGGGTACGTTTGCATAACGGCTTCATAGGCCTTGACACGGGTGAAGTGGTCTACATCCATTTCCTTGGTAATACCAACGACGGGATGCAACAACAAGTTTGCCTTTGTTTGACGCGTTGCACGAACCGTGAGTTCCTTGTGTGCGCGATGCAAAGGGTTACGCGTTTGAAAGGCAACCACGCGTGACCAAGCGAGCTTTTCGAATTGTGCTCGGAGTTCGGTTGGGGTGTAGCGAAGACCGACGTAGTCGTAGTGTTGAGGCTTGTTGACCGCTTCAACGGTGCCACCGACGTAGTAATCATGACAACCATGCAGGTACTTGACGGCAGGGTGAAGCACGTCATCTGCGCCAAATACCTTTTCAGCCTCTTGCTTCTTATTTGGCTGGTAGAAATCCTGGACCGTCAAGATGGCAATAGGACTCTCATCACGCCAGTCTCGAAGAGTGATGCGAGAGCCGGCTTGAATCCCTTTTGCTTGGATGGTCGCTTGATCGACATCCAAACAAATAGGCATCGACCAGACCGTACCATCGGCAAGCCTCAAGTTTTCCACGACATTCTCGTAGTCTTGTTGGTTCATGAATCCTTCGAGCGGGGAGAAACCGCCGTTGAGGATGAGTTCGAGGTCGCAGAGATGACGCTGGGTGAGGTAGATGTCTGGGATCTTTTCAGATTCAGCAAGCAAGGCATCGTGGTTCGGTTTGTCTCGAACGAGAAGGTCTTTGAGGACACCGCCATGAGGAGGAAGAGACATCTTGCAGAAGGGTGATGCGAGGATGGGACTAAGTCTTGGTTGTTTTCACTTTCAACTTTTTCCTGAATAAGTCGAGAAGTGAAGACGGGGCGTGAGAAATGACGAGCACGCCATGCCGCGAGATATGAGCACATTTTACAGCAGCAGGGGCTGTATGTGTAGAGGAGGGGAGAAGGCCGCAGTCAGGATGCTGGTACTAGCCTGGTCGGCAGCAGTATGGCTCAGGGCCCAAGCTGCCATGTCTATATCGCCGTTTCATTACCAAAATGATATTTGCTTGATGTGCGCGAGCCCGTAGTAGTCAAGCCCAGTCAAGCTAAAGCCTAGAGGCCTCTCGCAGGAACCCTCGCTAGACTCAATCTCGCGCTCCTGAAGCTTCAGCAACGAGCTTGAGCCTGCCGTGTGCACGCTGCGCTGTTTCCTGCTTTCATTGGCGGACGTTTGACCACTCCAGCGAATGAGATGGCACACACAGCGCACACGACACACACAAGGGGAGCAAACAAGGCGTCCAGTGCTGGGGTTGATAACGTCGTCGTATCGTGTGCGGGCTACATAACGCTCACAAGATCCATTTCTCTTTCTACGATAGTGACGCTTCACCTACAAAAAAGATATGGGTAAAGTCCCTGACCAGCAACAGCTCGCAACACCACCGGGCTCAACGCGCCTAGAAGCACAACTCCCAGACTTCCTCCCAGACTTATCCCTTCCACCGGCACAGATCTCCTTGTCTCCTGTTGCGGAGAAGCCTCAACGACGGAGTGCTGCGTTGGCGTCCAGGAAACGAACATGGACGCATACAGCAGACGAGGAAGAGTCCGAGGACTCCCTTGAAGCGCGCGTCGAGTCTCAGTCTCAGTACGCAGGTACAAGCACCCCTGCACCCGCCCATACCTCCCGGAAACGCTCCGCAAAGCCATCCAGAAAAACAACCCATTCACAAATTGAGAAGCGCAGGCGAGAAAAGATTAATGATACCATGACGCGCTTGAAACAACTCGTTCCAGCGTGTCACGCGCATGGTGCAGAGTCATTGCGGAAACTAGATGTGTTGACAGAGACGGCTGCGTATATTGATGCGTTGCATGCACAGATTGCACAGCTACAGGGACACACACAGCAACGTGCAAGTCGTGGTGTGTCGCGCGAGAGTAGTTTTGCGAGTGAGACGCCGTCTGTTGTGGCATTCCAAGCATTCACGCAACCTGCACCTAGTCTCAGTCCGCCGAGTGTAGTCAATCACACGACGTCGCCGTTTGTGGGAGAGACGACGCTGGATGAGAGTGCACTAACGGCTGCTGAATCGCTCGTTCAAATCAGCGAGAGTCCCATGTTGGGACCCGTTAAACGCATGTCCATTGCAGAGCTCATGCATATTTAGAAGCATAGATGCGCAACACAAGAATAATGAGATAGAGGAATGATTAGGCTGCATGAACGGATGCTGAGCCGTCAACGGGTGTTGCTGCTGGGATACTCGCATCCACTGCATCCATGTCTGCTGGTTTGATAGGATCAGCAACGGGTGCTAGACCAGCAGCGACTTGTGCCGCTGCAGCGACTGGTTCTGCAAGCTCACTACCAGCTGCAACGTCCACTTGTACAGGTGTCTGGTCAGGCGCTGCAATAGCCGAAGGACCTTGTTCGTCTGCCGGTGCTGGTTGTGTCACGGGGACGAGGGTGTTGTCTGCAATAGCGGCACTGGCATCGACCATCTCTGCATCTGCGTCCACAACCGCTTCTTGCTGCTGTACGTCGCTAGGCGCATGCTCAATCATTTCCTGTGCATCTAAAAGAATGGGTTCAGCAATTGTTGGTACGTTGGGTGATTCCGCTTCCAAGTGTCGACGCAGGACATTGACGCTACTGACATCCTCAAGCCAGACATCTTCACGATGCACACCCGACAAATCCTCACTCTCCTCTTCCACAACCTGCTGCGTGTCACTGTTCCGGGTCTCATCCACTGCGCGCACAGCTCGTTCGAATTGTGCAGCGGCCGGTAAGTCATCGACGCTGATCCATCGAAAGACTTTGAAGGCAAGGGGTTTGACGGTGACTTGTTCAATCGCTTGCTGTCCATACCCACCACCAGTGTGTGGATGGGTCGTGGTGGTGGGTGGATCGGGTTGGATGGGTTGAGGGGTGAGCCAGCGTTTCTTCCAGTGACGCACAGTTGTATCCTGGATGGCTGCTTCTCTATTGGCACTCTGTAGATGGACGCCGCGTTTGCTCATTGTGCATGGATTGGATGGAGTCTGCCTCAGTCTGGTGGTGGTGATTTCGAATTCTAACTTTCGTTGCCAAATTTCAGTTCACAGCACAACAAAGCAGCAGGATGAGGATGAGAGTATTAGATTAGTGTAATGAAGAGAGGTACAGTATGTACGCGTATTAGAGATTCGAACAGGAGACACACAACGTGTACTACTTCAACAGAAGCATAACTTCAGCCAAAAGAAGAGATTGTCTGTCCATAGCTTTTGCCTTATCGGAGGTACGTTGCACCGGTGTTTTGCGACTCATACGTCGTGTGCAAGCCATCAATGGGAGGAGCCGTGGTTGTTGGGTGACGCTCATACGACGATCGATCAGCAACAACCGGAGCGACATACGAGGTCCTGTCGACTTCAGCGGGGACATAGCTGGATTCTGTGTCAGTGACCAAGGGTTTCTCCTGGTATGAGCGAGCGCGCTTTGTACGACGAGGCTTGTCCGAGGGGATACACGCTGCCACTGCAAACAAGACTGCGCAAATGAGACAAATAGCCGTTGCTGTCCACATAAAGGCAAACAGCTTGACACCGACATCAGCGGGGATACCTGCATCTCGGAACCTGGAACGACCACGGATGTAGACGACTGTCATGAGTGCTGCTGCGATCCCATCAAAGATGAATGCAACGAATGCCGTCAACAAGCCAATGAAACCGCCGAGACGACCGAGACAGCCGACGAGGGATGCGAGGAGTGCGACAAAGGTGAAGAAGAGGCCCATGAGCAAGAATGCAAAGAAGGCGCGGGAGGTGATGTAGGACTGGGTGTCGTTGCTGGTGATGGCGGTGGGGAGGGATGGAGAGGCATTGGTGAGCTGACGGGCTGGTGCGAATGGGTGCGCTGCTTGGATCTTGCCGCAGTTGACGTTATTGCCGTTCTCCTGTCCGCAGATGTTCCAGGTTGTCCAGCGCAGGAAGCCGCTGGGGGAGGAGAGTCCGTCTGCTGAGAGTTGTGCCTGGAGGAAGTAGAACTTGTCGAGCGGGCTGCCTGTGCGTGCGCCTGCGAGGACGGTGAAGAGGAGGAGGAGCATTGCGCCGAGGAGGAGGATGATGGGTACGATGCTGAAGAGGAGCCTGAATTTCTGCATGCTGGGAAGTAGAGTATAGGATAGGACAGGATAGTATAGTATAGAAGAGAAGAAGAAGAGGGCTGTCTGCTGTATATCTGCTGAGTCTGCTCACTGGATGATGCTGCTGCTGCTGCCATGGACTGGGCCAGCCACCAATGAGGGCGGGCGGTTTGCATTCCTGGATGTCTGTACACTGACACTATACTGTATAGTCTGTATTCTGATACTCTACTATACTCTGCTACTCTACTGCACTCTTACTCTATTCACTCACTACACCTACATTATAGACTACTATACAATACTGACTACTTCTATTCTATTCCAACGGTTGCACAGTAACGGCCTCACGTGTCCTTCTGCGCCACCGATGTCATGCCAACGGACCATCTTCCTCTCACGCTCTCTTTCCTCTTCTTCCTGTCTCAGAGTCAGACTCAGACTGTAACTACTAAGCCTACAGTGACAGTGACAGTACCAGAGTCAGCCCTGCGTCATCCATCCCCACAGCATCGGTACTCAGTAGTTTGACAGCTAAAACAATGACATCAGGAGCCATGGCCCGCACTTGTCAAGCCGCATAGGCAGAATGACATGCATGACAGGCTGACAGCACATTGACCCGCCCAGCACTCCACTACCATGGATGCTCGTAATCGCTCCATAATAAAAACCTGGCTAGTCAATGGCCAGGGCAGTCAACGCATATGCTGTGTTGCATCTGATTGCCAGGTGGCAACATATCCATTCATAACCAGGATAAGCCTGGCCTGAATCAAGAGTCATGCACAATAAAAGAGATATGGAAGGCAGCGAGGAGCCTTGGATGACGAAGTATATTCGGCCATCCCATCTGACATGTCGCAGATCTTCCTCGGCTCCCTCTCCAGATCTAAACTAGATCTAGACAGAGCACATCTCCAGCTGCTGAGTCCTGACGACCTGTCTGAACACTGTTAGTCTTGACATCACAGCTACAGTAGACCATGGCACAACCCACACAGATTCACTTTAGAGACAACGAGCGTCACTTCCTCACCCGCTACCTCGGCCCACACTCCGACAGCGACCTCAATGCACGCTGTCAACAACTCCTCAATCACGCACAACACCTCGAAGCCTATACCACCATTCTCGGCTTGAACTGGCTCCTCCCACAAGTCTCTTTGTTGCCTACTTATCAAACATTAGCAAGACGCTTCACAGACCCTTATCCGCCGGTTGTATGTGAATTAGGCGCAGGTATCGGTACAGATATTCGACAGTGTCTGCTGGATGGACTACCCCGAACACACCTGATTGCGTCTGATGTCGTTGCCGGGTACTGGCAGCTCGGCCTTGACTTCTTCAACGACCGAACAACACTCCCCGTCAAAACATGTTTCTGCAATGCAGCAGCGCCTGTAAAACAACCGAATCCACTCGATCAATTCAACGGCAGAGTCGATGCATTCTACTCACTCATGGTACTCCATGTATTTGATCAACAAGCAGCAACTGCCTTCCTGGCAAGACAATTCAACTTGCTTGCACCAGGTGGTCTGTGTTTCGGCACAACGTGTGGTGCACAGATAGCTAGAGCTTGGCCTGTACGAGGTCATGAACGGTGGTTATTCGATAAATCTGCATTACGCGCCTTATTAGAATCGTGTGGGTTTGGTGAGGTCGTGGTGGAGGAGACGGTCTTGTCGGCGCGTATGCGGGAGATGATGGATGCGAAGCGGAGTCAAGTGGATAAAGATCCAATGGAGAAGGATATGCTTGTTTTGAGCTTTAGTGGTGTCAAGATCTTGCCAGAGTGGGCGAGCTGTTGAGTCTGGGGTGTAGTGTGTGGTAGGATGAACCTCGACGACGCACCCACCCAGCGACCACTTTGACTAGAATCGCTATAGCTTACAATTCTTTTGACGGCACCCAGTCATGTCTGCTCCCGTAGAGGACGAAAGGCCCACAGACGAAGCTATCCTGTCATTCGCTCAACAAGTACAACAAGAAGCTATAGATCAACTCCCTCTCCTCTCACAAAACCAACCCATCTCTGTCCTTGCAGCAGAGTACGCACACGGCAACCCTGCATTCTTGCAAAAAATCGCTGCATTAGGACAACACGCTAGGTACTACAAGACGCGTGGTGATGGGAATTGTTTTTATCGAGCATGGCTCTTTAGTCTCTTCTCCCAAGTCCGCACATCCGGAGACGATGCAGTCGCACAACTAGACAAGAACCTGAAAGCATGTGCACACTTGCTCGATGCAGCAGGATTCGTGAGTATCGTGTATGAAGATTTTCTAGAAACAACCATTGAATTGCTGCATGCAACGGACTTGCATGCCTCCATCAATGATCCCGAAATTTCCAATGCGGCAGTTGTCTATATACGCTTCGTCACTTCAGCGTACATCAAGCAGCATGCAGAGTCTTATATGCCCTATTTGGATGAAGGAGAAGTCTTGCCACGTTGGTGTGAGCGATGGGTTGAAGCCATGGATGTAAGGTCCATTCACACTAGAAACCGCTGACATTCAGGCAGAAGCAGATCACCTGCAAATCAACGGTCTTGTGAATGCATTACACGTTGGTGTGGATATCGTGTATCTTGATAGGTCTGCAGGGGATGAAGCGACTGTCCATCAAGTACGGCCTGATGAGGGGGACGCAGTACATGTTGTCAAGCTTCTATATCGACCAGGACACTACGATGTTTTGGTATAGGAACAGAGACGACTGATGAAAAGTCCAAGATAGCATGGATTTTATCGCTTCTATACTAGCTTGTCTCCATCTGATTAATTTGACTGTTTGCTGCGTCATTGCCGCGACCAAACTGATCCAAAACTCAAGACACAACAGCTGTACAATCCAAGGCAACGTTTAGACTCTGCCATTGTGCTGCACCGTCAACATGTATCTCTCTCGCAAGAACCTAGACAATCTCAAACTGTACAAGTACAGTGCGATTGACAATAGTCCAGTCTCCAAGTACATTCTCAAGCCCTTCTGGAACAAATTTCTACTGCTCTTCCCCATGTGGCTTGCGCCAAACATGATTACTTTGCTTGGTCTCTTGTTTGTTGTTGCCAATGTCTTACAGCTGCTGTACTATGATCCTGGCCTCGAGCATGGCGTCCCACCCTGGGTGTCCCTCGGATGGGCAGTCTCGCTCTTCTTGTACCAGGCATTCGATGCAGTCGATGGCATGCAGGCACGTCGAACAGGCCAATCATCTCCACTCGGCGAAATGTTTGATCATGGTTGCGACGCACTCAACACAACCCTCGAAGTATTGTTGACGGCATCCACCATCAACTTGCATCAATCCTGGTGGGCCATTGCCTCGCAGTTTGCAACAACCTGCAATTTTTACCTCACAACGTGGGAAGAGTACCACACTGGTACGCTCTATCTCAGTGCCTTTTCAGGACCTGTCGAGGGCATCTTGTTGGTTGTTGGCCTGCACACCATCACTGCACTCTATGGACCCACATTTTGGGATCAACGCGTCGTTGATAAGCTTGGCGTTGCGAGCTTCTCGCTTGTCAAGCACTTGCCTAGCTTCCTTCGAGATGCAGAACTCAAGCACGTCTTTCTCTACTTTGGCGGCATCGCTCTCATTGCCAACATTTTCGGCTCCTCCGTCAATGTCATTGCTGCTCGACGAAAGAACAACCTGCCCCTCGCACCAGCCCTCTCCGGTCTCATCCCATTCTTCCTCAGCTCAGGCATCACAATGCTCTTTGCCTGGTTGAATCCGACTGTCGTCACTGAGCAGTGTGTGCCATTCCTGTTCTTCCTCGGTATCCTCTTTGCCTACTCGGTAGGCCTCATGATCACGGCGCACATTACGCATGCACCGTTCCCGTACTTCACGCCTTACTTCCTCCTATTCCCCATGCTCGCAGGGATCGCCTTCAACCACAAAATTGGTGCCATGGAAGCGAGAGATATCGTCTGGCTGAGTTTAGGCTTGTCTCTCGGCATCCACGGCAGCTTTGTGGTCGATGTCATCAAGGAGATTACGCAACATCTAGACATCTGGTGCTTGGCCATCAAGCACCCTCAAGCTAAAAAGACCTCATAGACAAATGAAATGTGACTGTGTAAAATCCATCTATATGCAGATGCGACGACAAAAAGTGCTCCACTAGGTCCGCTAGCTAACGTGCGTGCACAGGCCAGGGATGGCAGAGGCCGGGGATGCGGCGTCCGTTGCAGCGACGCTCGTCAGTCAAGAATCCCTCGAAGCGCGTCACGGCTTCGATCAGCGACCGGAAGAATACCTCGCTGTGCTCGAACAAGTCTGGCTCATGTACTTCAATGACAAGCGGCATGAATCTTGCGGCAACCCAAGAATAGATCAGCCTGCTATGCCGGATTGGCGGATGCGCGAACGGATGAAGACAGTGTCTGCGGCGCTCGTGACGTGTCTCAATATTGGCACTGATCCACCGGATGTCGTCAAGACTGTTCCCTGCGCAAAGCTTGAGTGCTGGGTGGATCCATTCCTGCAGCCCGTATCAAAAGCGCTCGAGACAATCGGCAAGCACTTGCAGCAGCAATATGAAACGCTCTCGATGCGTACACGCTATAAAATCTACCTCGATCCATCGGTTGAAGAGACCAAAAAGTTTTGTGCTGCTCAGCGACGGAATGCGAAGGATGAACGGACTTTATTTCACTACAATGGACATGGCGTGCCGAAGCCTACCGCTTCTGGCGAAATTTGGGTCTTCAACAAGACTTATACACAGTACATTCCCGTCTCGCTTTATGATTTACAGTCGTGGCTCGGGTCGCCGTGCTTGTATGTCTTTGACTGCAGTGCAGCAGGCAACATCATCAGTAATTTCCATCGTTTCGCAGAACAGCGCGATACAGAAATGCAACGTCAAGCAAGGGAAGATTCAACATTTGTGCCTGGTCCAAGTCAAAAGGAGTGCATCTTGCTTGCAGCGTGTCAAGCAAACGAAGTACTGCCGATGAATCCTGATTTGCCTGCAGACTTGTTTACTAGCTGCTTGACATCACCCATCGAAATTGCTGTGCGTTGGTTTGTGCTGCAGAATCCACTGCCCAGCCCGTTGACCATTGATATGGTAGCGCGGATACCAGGTCGCTTACAGGATCGTCGCACAGCGCTAGGAGAGCTCAATTGGATCTTCACCGCCATTACAGATACGATTGCATGGAATGTCTTGCCAGGCCCGCTCTTTAAACGATTATTCAGACAAGATCTCATGGTTGCAGCCCTCTTTCGCAACTTCCTACTCGCTGAGCGCATCATGCGTGTGCATCAGTGCCATCCCATGTCGTTTCCCGTCCTTCCATCGACTTATGCGCATCCAATGTGGGATTCATGGGACCTTGCCGTGGATACCTGCCTAGCACAGCTACCAAGGCTTCTCAATGAATCAGATGACTCGTACGTTCCTTCCACCTTCTTTGCAGAGCAGCTTCAAGCCTTTGAGGTTTGGCTTCAGACTGGTTCAGCCAGTAGAAAGGCGCCAGACCAATTGCCAATTGTGCTTCAGGTGCTCCTGTCCCAGGCACATCGTCTGCGCGCTCTCATCTTGCTCTCCAAATTCCTCGACCTTGGTCCGTGGGCAGTCAACCTCGCACTGAGCATCGGCATCTTCCCCTATGTCCTCAGACTGCTACAAAGTCCGGCCGCGGAGCTCAAGCCAGTTTTGATCTTTATTTGGGCGCGCATCTTGGCCGTTGACGGTAGTTGTCAGACTGACTTGATGAAAGCAAACGAGTACAATTACTTTGTGCAAGTCTTGTTGAACCCAGACATTCTCCTCGCTACCGCTGAACGGCTTGCACACAAGGCAATGGCGACGTTCATCCTTGCTGCGTTCGCAAAGGACTACCGACAAGGGCAAGTTGCGTTGTTGGGCGCGCAAGGACTTATGGCGTGCGTTTTGGACAGAACACGCTTTGATCCAACAGCCCAGTCTGACCCACAAGGTGACCCTCAACTTCGTCAATGGAGTTTGTTGCTTATTTCCTGTAGCTGGAAGGACTTTGCGGAAGCCAAATGGCAAGGGATCCGAGAGAAAGCTCCACAGCGTATCGTTGAGGCCTTGGGGGATAATATTCCTGAAGTTCGGGCGGCCGCGCTTGTTGCCATGACTACATTTTTGGGCCTCAATATGGATGACGAAGTACAAGCAACGGAAGAGTACCTAGCTGTTGCAAGCTTAAGCTTGAGCGCTGATGGATCTGCCCTTGTTCGCAAGGAGCTTGTCGTCTTTTTGAGTGCCCTCGTTGTGCGCTACGAAAGCAAGTTTTTGGTTGCAGCTTTTGAGATGCTCAGAGCAGAAGCAGGTGAACAGAAGAAGATGCGCTCGAGAGACAGTGTCTACAGCGCAATTTGGAAGACCCTGCTGATGTTCTCTGCTGACCCGTTCCCAGAGGTTGAGCTATCTGCAAATGTTGTCCTAGACTCGCTCACCAAGAGTCTGTTGGCAAGCAAGCTCGGAGATGCTACACGAGCGTTGCTCAACATGCTAAGTCCCCCTGACGTTGTGCAGATGACTCGCACATTGACATTGCGCGATGTGGAAAATCAACGCGAGCCGCTGCCAGAGTTGAAGCGCTCAAACACATCGACTCTTAAACAAACCATCAAGCGATCAGCAAGCATTGCTGTCTCGCTCAAGAATTTCGCCCTTGGTTACCCAGACTCGTCAGATGATTACAGGCCTGAGCCAAATCAGCCACCCCCGGCCGACCCATCTGTGGTGCCACAAACGCCCCTAGCTGCACTACCACGGCCTTTGCCCAAGCAGTTTCGTCAGCCATCACAGAATCTGCCTTTAGAAAGCACCTTTTTGGCATGGTCATACGAGTACTTTACGGAACCTCAAATGAAATCTGAAGAGTCTGAAGAGCCTGGTTCGGTGGATTACAACGAGCGATTATGGCGGCGGACACGGAACGAGCACATCATCCAGCACAATCAGGGCCTTAAGGATGTCGCAGAGCATAACGCATGGTCGCAACAGTCTGGCTTGTTTGACAATGTATCGCAACCGACGAAGTTGCTTTTCCATCAGTTTGAACCACATCTCCTGGCAGCAGATGATAAGGATGGTCTTACAGTTTGGGACTGGGAGACTTCGCGACGCCTCAACAGCTTCTCAAATAGCAACCCGCCGCGCAGTCGTATCACTGAATTCAAATTGCTGAACGAAGACGACAAGGCATTGTTACTGACGGGCTCGAGCGATGGCGTGGTTCGTCTTTATCGCAATTATGAGCAACCGGACGTGGAGCTTGTCACTTCTTGGCGTGCACTCAGTGACTTGTTGCCAAGCAACCGTAGTTCAGGTCTGGTTGCCGACTGGCAGCAGGGTAAAGGTCATCTCTTGGTGGGTGGGGATGTCAAAGTCATTCGAGTGTTTGATGCACGCAAGGAAGTCAGCATCAACGATATCCCTGCTCGAAGCGGGTCTTGCATCACATCACTGACGAGCGATCAGGTGGAAGGGAATCTGTTTGCGGCTGGCTTTGGTGATGGCGCAGTGCGCGTCTACGACAAACGACTTGGACCGCGCGATGCAATGGTCAAACTGTGGAAGGACCACAAGGCCTGGGTCACCAATATCCACATGCAGCGTGGTGGTCATCGCGAGTTGCTCTCATCCTGCGTGACGGGCGAGGTCAAGTTATGGGATCTGCGTCTCGACTCTTGCGTCTCAGAAATTGAAGCGCATCGAGGGAATTTGCGCAGCATGGCAGTTCATGAACATGCCTCTGTCTTTGCCACTGGTAGCACGAACCACATCCTCAAAGTCTGGACCATGTCGGGACAGTCGCTCAGCACGATGCGGCAACCGGCAGGAGGGTTCTTGGCAGGGCAAAGCGGCCGAAGCTCAGCTGTTTCGGCGTTAGCATTTCATCCACATCGTATGGTGCTTGCAAGCAGTGGCGGCAGTGATTCGCACATCCATCTCAACAAGCCTGCGAGTGATCGCGTTTTGTAGATTAATGAACTTTTTGATGCCTACTCCTCATCGCTGTCTTCGTACTGCGGTGCTCCCTCTAGACATGTCAGGCTGCATAAGTTGCGTCGAATCGGGATGCCGTCCGCGCCTGCAAAGCCAGACCAGTGTTCCTCCCGTGTTGCATACACATCGTGCATACCAATGCCGCATGTGTCGCAAAAGGAGCGATTCTCCAAGGGAACCAAAAAGCGCTCAAGATCATAGTTCTCGTAGATGTCCTTGAACCATGCAAAGCAAGCAGGATTGCCACGGATGCTGCGAAGAGAATATTCATACAAGGTAGGAACGCGTGCATTGGATTTAGCGCGTCTACTGAGACGTATCGAACGCGGTGGCGCATCGAGTGTTGGTTTCCGACGTTTGCGCTGAGATGGCTGTGACTTTGCTGGTGATGGAGGAGACTCTGAACATTCAAAGACGAGCTGCTCCAGCTTTGGCAGGGTCAACAAGGATGCAGGCAGAAACTCAATCTGGTTGAGACCAACATTCAGCGATACAAGATTCTTGAGCTTCCCGATGCTGCTCGAAAGTGTCTTGAGCTTGTTGCCAGCTGAGATTAGCGCGACACTTGCAGTCAAGAAGCATTACACAAAGAGAGGAACTCGAGCTCTTTCAATTCGAAAAGTGATTCCGGCAGAGTCTTGAGTCGATTACGTGACAAGAACAAGCGCAGCTGCGGCTTCATGCTGATCCCTTGACTGGCAGACACTAGTAAGTTGAGGTCAGATATAACATCTGGTAGGACTGTCAAGTTACGCTGACTGAGGTCAACGTGAGTCTTGCCATTCTCAATAGCTTCATTGACGACGTTCTGCACTACCTGCGACTGGAAGAGATTCGGTGCAACGGCACGCTCAAGGGCCAGGGAACGACGCTTTGCGCGCTGATATCTGGCGGCAGCGGGATTTGCGGATTGTGAAAGTGACAGTTCTTCCGTGTCGCTCGAGTACGCTGCAAATGTACGCTTCCGTGAAGGTCGTGGCGTCCAGTCCTCGTCGTTTTGGATGTCAGAGCTAGGCACGTCCGAGGAGAAATGGTTGCCACTGTAGCGAAAGCTTGAGAGCTGCTCATTGTCTTGCTCGCGTGCAATCAGGGTAGAAAAAGGAAGAAGACCGCGCTGCGCCATGCGCTTTGACTCTGCGCGGGGGCACTGAGACGGGTGATGTGTCGCGTGTACGTCGTCCGTGGTCGTTGGATTTTCGCGACCTCATGTTTTGAGCAGATAGACACCAGACTACTCCTCAAGAGGCTCTGTATACGTATATATACGCTCGTTGAATCATTGGCGCTGGAACTGCCCTGCGCCAATCGATATGACTTGGCAAAGCTATGCCATCGCAGGTGCATCATTTACTCTTGTTGCTTATCTTCTCCTGATCAATTCGCTCTTTCAAACCCCGGGATCTGGTGTCTTTCGCAAAGCAGACCTCTTTCCTATCGATATTGGCTACAAAGGACCAACAGCAACTGGTCTACCAGCCTCACTGCGTCAAACAAGCCCAAAGAATGGCCAAATGGGACCTTTTGTATCTCGCTACAAAGTAGAAGGCCAGGCTGAAAACGAAACCATTGAGCACTACTGGGGGTCCCTCTCACCCTACTTTGTTTCTGATGAAGGCTTTGGCCACGAAGAGCGCGCCTTACCCGATCAATGCAAGATTAAGCAAGCTCAGATTCTCAGTCGACATGGATCTCGCTACCCTACCGCAGGATCCTGGCTCAAGAAGGACTTTGCAGAGAAGCTCAAGCATGCCAAATTTGAAGCCTCTGGACCGCTGGCAATGCTAAACGACTGGCAATATACACTTGGGGAGGCCATTCTGGTGCCTATTGGCAAGCAGCAGTTGTACGATTCTGGCGTGTTGGCTGCGATGCAGTACGGCAACTTGCTCTTTGCCTCTAACAAAAAACTTGTCTTCCGTACCACATCTCAAGCTCGCATGACAGAATCTGCACTGGCTTTCCTTGAAGGCGCTTATGGCGGTGGCGCGTGGAAAGATCATGTCAATCTCGAGCTGATTATTGAATGGCCAAGCTTCAACAACACACTCGCTCCTTACTACAATTGCCCAAAGAGTGTCACAGATACCACAGGCACTCGGAATCGACGCAAGTGGGAGGAAATCTACCTTGCCAACCGCACAGAATATCTTTCACAGTACATCAAGGGTATTGCGTGGACCCTGGCAGATACAGTCGCTCTCCAGACTCTTTGCGCCTACGAGACCAACGCACTTGGTTACTCGGACTTTTGCGAATTGTTCACCATGCAAGAGTTTCGGGATTTCGACTATGGCGAGTCTATCTGGTTTCAACAGAGCACCGGTTTCGGCGCTGCTACGGGACGAGCGCAAGGTATTGGCTGGGTCAATGAGATGCTCAGGCGAATCGAAAAGTCTCCACTAGATCTCACGACGTTGAGTTCGGAAAACACGACGCTGGATGGCAGCAAGGTGTTCTTCCCGATCGATCAAGCAATCTACGTTGACTTTACGCATGATTCTGTCATCGCTGCAGTCTTGACGGCCCTTGACTTTGAACAATTCAGCGCATGGCTGCCGTCAACGGGACCACAGGATAGCAACGAACGCTGGTCCACCTCTAGGCTGACACCTTTTGCTGCACGCCTTGTTGTCGAGCTCATTGAATGCGATGATGGCGAATACATCCATTTTATGCTGAATGGTCAAACCGTATCACTCAAGCAAGACAAGTATGGCAAAGGCCGTTCGGAGGGTGATGGTTGGCATCGGCTGGCCAGCTACCTGGAGGGCATGTCTGATCGCAACAAGCGCGCAGATTGGCAGCGTGCTTGTTATGAAGATTCTCCAGTGCGTGAACGGACTGACGGTGAGCCATAAGGTCTTGCAAAAGAACAGACGCATTGTAGGATCATAGAAGGAGTTGCGTTTGCGTGTTCAACAAAACAACGGAAAAGGCTTGTCACTCGCCACAACTCGAGAGACTGCTGCTATTATTTGAGGTGTGCAAACATTTCTGTATCTTCCCAATAAGTACAACCTTGCAAACCAATTTTGCTAGGTCTCTGCCGCATTGAGATCATTTTGTCTTGCGCAGGAGCAAGATGCAAATCTCCGATTGGTGCGGACACTGGGTTTGCTGAAATGGTATTGCGCCTGCAAATACACAATTTCTCAGGCACAAACATTCTGTCCACTCAGTCTGGCTTGGCCAAGAAGCCCAGCAGAAGATATGCCAAGAGTGACCTTGGCATGAAAGTATTTTCGTCGTAGTAGAGATACGTCATGGTCCACATTTTGTCTGTAGCAACGTTGCGATCAGCGAGATGGGGAGGCGACAACTAGTTCAGGAGAAAGTATAATCAGAAGCCAGCGTCTTATGTAGAGCGCCCTTTTTGGTGGGCAATATTTCTTGCAATTTCCAAATCGAGCTCTGGCTACATCTCAGGAGCAACAACACGGACGAAGAAATGCCCAGAAAGCCCCTTACTGGTTCGACCGTGAATTTATAAAAAGGCTGTATGGACACGTCTTCTGTTTTCTCCAAGCAACCCCTTCTAATGCTTCCTGCTAGTTCTATGAAGCTTTCGGCCCTGCTCATACTTCTCATCAACCCTGTCGTTGGCAGAGATGTTGAGGCGCTCCGTATGGGCAAGATCAAACTTGTGACATGCACTTACAATCAGCAAAAGCGAATCTTTTCAGAGCACGACATTAAGGAAAAATACAAAAAGGCACGCGACTCGGTCACGGATGGCAAACTTCGCCTGCAAACACCCGATCTTTCAGTCGCGAAGTAAAACCTGAAGCCTGTGACTTGTGGACTCCTTGCTAACAAAAAGGCAATATCAGACATTTTGAGAGGCCTTACTAACATCTAGCTTCTCTTGTATCAGGAGAAAGCCAACAAGACGAACGATAATGCGGGTCCTGTAAAGTACTTAGCGTATTTCGTGCTAACAGCGCCTATCTTCATATTTTGGTAGAATCAGTCTAAAAGACTGTCTTTCATGAGCTTCGACAACATTCGTGAGCTAGATTCAAATGCTTTCCCAATTCAAATACAAAAGTTTCTGTGCTTTCCCGGTTACCCGGTAAGCATCACGCTGCTTGCCGGGACACTGCCACATTGAGGGCAGTGTGTGTCAGTACAGTTCAGGAGTAAACAATGATTGACAAACTTTGACTAATTCAGCAAGGTGCAAAGTTCTAATTGGTACACACTGAGTTCGCTGAAACAGTATTACGCCTGCAAACACAATTTCCGAGGCACTAACATTATTTTCACTCATCTTGACTCGAGCTGAAAACTGCCAGAGTAGGTCTTGACGAAGTAGATCCCAGGATCAGTCAAGGTATGTGATGACGGGAACTCCATGAGACTTTTTCTGTATCCATGTCTGCTCGGCTTATACGTACATATTCCCTTGGTTCAGGGTCTAAATCCTGTCTGCAGCAATGTAGCGGCCAATCGAACAGGAGGGTGGCAACTTATGCAGGGGTCCAATTCTTGACCACAAGCCCGCATCTCATGCAAGCTGCGCGGATTCAGAAAGATGTGGTGGTCAACATAGTTCGCAGTATCCAATACGAGGCCCTTGCTACATCTCAGGAGCAATGACTTATGAAGAAACGCCGAGAAAGCCCCTTACTGATTTGACCGTGGACTTATAAAAGGCTCAAAAAAAAGCGTCTTCTCTTTTCTCCAGCAAACCTCTCTAATGCTTCCTGCTATCAAGATCTCGGCCCTGCTCATCCTTCTGGTCTACCCTGTCGTTGGCAGAGATGAGGAGCAGTTCCTGGTGACAAGCGTGACATGCACGTACAATACGCTACGTCAAACGTTCTCAAGGGTCGAGATTGAAAAAAAATACAATGCCGCCAAGACTGTCAAACATCCAGTGGCAAAAAGCGAACTTGAAAGTATGGATCAAGCTCTTGAACCCGCAACCTGCAATCGCACTGCCAACACCAAGGCAAGTTTCAAACATCTTGAGGAGTTTTACTTACACCTAGATCGTCCTTCGCGAGGAAAAGGCTATGAAGAAGAGCGGCAATGCCGCTTCTGTGAAGTATATTGCATATTTTGCTGGGCAGACTGATGCCAATGTTCTTTGTGGCGTTGTGCAAGAGGCGACGAAGGGCAAAATGAAGGCTTCAATCAACTTTCCTTGCGAGAATGACATAAGCCACAAAGCTTGACGGTCACAACAATTTCCATCTTATTTCCTGATTGACTTAGTCTAGATGACTGTCTATCATGATTCTCAACAGTATTCGTAAGCTCAGTTCAAATCTTTCTCTTTACATATACTTTCGCGTGCAATTGGTGAGAGCATGATCCTCCTTGGCATCGACACTTCTGCCGTTGATTGTACAAGAAAAGGTCCAGGGGAGTCCCAAGAATGAGCTTGTGCAAGTTTGATGTGGTGGTAGGCGATGAGACTCACTGACGGCCTGAGATGAAGCGGTGAGCATATCGTTGCACTTACAAAGGACAGTATATGAGGAGTGCTGAAGGCTGAAGTTAGACAACCGGCGTATCGCTTACAAGCCATTCGACCAGCCGTGCTCCAATCTCAATACCATCATGTTCGTCCAGTTGTTCATCGACAGGCTGCTTCCCAAAATGACTTGTGTCGGATAAGCAGACACGAAGGATGGCTTCCGTCAACTCCGGGTGTCCCTGGAAGCAGAGAATACGGCCAGGCAACATAGCAATTTGATTCTCCGTCTTATCGCTAGATCCAAGCAGTTGAAAGCCGTCTGGCAATTTCGAGATGATGCGTTTATGTACTTGATGAATGCGAAGTTGTGGTCCGCGATGAAAGAACGCAGAGCCTTTCTCATTCAAAGTGACGGGCGTGATGCCTACTTCAAGACCTTTGGTATTTTCCATGACTTGCCCACCACATGCAGCAGCCACAGCCTGGAAACCCCAGCAGATGGCGATAACCTTGCATGTATGATTTTGTACAACATCTTGTAGGAACGAGACCATCTTTGCAACCCATGGAATGTCTTGATACAAGTGATCTGTGCCGCCTGTCAACAAGATGAGATCAAACGAGTTCAAATCATCTGTAGAGGGATAGACTTGTGCCTTGATTGGATCAAAGGCATGGTAGTCTAGCTCAATGGCATGGCCACTGGCAATGATGGAGTGGAGCAAGAATGTACGGTAGGCCTTGTGCCACTGATCGTAGTCCATACCGAGATCGCCGGACGACGGATGGGTGTTGAGGAAACAAGCCACTTTGAGGACTGTCATGGTAGCTATCGTATCTAGAGAAACAAAGACCGGGACAAGGACAAGGGAAGTATATATGTCGTTGGATGTTGATTCTACGTCAGAAAGTGCGGGGAGAGGCAGAAAAGAGACAGTCATAAAACAGCGGCACTGTTCAGGCACGCATCTCGCTCTCAAAGACGAGCCGCCTGTTCCTCCAGACATTTACACGTCTCTTTGCTTCCTCCAAACTCTGCTGCTCCTCTGTCCGAATGACACTGCCAATGCTCATGAAGAAGCCAAACATCGCCGCGCTCGCCGCCATGTTCTTACCGATATAGCGTAGGAATCCGTCAGGCCCTGGTCCATAGCGCAGTGCATTGAAGCCACCAAAGAGGATACCCACGCAGCAGCCGACACTCGTTCCCATCACGGCACCCATCTGCGCGTCAGCAATGTGCAGCCATTTGATGTGGCCTCACCTTCATCTTGTCAAACGCAGTCGGACCTGAGCCCTGCATGGCTGATTGTGGCATTGGCGGCATCTAGAGCGTCAGCCTCGTTTCTCCTGACTAAACCTTACCTCTGTCTTTGTATGTGTTTGCTCTTTGGTCTTGAGCTTGATCGCAGAATAAGTTTTGGCAACTCGCGCGATCGACCCAACGCCCAAGAAGCACACTCCCAACAGCTGAGAGATCCTGCAAGGAAGCCTAGGAGGCAGGCAGGAGCTGAGGGACTACCTCGCTATAGCTGGCAGATATGAGCGACGCAGGCAGTACTTCTGGCAAACGCAGTAAGCATTTGCGCGACTGTACAGCTGAGCTAACAACCAAGAAATGCCTTCGTCGCGCTCTCAACGGCCAACCTTCATTGAGCGCAGCGGGTCTGCAGGCTCCATTCGCAGTGTCAATGCCTCTGGCAGCTTAAACCCTCCGCTCAAGCAGCCATTTCTGGTCCTACTCCCACTCAATGACACATTTGAGCCGAAATGCATTCAGCTGCCAAACCTACCAGATATTGTACGCATAGGTCGACAAACCAACAAGTCAACCTTGCCCAACAGGGAGAATGGTTTTTTCGACAGTAAAGTGCTGTCGCGATCGCACGCGGAAGTCTGGGCAGATGCGCGCGGAAGAGTCTGCATCAAGGATGTACGCTCCTCCAATGGTACTTTTGTCAACGGCATGCGCCTGTCCAAAGAGAACGAGGAGAGCGAAGTACGGGAACTCTATCCAGGTGATACGCTCGAGCTCGGTATTGATATCCTCAACGACGAAACTGGCACGATTGTGCATCGCAAAGTATCTGCGCGCGTTGATTATGCTGGTGCTCCGCAAGATTCACTGACGAGCAATGGCCATGGCTCCATGTCCGCTCGAGATAGCGGCAGTGATCGTGTCTACGGAGAGACGCGTCTAGCATCGCGCAATCACAATGGTATCTCGTCTTCCAACGACTTTGCACAAGCATCACCAGCGCCTGTCTATGAGAATCATCATCCACTCGCTACATTCGGCAAGCAAAGTGTCACTTTTGAGATGGTTGTCAAGAAGCTAGCAAACGATCTACAGCTCTCAAAACGCGTTAGTGCAGACCTGAAAAGTACATCCGATACATTCAGCAAAGCAGCGGCTCAGCGATTCAGTCGCAGACCACCTGTTGCATCGCCATTTATGCCTTCACCAGCATCAACAGAAAATGCGTCGCTCTCTGTCCAATTAGCACGGACGAAAGCTGCATTGGATGCACAATCTGCTCGGGTAGCAGAACTCGAAACCATGTTGGCACAGGAACGTGATTTGCGTATTGAAGCAGCTTCTCAATGGCAACTACCTGCATTGACTACTCAGCGGCTCTACGACCATGATGAACGGGACTTGGACACCATGAGTGATATTACCATGCAAGCTGACGAGTCACATGCAATCACATCTCAACAAGCAGAGGACATCACATCGCTGACTGCACGACTTGCAGAAAGTGAACGACAACGCGTCATTCAACAAGATCGCGCAGCACTAGCTGAAGAAGCCCATGCGCAGGCACAGAGTCAAATCGAACAACTCCTTGGACAAGTCACAGAACTCGAAACAAGTCGTACAGTGCTGGCACAAAAACTTGCAGATGTGACACGAGCTACTGCTACAGCGCCAATTGATGCACAACAAGGGAAACGGGGTGGTCAAGCGCCCATGACGCTCAAGAATGCCGGTGGTACGGCGCTGATGAGTGCGTTGGGTGTTGTTGTCTTGGGACTGTCTGTGATGGGTCTATTGAATGAATATGCTGTCAAGGAAACATAATAAAGAAGCGCTATCCTGGTCTATTTGGCCTCTGCTTCCCGATTTGCGTAATGCGGCTCGCAAGTAGAAGCGTTCATTGGAGTCGTTAGCTTGTATTTGAGCGGATCTCGTCTTGCCGGCCATGCGGCCCATGGCAACCTCTCGCGTTGTCACTTCATCTTGCTCCTGGAAATTGACCGGGAATACTTCGTTCGGCGCTTACCCAACATGCGCGCACATGCACGGAAGCATCACTCCAGCAATCCCATCTGAGCAGTCAATCATCAGCAGCTAGAATAGAATTGCTTTCCGCGGCTTTCCTCGTTTCCGGATGCGCCGTCGTGCTATCTGGGGTGCCCATCTTGGTACTCTGACCGAGAGCAACGGTCTAGACTTTGCCAAGTAGAGCAACTTCTCGATGGCTTTCGACAAATATTGATGACTGTCTCGCGCGGGTTTCTATTTTGAGTGTCCTTTGTTGAGAAGCTGCTAAAACAAGTCATGTCCAAGCATTATTGGCAGGCATCTCGGAACACATCTCGCACCATGAATGCTGACCTTTGCGACTATTTGGCACCCGCAAATACCAAACAAAACAGGTCTCGCGCGGATCAAAGGGCTAAGCATCAACCGCTTTCAGGGGTAGTCTGGGCTCATTACAGCTTTGTAGTCTTGCTGATGGGCGTCAACTTATAAGAGGACACGTCTCCTCTCAATTCTGCCCAATTGCCAGGCAATCATCTAAAAGCGGCATTGCCACTACGAATTCACTAGAGTACGATTTCCACCCACTACACGCTTACTAATACCTTCTAGAAGCCGTCTTCATGCTTCAGGGCTCCCTTTCAACCTACTTCCTCACCGCTTTGACCATCTTGTTGTCTTGCTGTAGCTTCAGTGTCGCAAGTTCAGCGAATCAAGCGCAGTGCAAGGCATTGGTCACGTTCAAACATGAGATGGTCGTGAAATACCCTGGTCGTTACCCAGATCCAACACAAAATGATTTCCGAGACGAATTCAGAAACGCTGGACTGTGTCAAGTGACATGCAAACACTTTTCCAAGGAAGTGTTCTCAACGCACTTTACCACTGATTGCACAATCAAGGGGAAGATTCACGCTGCAGTCAGCATACAACCATTCGGGGTGGAAATCAATGAAACAACCTGCAAATGCATCATGACAGCTGTGATCCCAAAGCTGCCAATTGGCTCTCCAGCAGGAACTTCTTGTGACGTCGAGAGTATCGAGGCCAAGATCCACGGTATGTGGAAACAAGACGAAACAAATATGAACCATCAATTGAGGCTCAAGAATGGCATGACTTTCGACTACAACCTGCGTTATGGAACTTTGAGACGCATCCAGGTTGGCCGAGGCTACGTCACGGACAAAGGTTCTATCAAGTGCTAAGTGCCATCTGACGATGCTTGCCAAGGTACACGAGAACACACCTGTTCAGCCCATATCTCGCCTTGTCAGCCTCGTTCCTCCCTGGATTTGCATATTTGGCATTTACTAGCCTCACTCTGTTCAACGACAGCTTCTTCAATAAGGCACCCAAGCTCCAACGTTTCCTTTTCTGCTGCTGTTTTCAATGCCTGATAACGCCTTCCATAGACAACTTGAAGCTTTCTACATAACAGTGTTGCAAAATATTGCTCTTAAACTATAGCTTCGGCCTGGCCGAAGAGACTTGCGCGGCGTGACACATGCATCTCCGCGAGCAAACGACAACATGACCGTCTGGCCCAGCTGCCGTGTATTGTCAAATGATACTCAAGAACTCAAAATTTGCGACTAATTTCAAAGCGATTGTATGACAGACCAAGTGAGAAGCTACAACGTCTTTGTATCCAGCATTAGTTGCTCGCGAGTTGCTTGCGATCGTTACATGATGAAGCAGTGCAAATGCAGGCTATCAGTAAGGTCTCCGAATTTCATCCCACACTCACATACATCAAAATGTATTGCTGCGCTTGCAGACCTCAAGCTCGAAATCACTCAGAGCGAAGAAGCTATTTGAAAGGATAAATGAGTTTTCTAGAATATTGAATACGTTTGCATAATCAATGAAGGTATGAAGTAAGCTGGAGTGGTTTTTGAGTCTTCACTTTAGGGTAAGTCACAATGAGGCCAAGCTGGCCAGTAATTCAATTTGGCCGCCAGCTGAAGTGCTTCGTTGGGAAAGCAAATGTCCGCCTCTGTAGTGGGCTGCGTCTTTGCGCCGTAGCTGGATATCTGGTCAGGCCGTTTCCACCAGTCTCAGGACGATCATCCCACAGGGGAGGCTTGCCATCACGATGCATTGGCGGTTTTTGACCGTCGTCAGCAGCTGTTCTCCCCGGTACTGCATCAACTGTATGCATATGCATATAAAATACAGCCGCGAGAGTCGAGCATATTGCGCTGAGAACGCCGAGCAATGAGGTCCAGGACACCCCTTGGACTTGCATACGCCGATTTGCAGCTTGAAACTCCCTCACGAACATTATTGCAGATACGCTTGACAGGCGAAAAGGAAAGATGACCGAAGTAGAGCTGCCAGGCGGGCGAGGATGTTGTTGACAAAAAGTTGGAGGGGATTGATCTACGAGAAAACTTCGCATGGCGATAAGACCTATCAATTTCGGTTGAATACTGTTGCAATTTGTTCATAAGAGATCAACGAATTATTACGCTCAGGCATTGCTTGAATGAATAGAAGGTGACATAGAGGTTGCATACTTGGTCGAAGTGCTATGCAAAAAAGCCGGAAGATAAGCCGGACGATTGTTATTGCAAGATCATCCTGAGCAAATTGTCCCAGGAAGATACATATCCCGATGAGCTTGTAGCCTGAGGCGACATTTGAAGTACAGAAAGCTTCCAAACAAGATTGAAGTGGCATTTGATGCAAAGCTAAGGAACTGTTTGTGGCATGAAGACACAACGTTCATTTCGAGGCAGGAGTCGGTGACGAAACCTTGCTATCACTCTACCTCAAGAGGCCGCAGAGTTGCTTTGAGACTGTGAGTAAAGTCATCGATCAGGCGGCGGTAGTCATTGAGACTCCGATATGTATAGTCTGGACATTTGCCTCTGCTGCAGCTGTGTTCGCAAAGCAGGAAAAGAAAGCGCCAGAAGGCAGCCCCCTTGGATTGTCCATCAAGGAGGCTATATGGTTTCCACGAGAGCGTAAGATGCTGGCAATGTACGCCAAGCTCGAAAATGCTGTATTGTTGAGTTTGTATTGACGTAGTTAGCCACAGAATTGTTCACACGATTCGCCTCCTTTGCTGGTGCCTCCGAGCATTCTGACACGTGGGATATTGACTTGACGCTAAAATTTTGACCTATGCATGTCTCCATTCAATTGGCCAAAGCGGCCCTGATGCAAAACACTTTTAGATCCTCTCACGCGCATCATCGAAACGTGTTTCTTGTTTGAATAAACTAGTTCTACTGCTGCGTCAACAAACATCAAAAAAGTTAAAGCAAAAGAAGCCGTCTCAGCAAACCAAACAACTGCATTTGCTAGCCTGCGTACATCTGCTGCAACTGCAGCCATTGAATAAGCCAGGGTTCTTTGCAGCCATCAAAGCATGTCATGAGGATGTCCTTCCGGCCAGTAATTCAAGTTGGCTGCTAGCAGTAATGGATCGAGATGTCTTCCTCTGCAGCTGGAGCATTTTGCGTCGATGTGCTGGAGTGACTTGTCGAAGGAAGCGCACCATTGCCGGATGAGTGATGAGGAGAAGACCTTTCTTCGTTCATGAAATTGACGCAATCTGTCAGTTCTCTCAACGACAGGCATACTCCCGCGGTCATGTCATTCATGTACTCGACACAATCTGTCCATTGTTCCGGCGGCAAGCTTCCTGCCTGGCCCTGCAAGTGATCAATACAGTTTGTCGTAAAGTTCAATGGCATGCAACCTGCCATGTCCTCCATCGAATTGATTGGCTGCACGTCTGAGCTTGCAGCTGAACCACCAACCGCGTCATTCGTAGTCGATGAAGACCTGCAAACATAGATTTGCTCCTTCCCACAACATCGCTGGTCTTCTGCTCGGGCACCCTGTGTGATAAACGCTGGTTCTGAGTGACCCAGGATAAAGCGCCAATCAGATGGGCATGTCGATTGAAGCACATGGTTTTTACGCATGTAGGGGCAAAACTTTGGGCATCGGCACATTCTGAGATGATCAGGCCTTTTCAGTTTGCAATCGAGGTTTTCACCGTGGATATCGTACTTGCTGTCAACAATCCACGGCCGACTGAAGAGACTGTTCGACATGTCGGGAAATGTTTTCAGGATGTACTCTGGATGACAACTTTTTGGTTGAAGCCGCCACTGCGAATCCTTTTCCCGAATCCAATCAGCCAGTGGTGTATTTGGGGAGAATTCTTCAAACACACTGTGATCAGTTCGATTCCAGGCTCTTGGCATCCAGATGCGATGAACACGGATCAGCATTGTGCATGTACAAGTCACAAAGCAAAGGCTCCCAGCTTGAATGGTAGCTGTAGACTCGATTGTGTAATCCTCGTCTACATCCGCGGCTCTTCGGAAGCAGCCCATATAGCCCCGTAATTTTTTGTCGTACTGTTCTTTGACGAGCTGTTTGTCCGACTCTGCACGGTGACATTCGGAACTGCAGGCATGTTTGCGAGCAAGGAATGCGGGATCATCCATCGACAGAATTCTGCAATGGCCCGCCAGAGGAAATGAAAGAGCGTACTTCATGTAGAATGTCGCATCATAACAGGTGCGCTTATCTGCCCGATGACGGCCTGTAGACAGCTGCAAAGGTCCGTTTCCAGGCGTTGGCTTCTTTTTGGACGAACCAGACTTTTTTGGATTGAGTTTCGACTTGCCGCAATTGCCTTCTGTAATCACAGCCTGAACTGTCGATTGAGAGAGGCAGAACGCCATCAGGAGACAGCAGAGCCCGAAGATAAGGCGCATGGAAGATATCGTAGTTGCATGTTTGACTCGCCTAGACCGGCCGGAGACTGCAAGCAAAAGCCAAAGCAACGCCATTCAGATCAATGTGAAAGGCAAGCTTGATGAGCAAGACTGAAGGAACAGGCTGGCGCATATTCCTCAACAGAGCCAGTCTTCTACTTCTTCTGCTGCTTGACATGATTGTGAGTCAGGAGTATCAATGTGCGCAAACGTTACTGCAGCTGAGAGATCGGCCTGAGAAAGAATTTCTTTTGATCAATCAGCGGAAAAATATCCCTGCGAGTTCCTTACGTTGATAGGTGAGTTGGAGAAACGCAGATTTGAGAGTCCAGCCAGTTGAAGAAACGCAGATTTGAGAGCCCAGCCTAAATTGAGCAGGCATAGTTCTCGATGGTGTACTTGCAGTTGCGCGTCGGGCGCTGCAAGTAGTTTACTCAGCCTCGCTGTCGCTGTTGTGTGGTCGAAGGTAACACTCCCCTGTTGATCGATGAACACTGATACGTAGCAGACGTCATGACCAAAATTAGAACTTCTCGAAAAGGACCCTCATTGAGGTCGACGTAAGAAATTCGCTCGATCTTTCCTGAATCGACAATGCTCGCAATGAGCAAGGGAGAATTCATTGTAACAAAATGGAACTGTGCATGCTTATAGTGACGTAAAAGCATCAAAGCAAACATTGCCATTTTGCTCTCTGAGCCTTCCATCTCATTCAGTGCAGTGTGCGCAGCCAAAGACTCATTCAGGTTGGCTGTACGTCACAAGGACTTGATAAGGTAAGCGTACTCAAATCTGCTCTTGAACAGCTATGCAATTGACTCGAATTGGAGTGCAAAGTACTGTCTGCACGAACACAGCACTGGATGCTGATGAGCGAGAAACATGGTGAGATTGCGCGGAGTGAGTCTATCTCCCTTGAGTGGCCATGTGCAGCTGAGCTTGCCTCTCGATTGTAGTAGTCCCTTACGCGTCTTAAGTCAAGACTGTACATCAACAAAACAAAGTTGACAGAAGATAGCCAAAAGGGAAACGGATCAACCAGGTCCAATCTATGCGTTAGTCGAATAGTCAGTGCTGCTTTCATACCTTTGGCATATCGTGATGCTCACTCAATCGGCTGAGATGCGTATTCATTGCTTGAATACGTTCCTGATGCGACTGTCCACCGGTCCGCTCAATCTCTCGTTGTTCCTGCATCGAGTCAGCTCTATGCCTTTCTTGATTTGTTTGCACATACTCTGATGCGCTTGATTTCGTCAAACTTGCGCTGCGCTGGAGTCCGTGTATCCCGTTTTCTCAGACTCTCTTGTGCATCAGAGGCAGAAGCAGAGGCAGAAGCAGAAGCGGCTGTATCGGCCTCAGTCTGCGCTTGTGCGCTTGCAACAGCAGTGGACTTGGGCTTGCTTGTCTTCTTTCTACGCGTGTCAGCACACGTTCTTGCTAGTCTTTATAGCGTACTTGATGCCGCCTTTGAGCTTGAGCTTTCCCTTCTTTGCAGTGTAGTCCATATTCACAGCACTCTAGCGTAGTCTCAGCCTAGTAGTCTGCAGTCTGCCGTCGCTCCCCCAGACACAAATCAAATCCCCGACCCGACAACAGCAGCCAGCAGCAACAACAAAAAGCCAACAGAAGAAGCAGGTCCCCTTGCACGCCTAGTCCTCGATCACAGCACATCGTAGTGGACTAGTGCCTCTGTCTCTGCTTCTGACATAACCAAAACCCAAGCGCGCGCGACAGGAACGATACGCTAGGACAATGAAGGTATGGACGCCTTACTCTGTGTTATTCTATGAGACTGACGTTGCGCGCTGCAGTATCTGGAGATTCGCGATTTTGAGAGCATCAATGATAAGCTCGTCTTCAATGCAGATGACTGTCGTATCGTCGGCAAGTGCGAGCTCTACACCACAAAGGTCGACCATCCCTCATCCACACCATCGACAGCGCTAATGCATGTAGGCTGCAGGGAGTGACAAGAAGCTGTGCAAGTCCATTGAACGATCGCTCGAGCAGCGCTACGTCGAGGATCTCGCCAAGTCGCCCAATTCACCCTCGAGCGCACTCTCAAAATCACCATTTGGACCCCTTAATCTGTCTGCGAGTCGCAAAACGTTTGCGTACATCATCGCAACGATGAATGCATCGCATCCAGATCACGACTTCAGCTCCCTACGGCCCTTTGACTTTCGGAATGAGCGCAACTTGAGTGCTGTTTTGAATGCACTGAATACCACACTCTCCATGCAAGGACAACTACAAACTGCTGGGTTATGGGAGTTGATTGATCGGCATATTGATCTATCGCAGTGCGATATTTACTCCTACGCGCCAGATGCAGACAGTGATCCACATGGCGGTGATGGCTTACTCTGGTCGCAATCGTACTTTTTCTTCTCGAAGGAGCAAAAGCGCGTTTTATACTTCACGGTCCGGGGTTGTTCATTGCGGAGTCCGCCGTTGAAGGCACGGGACTATGAGAGTGATGCGAGCGATGACTTGGATGGGAGCAAGAGCGTTGTCTTTGATATGGATGACTTTGCGCTGTAGTGACGACGACGACGCAGACTTGACTTTTATACAACAGTGAATATACTTATACCACTAAGACAATCAGGAGTCAGCAAGGGGCCAGGAGTCTTGGCAGGAGGTATACGAGCACTCGGATGGACGAGACAGAGACGTACGTCAGCCGCCCTTCCAACGCACTCTATCTAGCAAAGAAGGGATCAAAAATCATGGATACCATGACACAGACATCGGCACAGCTAACAGCCTGCAGTCTTAACCAGAAGCTCGTCGGGGCTATCGAGCGGCAAGCAGAGCTCGAAGATCAGGTTGCTCAAGCGCGGCAAGAACTCAGGCATGCGCAACAGCAGATTGCAAAGCTAGAGCAGGAACAGCGCGAGACCAAGGATAGACTCGCGGCTGGTTTGCTGGTGAGTAAGTCTCAGGTGGAAGATGAGACGCAGGGATTACGGCAGACTTTACAGGTTGAACAGGCAAATCGGACGACTGCGGAGGAAGCTCGGTCACGGATAGAGAAGGAGCTCGAGGACTTGACTCGTTCGTTGTTTGAAGAAGCCAATAAGCTTGTATCAACAGCACGGAAAGAGACGGCTGCTGTGGAAGAACGTAATGCTCAGCTTGTGAGGCAGAATGAGGAGAAGACAATGTTGTTGGCAAGTCACCAGCAGCAGCTGGAAGAGCTCAAGGCCGTCTTGCAGCGCATGTCAACGGAGGAGGTTCGATGGAGTTCACGGCCCGGCTCACCAAAGCCGAATCCGACGCGTCAACAAGCTACGCGGCATTCGAGAGAGCTGTCGCTGGGCAAGATACAAGCACAGGGTAGTCCACTGACGCCGCACTTCAGTCCTGCTGTTGGCACTTCCTCATCGCCACAGATACCGCAGGGTGTTTTGCTGCCGTCTGCCTTTGATGATGCGCAGGAAGAAGGACCTCCAGCACAAGACAACGAAGAGGAGACTGATCAAGGGGTCCTGCCGACATACAGAACCGACACGAAGGCCTTCTACGAGTTCCGTGCCCTCTTGCCAAGGCAAAACACGCCCAAGCACTCTATGGAACGGCCTACAAGCGACAGCACTGCATCACCCTTACCAAGTCCCATTATTGCATCGTCATCTTACTGGGGCCGCAGCTCGACAGACGACAAAAAAGACAAGGACCTACAATCAAGTAAATTCTGGAAACGCGCTCTCATTGAAGATGTCGAGCCGACGCTACGACTGGATATGGCGCCTGATTTAGGCTATCTCGGCAGACGTACGTTCCTACAGGCTGTTGCAGAGGGCCACCTTGTTGTGGAAGCACACCCTGCACATCTTGCACGCTACCAACCAGAGCGATCGCCGTGCGCGTTATGCGGCGACAACCGCAATGATGCTGAGCATGCACGCAGATTCAGATGCCGCACGAGCGAGTCCAAAGAAGCTGCGGTGCACCCGCTCTGCGACTGGTGCCTGGACCGAGTGCGTGCTGTGTGTGGATATGTGGCCTTCCTGCGACAGGTCCGGGATGGGCTGTGGAAAGGGGAGGAGGAGGAAGGTGCGTTGATGCGCTGCTGGTGCGAGTGCGTGAAGCTGCGTGAGACGATGTTCTGGACACGCGTCGGACACAAGATTGAGTACTGACCAGCTATATACCTCCTGCACATACACATAGCGCATGGCCGGACGCAAGATGGACCTCTTGCAACTCACGGCCGACATGGCGCACCTCGCCTCCATCCTCATCCTCATCCACCGCATACACATCCGCAAGACATGCGCAGGCATCTCCTTAAAGACACACATCCTCTACCTCACCGTCTTCATTACGCGCTATGGCGACCTCTTCCTCTACACCCATAGCATCTACAACATTACCATGAAGATCCTCTACCTCATCACATCCTCCTACATTGTCTTTTTGATGACACTCAGCCCGCACTACAAATTGACGTGGTACCGCGGGCTTGATACATTCACAATCACACCAATCCTCGTCCTCTCTGCCGTCCTGGCAATCATCATCACGCATCGCTATACCGTATTTGAGGTGCTCTGGACATGCAGTATTATTTTGGAGTCCATGGCCATTCTCCCTCAACTCTTCCACCTGACTCAAGTCCCTAGCCTACCAGCCCTACCCCTCTCTCACCTGGTTGCGCTCGGCGTCTATCGCTTCTTCTACGTCTTGCACTGGATGCATGCTTCGTTCAATCATACTCGCAAAGTCGACTTTACCAGTTTTCTATTTGGTCTCCTGCAAACCCTCATCTGGGCAGATTTCCTCTGGGTCTGGTACAATCGCAAAGTCATCAAACTCGTCAGTGACGAACCCGGTGATTTAGAAGCTTCCGGTGGTGCAGCGGAAGCAGCATCCGTGGATCAAGGAGATCTCTCGCGCTCCTTTGTCTTGTTTCACATCTTCACCATGGCGAGGGCATTTGAAGAACGTTTCGCTGCAGGGAGACGTGGTGTTGGCGCTGGCAATGGTCTTTCTGTCTCTGCCTACCCAGAGGATGAAGTCAGGATTCAGCGTGAAGGCCCTTCAGCGACTACGTTCTCTGATACCGCCCACGCTAATCCAACGACTGAGCACGCAGATGCGGATGGCTTCTCCGTCGCTAGTGAGGATGATGAAGAACGACGCCTAGCTGCTCACAAGCCAGGCCCAGACACAACACCACATACAGCTTCGGGCACCACGTCCTCTTGAAGCACATGAAAATGCTTCACCACCAATTTATGGCTTATGCTTAACGCTTCCACTTTGTGGCTTCTTTCTTTAGCATCTAGCAGCAACTTAGCCACGTATTTGACAAATATTTCTTTCGTAAAATGACCATGCGACATATATGAAAGGGTAAAAAGGGCCCTCGAACCGATTTGTTGTATAGCCTCCATTGCTAGAAAAATTAGAGCTATGGTCGAATATGCAGAATGGATCGGCTTTATTCCACGGGAGTCATCTCAGGTGACCGACTGAGAGTGAAGACCTCAACAAGCACACCAGCTAAACACCCTCGTCCTGAATAGCTATAGGGTTAGGGTGCAGGGATTGCGACAGACTTCACAAGTTTTTTTTTTTTTTTTTGTTCCGTTGTCTTACATACCTACTCCTCTCAGGACTCTATGGCCTATATAGGAACTCAGCGGCACCGCCGCTTGTTCTGTCTTTGAAAGATACACGCCTCACGTGTAAAGCTCTTCCAGTACTTGTCCTCGCGCGCAATGGATTGCGGCACTACCTGCTCCGTCATTGTCGGCGATCTGGCCTA